GGGTATTAACGGTTTCACGAGAAAGGAAACAAACTTGCAAGACGTTTTCGTCTTGCGAAGCAAGCCCATAGGGAAATTTGTCTTGCGAAGCGCATCGAAAAACGGAAAACCCTTTCGTCTAGCGAGTTTTCCGTCTTGCGAGGCATTCGTCTTGCGGGGCACCACTGTATATTGACCGGACAATTTATGAGGAAATGCATCAGTTCTGTTAATGGTGGAAGATGGCTTCTGTTGCAATATGATGTTCATCTTGTGCTGTTATGTTCTTTTGTTTAATTCAGCGGATTGCTTAACTGCAGGATACAATGACTGACTTATAAACAATTAATTTAAAAAGCGGGAATCTCATGTTTGCACTTATTTATTTATTTGATCGTCTGACTTTGGAGTCTTTAGGATGCAGCAGAGATGTGCTTTAATCTTTTCATTCTTTACCCCAAAGGCTAAATGCATACATTTTAAAATAAAACAAAGGAGACCAAACACACATACAATTCCCACAAGACTTCCAATGCTAAGATTAGAGAAACCCTCAACTATCATATACGTAAATTGAGAAAGAGAAGCCAAGTTTGTACATAAGACTTAGACACTGAAATCTAGCCTTGCCATGCCTTTTCAGTTAATTTCAGCTCCCTTCAGGTCCCAGATGCAGAACAAATACTGTTAAACACAGGAAGAAACAAATACTGATTGATATTCTGTGTTCTTTTTTTTTTTTCAGGTTGCTGAGGGAATGTTCAAAGCTTGATGTTCTTCAGGCACTGAATCCAAATGCAAACATGGCTATTCTCAATGGAAATGCAGAGTCTAGTGCTGCCTTCTGCCTGTGGATGCTACTTGCACAAAAAACTCCAACTGCATTGTGCTGGAAGTGATCTAAGTGAGCCTTGGGACACCTGGAGTTGTGGTCTTGCCTCAGCTTCCATGTAGCACTTGGACCCCTTGTGGTAAGAATGATTTACTCATCACAAAATTGTTTACATTGTCAGAATCAATGGACTAGATCTTTTCCGTCTCTGAGGTAAACAAGAACGGTTGAAATATTTCATAAAGTAAACTTTCAGAGGTACTTATATTACTGTTTGGAATGATTTAATATATTAAAAAAACCACCCTCTCCCTGCCTCACCCACCATCAGGACAAGTTTTGGAAAGCATGTTGTTGTTGTTGTTTAGTCGTTTAGTCATGTCTGACTCTTCCATGAAATTAGTCTCCTACGCACTACCAGAGCTGGTGTCAGCACTTTGCATACTGGGGCATTTGCTTATACCTGCCCTGTCCCTATTTCACTTTTTTCTTTTCATGCAAGCAGCACCAGACAACTGGATCTAGCCATGCTTTAATTTCCCACAATGCTTCCTAGCACCACAGCTAGGGCCCACCACTCCCAAAGAGGAGACCCACCAATTTGGCTAGGAATGCCCACCCCTCAAACCTCACAGCTAATCCTCCTCTCCATAAGTCTGAAAAAGAAGATGTAGTAGCAAGGAATGAAAGGAATTCTTACCGTGAATTTCTATTCTCAGAGATTCCTGAAGGACAGCAGTGATACCTGAAGGTAAGCAATACCATTACATATGAACCAGTAAACAACAGGCAGAAAAGTTAGGTTGAGGGGAGGGTTCTAATCTAGCCATATGCTTGAAGTCCTTCCTTTTCCCCTCTTAGTTTAAAAATTCAGAATGGCGGCAGGGAGGTAGAAGTAAGACGGATGAAGGAGGAATGGAGAATTGTGGATCTGTTCCTGACTGTCAGATGTACTCTGGGAAATGCTAAAGTAATCCACAGGGCACAAGAGCATTTCTGCCACATCTCTCTCTGACAGCTGCTTGAGAGAGACAATATGTATCACAGTGTCCACTATATTTGAGAAAAAGAAGACAAATTTCATTTACTTATTGATTAAAATTAAGTGAGTTGAAGAATCGACAGGCAGTCCAACACTCATCTAATAATTCCAAACAAATACTAATGAACGGAATTTATAAATATCCACATATTCTTAGAATATATAAAATAGGCACATTAGGGCAACAGATTCTAATCACTCCAAGGTGAAAAGGAGAAGAAAGCACTAAATCTTGCTCGTGTTTCTTGTGCAGCTTTTGCCTATCAAGGACACTTGCCCCTGTCTGAGGCTCCCTAGGATAGAGGCAGAGGTCTGTCTCCAATGTTAGCCATGTTCAGAGCTGATCTATTGTAATGAATGGACATTATTTGTTGTTGTTTAGTCATGTCCGTCTCTTCATGACCCCATGGACCAGAGCATGCCAGGCACTTCTGTCTTCCACTGCCTCCTGCAGTTTGGTCAAACTCATGCTGGTAGCTTTGAGAACACTGTCCAACCATCTTGTCCTCTGTCGTCCCCTTCTCCTTGTGCCCTCCATCTTTCCCAACATCAGGGTCTTTTCCAGGGAGTCTTCTCTTCTCATGAGGTGGCCCAAGTACTGGAGCCTCAGCTTCAGGATCTGTCCTTCCAGTGAGCACTCAGGGCTGATTTCCTTAAGAATGGAGAGGTTTGATCTTCTTGCAGTCCATGGGACTCTCAAGAGTCTCCTCCAGCACCATAATTCAAAAGCATCAATTCTTCGGTGATCAGCCTTCTTTATGGTCCAGCTCTCACTTCCATACATCACTAGGACACTATTTAGATCCATTCATTTCAATGGCTCTATGCCAAGTAGAACCTACCTGGGCACAACTCAGATAGACTAGGGATTGGCAGGAGCTGGATATGAATCTACTGGTATATTTCTGGTTCCTCTGCAAAAATTTCTGACTCTCAGCTATTTAAGAATAACAATTGCTGAAATGAAGAAAGGTAATCAGGAGCAGACGTGTGTGTGTGTTTTCTACAGATTAGTTTCATTTGTTGTGAGACATTAGTGTTACATGCAGTGTTAGGTTAGGAAGAGGGGGAAAGAGGGGGAGGGGGAATGGTAAGTGGGGTGGAGTTGGATGGTTATGCTTCCATTCTTCTATTTAGTGTATGTGTGGGGTTTTGTGTCAGCATTGCTTGTATGGGTTCTCTTACTATTCGCTTGTTTTATTTCCTTGGTGGTTAGAGAGGTTGTGGGTGGCTTAGGCTGGGTGTGGTTTGTTGAGGAGCAGACTTTTTGCAAAAGGAGGGCTGTGAGTTCAGTTCAGTTCTGCTACAGAAAACCAATTCCTGTGCTTAGAATGTGCTCAGAGACACCCTTTGATACAATTCTCACTGTATTGTCAATGTTAACTAATGCATGCATAGGCAAACTAAGGCCTGGGGGCTGGATCTGGGCCAATCGCCTTCTAAATCCAGCCCGCAGACAGTCCGGGAATCAGAGTGTTTTTACATGAGTAGAATGTGTCCTTTTATTTAAAATGCATATCTGGGTTATTTGTGGGGCATAGGAATTTGTTCATTTTTTTTTCTTTCAGAATATAGTCTGGCCCCCCCACAAGGTCTGAGGGACAGTGGACCGGCCCCCTGCTGAAAAAGTTTGCTGACCCCTGAACTAATGCATCCCATCAGCACAAGGATGTTCCTGGGAGTTGGGGAATCCCTAGAACACATTTAAGCAGGGAGGAGAGGAAGAAATGAGCTGAAATCCTTGTGTGGGTGGAACACTCACTTAGTGTTCCATGACTTATGCACCTGGCTCTGCTTGATGGATCTGGGGTTCTAGTAAACAACAACAACAACCCCAAGGTGGATCCAAGAAGCCCAAAGCCAGCCCACCCAATCATCCTAGATAAAGCTTCCCTTGGGGTTAGTTCACACATCGGTTTTGTGTATGTATATATATATATATATATATATATATATATATATATATATATATATATATCGGTAAGCTTTTAATTCGTCTGTAGCAACCCCTCAAATATCACTGGATTAAGTCAGCCTAGCTGTGCAATGAGTGAGACGTCCAAAGTCTAGAGTTTGATCCTGAAGTGAAGAAGAAGATTAGCATTTTTCTATAGAGCACAATACAAATGGGATAGCTATCTGAAATACAATTCTTATTAATGAGGTCAGTCCATGTGTAAAGGGGTCATCAAGTATATAATAATATTTTCTCTATGAACTTTAAAGTGAGCAGCTTGTGCTTGTACTAATTTTTATTGATATGCAAGAGTTTCTTCCCCCAACTCTGTTAAGCTCCTGTTAACACCCATGCCTTCCTGACCCACTAACTGTGAGATATATTGATCCTTTTTGTATTGTGATCTATTTTTTTAAAAGTCAATCTTCTTCAGAGGTTCAAGATTAAGCTCTAGACTTGCACGCCTCGCTAATCACACAGCTAGTCCAACTAAATCCGGTGAGATTTGTCAGAGTTGTAGAGTTTGCCTCAGATAAGCTTTGATTCAGACCCTTTGGCTGTTTCTGCCTAGAGCTTTTTTTCAGCGGCTTAATCAAACTCAAATGATCTCAGAAGCTCCCGCCAGTGGTACAGTTTAATGACTGCTCCATATTCTAAGGAGTAGCTCTGCTGCCTTAAGAGATCAACTAAAGGACAGGTTTCAGATTCAGAGTCTGCTGTATAAGCCTCCTACAGTTCTGGATGGGATTTTAATTGCAACCCTGCTTCCTTTAGAACTGGCAAAATAATGTCATCACAGCTGTAGGGCAAGAAGAAGAGAAGCAAAAATATTGGCTGGATATTCGCTTTCCTGTAGCGAGAGAGACTTATTTCATATCTTCCTTTTTATAAATTGGTAGATATCGGGCCTTTGTACCTTTCAGACATTCCCTCATGGTATGAATTGAGCCACATTCACACCACATAGTTAAAGCACTATGAGATTACTTTAAACAGTCAGGGCTTCCCGCAAAGAATTCTGGTTAAATTTGGTTAAATTAATATAATTTAATGTAATTTAATTTAGATTTACATTAAATTAATTTCGGTTAAATTAATATAATTTAATTTATATGGTTCATAATTGCATAGAAATCATTAAAATGGTTGCCAAGTACTTGCAGTTATATTATATATTTATTTGGCATTGCCTGACATTTTCAGAAGGTAAAATTAAATTTTTTTGGTTTTCTGAAAGCAATTTATGTGCTTCTTCATCACACGTAGACTTACCAAGCTAAATGTTGTCCAGTCACACAAAAAAATAACAGCAGATTTGAATTCCTCACACCCCAAAACATATTTTAAAGACCCCTCACCGAAGAAATGTGCAAAAATTAAGTTTCAGCTCCTAAAATGACACGTCCTTTTGCTGGGGGCTTGTCATTTTAAAGTATTTGCATTTCTTTAAAAATGTAGAGGTTGGCCTAGGTTTAGACACAACTTAGCACTTTAACAGACAGCCGAAGTCCACTCCTCCTGCATTAGATCTCCAGGGAAACGGTCAGCCTCCTCATATACTTACTCAGCAGTACCTCTCAAGTCTAGAGAACATAATGTACAAATAAATTGCAGATAACAATTTCAGGTATTGATTTATGTTTTACTTTTTGCAGAATAAACCGATGTTAAGTAAACAACGTGGTATTTTTAGGCTTGGATGAAATGGAGCTACTTATCTCACAGGACAAAACATTTCTTTCAAGTGAAGGTTAAAAAGGACAAATGTTTCTGGAGAGAGAGTTAGCACAACTGTTGTCAAAGCTTCTTTTCAAATAGACAACACGGTGGCAGTTGCTCAGCCCTCCTAAAAATCAGTAAGACTTTTCATTATAAGGATTGGGGTGATTACAGTTCTTACTATTATCTCAAAGCAGATTTCTTTCTCTCTCTTTGCCCATCTCATACACTTCTCCTGTATCCTCCTAGCAGCTCCTCATGCTATCTCTGTGCCATGTGCAATATCCATGCAATGACTCTGACCCCTGAGCATCCTTGACACAACCTTTTGAGTGATGGATCCACATTGATAGAGGGCCCTAGAGAACCCTGGCTTATTCATGGGCTGACGTAGCAAAGGGTCAGAGTTGTGAGCGCTTGTCTTCTTTAGACATAGCATACCAATTAAATCCATTTCTGTATTACCAGAAGAGAATAATTTGCATGCAAGAGGTAAGAAATCTAGTTTGGCGACAAGATTCACATGCTTTTTTTAGAAATGTGCTCTCCATCCTAGAAAAAAAGCAGAAGAAATTAAACATGGGGGAAGAAGACTGACCTTTGCAGGTCAATTTTTAACCTAGTAAAAGTGCATAAATCTTTCTTTGCAACAGAAAGGGAGAAACTGCACTAAAATGTATAAAATTCCAAGTTGTTCCTTATTATGGTATTAAGTCACAGAATATAAATTATTATTCTTAATTACTCACCCTTTATCCAAAGGTCCGAGGGCAGGTTACATTTTTTTAAAAAATCATTAATATGAAAACACAATATTAAGAACAGCTTAAACCAATTTAACAATAATAATAAATAAATAAATAAATAACCCAACAGGAATAACAGATGTTGGAAAAACCTCTGTTCTCCTTGTTAGAAGTAACTTGTTGAGTGGGTTTCTGTTGCTCACGAAGAGGGAGAGGGCCAAGGCGATCCCCCAGGGGATTGGTGGTAGGACGACGATGAGTGGTCAGAGGGAGAAGAGGGAGCAGACTGGGAGGAGGTGGTGTTGGAAGCTGAAGATGGTTAGTGAGCAGAAAGAGGCTGCGGCAGAGAGCAGTCCAGAATCAGAGGCAGAAGTGGAGGCTGGAGGGGGGGGGGAAGAGGCAGAGATGAGGCAGGCTGCTGAAGAAGCCAGGGGGTCTCCCACTCCTACTGCGCCCAGCTCCCATCCCTGCTGGTCTCCCAGGACCAGTAGAGGTATGAAGAGGGCGAGGCAAAGACAGACGGCATCAGAGTCTCTGATTGCTTGGGAAGGCACTGGGGAAGGAGGAGACTTAGGTAGCTGTGAGAAGGCAGGGACCTTCAGTCCTTGCAGCTGCCTCACTGGGGCAAGACCTACTGGGAAATGTTGCCGTGCTCACAAGGCCTGGCCTCCTGAGCTGTTCCTATTTCTTTGAAAAAAGAGAGTTAACTTCATTGACACCGTGTGAATTATTGCTGACCTGCTCCTGACACTCACCTTGACAGAAACATGCAGTTGCACTGGCAGGAGCGCCAGGTTAGCTCCACGGGTGTGTTTGCATCATGCTACCCTCCCTGTCACCTGACTCCACCTGACCAACCAGTAAGCAAGTGTAGTGGTTCCATCCCACCCCAATGGGCTGCTTCAGTTCCTTGCAGAGCTCAAGCAAGCACAGTCTTCCATTTGCTTTCTCAACGAGTGGCTGATCAGATGAAGCTGTATTCTACTGGCTTCATCAACCTCAGCGTCACCCTCCCCTTCGCCAACTAATTACTAGGAGTGTTTTGCAGTCATTCTAACTCTGCTAACCCTCCCCTGTTCAAACCTCTCAATCTCACAACACTGGCTGAAATAATGTTTTAGCTGTAATTGTTTCTCAGTGTTTTTCACATTGCAAGCGATCGGACAAGATGACCCTCGGGATCCCTTCCAACTCTCTGATTTTATGATTCTAACTGTTTTAGAATGTTTTAGATGTTTTGGAACACTTTAAAAAACGGACATTTTTTCCGCTCTGGGCTCCTTTAAGAGGAAGGGCAAAATATAAATTCAACTAATAAATGACCCCAGGATCAACTTCTTTGAAGACTAGTGGCTTCCTAGAATCTCAGGTACTGGTGTTTTCCATCCTTGCTGCCCATTTTGCTGGAGATACTGAAACTGGGATTTCAGCATCCTAGACAGGTACTCTGGTGCTGATAAATGAACAACATACAAACAACTCCAGTAGTTTTCTCCCCCAAATCAGGCTACTGGTCCATCAAGACCAAGGGGTAGCCACCATGGTGATCTCAGAAAGTGGACTATAGTTCCTATCATCCCTGACCATTGGCTAACGTGAATGGGAATTTTAGTCCATACTCTGTAGATGATCTAGCCCAATATTGTATTCCCTGATCAGCAATGGCTCCCCAAGACCCTAGGTTGATGTTCCATTTCTTTTCACCTCCACACTTCCTGCTTCCTCTTTCTCATTCAAAAATAAAAGTGTGCGCTGCGCAATTCCAAATGGTGAAGGGGTGTGTGTGTGCACGCACACACACACATTATTCCACCCTCCCCTTAATGTGCCGTAGGCCTCTGAAACGCCAGTCAAGGTGCTAATCCCAAAATGAAAATCTAGAGGAAGTGAGAAAAGCCTTGGATGAATATTTTACCATTTAAGAAGTGATGACAGAGGCAAAAACAGAATGCAAAAGGGATGCTTCTAGGGAGGTCGGATGGGAGCAAGGACGGATGCTATATAGCAGAATTTTCCCCATTTATCATTGACAAGGGGCCAAAATGAATAAAGTAAACAGTATAAAGCAGTCTGCATTGCTTGTTTTGGAACATATAATGTCATTGATTTGCAGAAAAAGGCATGTTCATATACCTTTTTTAAAATTACCGTATTTTTTTGCTCTATAAGACTCACTTTTTTCCCTCATAAAAAGTAAGGGGAGATGTGTGTGCGTCTTATGGAGCGAATGCAGGCTGCGTAGCTATCCCAGAAGCCAGAACAGCAAGAGGGATTGCTGCTTTCACTGAGCAGTACTCCCTCTTGCTGTTCTGGCTTCTGGGATTCAGAATATTTTTTTTCTTGTTTTCCTCCTCCAAAAACTAGGTGCGTCTTATGGTCTGGTGCGTCTTATGGAGCGAAAAATACGGTACATTTCCATTCTGCTCTTCCTCCAAGGAGTCTAGGCTGGCAGCTATCATCCTCGTAACAGTATACCAGTGAGATGGGTCAGGCTATGTAATGGTGACTGCTTGTTCCCCCCCACAATCACCCAGCAAGCACTGTGCCTAAATAGGGATTTGTTGGTTGCTGAGTATGTTTGTCAAAGTCTTTTACAAATTTTAAACATTTGTATGGATTTTATGTCAGTTCAGGGTCACATAAGGACACAAGGAGACCCCTCTGGATTAGGCCAATAGCCCATCTGGACCTGTTCTCACAGTGGCCAACCAAATACCTGTGGGAAGCCTCCAAGTAGGACCGGACACAAGCACACTCTCCCCTCCTGTGGTTTTCAGAAGCATTGCCTCCACCATGACCAGTAGCCATTGATAGACTTATCCTCCATGAATTTGCCTAATCTACTTTTAAAGTCATCCAGATTGTCAGCCATCACAACCTTCTGTGGCAGTGGGTTCCATTGTTTATGTACTGCATGAATAGGTTCTTGTTTCTATCTGAATCATTCAGCTTCATTGGATGTCTATGAGTTCTAGTGTTTTCAGAGAGGAAGAACTATTCTCTGTCCACTTTCTAGATGCAAGGCATAATTTTCTAAGCTTATTTTATGTCACCTCTTACTTGTCTTTTCTATAAACTATCAAGTCCAAATGTGGCAACCTTTCTTCACAGGGTCTTTGCTTGCTCCATCTCCTTGATAATTCTGGTTGTATTAACCGCTTTCAATTTTAACCTGAGGGTTGCCATTTGTTCAGTTTTAACTTTTTAAAAAACTTTTTAAAAATTTTATTTCAGGATTTTTACATACATTATATTATCTCCTTCCAATTTTTAAATTTCCCGTACAATTTTTCCTTCCCCTCCCTCCCCCCCTGCAATATCTATTGGAAGGGTTCAAACAATTATCCTCAGCCGACTTCCGGTCAGCGCCAGCAGCAATGGCGGACCTCCTTTGATCTTCGGAGGGGGTAGCTCAGCGGGAGATCGGGTCCTGTGCGCTCCGGCGAAGCGGGGACCCTCAGAAATCGCAGGCGCGGACGCCTGCGAACGTGGAGGCTCGGCGGGCACCTTGGAGCGCCCCCCCAACCCGAAAGGAAGCCTTTTTTGAGGCTTCGGAAGGGAGCGGGGGAGAAGCGCGGTGCTGCGAGCGGATCGCTGCTCTCACTGAGCGAAGCCGTGTTGCCGTTGCAGGAGAGCGCTGACTTATTCCTGGGACATTTGGACTTAAAAATTAACCGTGAGTAGAAGAATTGGATAAAAGAGCATTATTTGGACTAATTTGGACTATTTGTGAAAAAGCGGAAAAGTTTTAAGCCGTTTAAAAACGTCTGAATTGGCTACCGCGGTGGAAGCGTAAACAGGAAGTCCGCTTCACTGCACTGTATAAGGAATAAAGCAAAGAGATTTGGAGCTAAACGTGGGAAAACTGAACTGAAATAAGTGTTTCTTTCTGACCTGAGAACTTTGGAAGGATCTACCCTTTGGAGGGTTAAGGGAAAGACTCTTGATTTTACCGGACTGTTTAAATTGAAGGATTAAATGAGTGATCTGTCAGTGGGACGTCTCAGCTGTCAAAGCTGTTAAGGCTGTTTGCTGGCTGCAAAGGAGATACACTGTGGCCAACTTCATTGGGAAAAGATTGGAAAGGACTGGAAAGTTATATTGTGTCCTCTATTCTTGACTCTTTTACTTAGTATCTTTCCCCTGTTATTTTAAAAAGACAGTAACTTGCTAGGTGGTAACAGTGTCCATCTAGTGGGACTCTCTGCAATTGCAGGAAAGGAAAGGAATTTTCCACTTATAAACAGGAACATCAGACGTGGGAAAGGAATTTGACCTTCACTTTGTTATGGCTGATGGTCAAAAGGACCAGTCAACTTTGAGATCAGGGAAACCTTGGACACATAGAAGGCAATCATCTGCTGGCTTGCCCGCATCGGCAATACAATCTAAGTCTGGTGGAATGTCTGAGGAACTTTTAGCCAGTGCTCTGACTAAGATTAATGAATCAATACAGCAATTAAGTACAAAAGTGGGGGAGACGAATAGCAAGGTGGAAGAGACGAACCAGAAAGTGGATATTGCAAACAGGAAAATTGATTTAAATACAGAAACATTAGGCAATTTGGAGAAAAAAGTAAACAGCAATACGGAATCTATCCAGAAACTATTGCAAGACTCAAAGTCTATACAGGAAAAAACTGCTGCCGTAGAATTTAAATTGGGGCAATTGGAAACTGAAAAAGTACCAGACTTGCAGAAAGAGATTGCAGAACATAAGTTAACGTTATCTATGATTGACCTGAAAGACAAACAAACAAATCTTAGAATTAGAGCTGTTCCTGAGTTGGAGAAAGGTACCTTGATAGACTTTTTGACACAAGAATTTTTGGACTTTTGGAAATCGGAATTGAAACAAGAGGATTTTAAGATTGTGAGGGCTTTTCGACTGGGGAAAGGAGGAAGAAAGATCAAAATAAGGGACTGTTTGATCACTCTCCGATCCAAAGAAGAAAGGGACAAAATTTTGGGCTTACATTACGAAAAACCTTTGACAATTATACAATCAAAAGTGGAAATTTTCAAAGATATACCAAAACATCTTCTTGATTTAAGAAAGGACTTTGGAGATTTGGTGGACTTGTTGAGAAAAAATAAAATCCTTTTTAGGTGGGAATTTCCCCAAGGTCTATCCTTTAGCTTCAAAGGAAGAAAGACCAAGATTAGATCAGTGGAGGAAAAGAACAAGTTTCTGAGTGCATACGAAGAAGATCTACTGAAAGGATTGGGAAAAGACATTGCGATACTGGATAAGGGTCTGCAAAAAAAAGGGAAACCAACGCCACCGACGGATATAGACAACCTTCTTGGGGCTGTTGGAGGAGAAGGAGAGTAACTACAAAATGACACTACAAATTTTAAGCTGGAATATTAATGGCCTAAATTCGTCGGCAAAAAGGGGGAGAGTATTTCATACATTGAAAAAAGAACATTTGGACTTGATTTGTTTACAAGAGACTCATGTGACAAGGCTACATCGGAAAATTTTGATAAATAAAAGATTGGGAGAGGAATTTATCTCATCGGATAATGTAAAAAAAAGAGGGGTAGTACTTTATGCGAAGGAAAGCCTGTCACCAAAATTTATATTTAAAGATGACCAAGGAAGATATATAGCAATTGAAATTCAATTCCAAGGTCAGAAATTTTTGATAATAGGCGTATACGCACCAAATGAGGGAAAATCAGAATTCTTCAAGAAACTGCATGAAACTCTCCTGGATTATTTGGATTACAACATTATTTTGATGGGAGATATGAATGGAGTAGTGTCTACAAATATGGATAAAGCCCAAAGACAAACAGTGACAAAAGATGGAAGACTGCCAAGGACATTTTTTGAAATGACTGACAATATGGATCTTGTGGATATTTGGCGAATAAAGAACCCCTTGGAAAGAGAAGGAACCTTCTTCTCTGAAGCAAATATGACATGGACAAGAATAGACCAAATCTGGACAACTAGAGGACTGGCTCCTAAAATCAAAAAGCGGTGATTTGCCCGAAAATTTGCTCTGATCACAATCCAGTAAAGATTGAAATGATATCAACGCCAATTGGGGCCTTTAGATGGAGGATGAATGACTCCTTATTTAGGAATGAGGAAATTATTAAAAAGGCTCAGAAGAATTTGAGAGACTATTTTGAAATAAATTTGAATACTACGACAGTAAAAGAGTGATTTGGGATGCCAGCAAAGCGGTGATGAGAGGATTTTGATACAACAAAATGCAATTAGGAAAAGATATCAAAATGAGAAGAGAGAAAAATTTTGGAGAAAATTAAGGATGGAGAAAAAGACTGAGAGCGAAACCAAACTCACAGGAGATTTTAAAAGAGATAAAGCTATACCAAGTACAATATATGAAATTGATGAACCAGGAGATAGAATGGAAGATCAAACAGATGAAACAAAAGACTTTCGAATCGGCAAATAAATGTGGGAAATTATTGGCCTGGCAAATGAAAAAAAGACAAAAGCTGAATACGATTACGAACTTGGTTGTAGAAGGGAAGAATATACAGAATCCTGGAGAGATTCGGAAGTGCTTTCAGAATTATTTTAAACAGTTAATATACCCAGGAGACCCAGAAAGAATTAGACATTGACCGATTTTTGGAAAATAATGGATTACAAAAAGTATCTCAAGACAGTAAATCAACATTAAACTCTACAATATCTGATCAAGAAGTGGAAGGAGCCATTCAGAATATGAAATTGGGCAAATCTCCAGGGCCGGATGGACTAACTGCAAAGTACTACAAAACTTTGAAAGAATGGTTACTGCAACCGTTGAAAGAACTTTGCAATGAAATACTACGGGGAGGAAAAGCACCCGAGTCGTGGAAAGAAGCATACATCACACTTATACCAAAAACCGAAGTGGAGAAGACACAGTTGAAGAACTACCGTCCCATATCCCTATTAAATGTGGATTACAAAATTTTTGCCGAAATTATGGCTAAAAGATTAAAAAATGTATTGGTAAAAGAGATTCATAAAGACCAGGCGGGCTTTCTCCCTGGGAGACATTTGTCAGACAATACTAGGAACATTATTAATATTTTGGAAAAATTGCAAGTTAATATTAATACTAAAGCTGTTTTAATATTTGTAGATGCGGAGAAAGCGTTTGATAACATTTCTTGGAGTTTTATGAAGAAAAATCTGCAGGGGATGGGGGTAGGCCAAAGTTTTGAAAATGGTATAAGTGCAATTTACTCGGAACAAAAAGCTAAGCTTATTGTGAATAATGTAGTTACAGAAGAATTTAAGATAGAGAAAGGAACAAGACAGGGTTGCCCAATCTCCCCATTGCTTTTTATATCGGTCCTGGAGGTCTTGCTCAATATGATTAGGAAAGACCAATTGGTTAAAGGTATACAACTCGGAGCTAAACAGTACAAACTGAAAGCTTTTGCCGATGACATAGTTTTGACATTACAGGAGCCAGAAGCTAGTACAAAAAGAGTGTTACAATTAATCCAAGAATTTGGCCAAGTAGCAGGTTTTAAATTAAACAAGATGAAAACTAAGGTATTAGAGAAAAATCTTACAGAGACAGAGAAGGAGAGGTTTCAGAAAGAGACAGGATTAACAATTGTTAATAAAGTGAAATATCTAGGGGTGAATATGACTGCCAAAAATGTGAATCTGTTTAAAGATAATTACGAAAAATGTTGGTCAGAGGTGAAGAAGGATTTAGAAATATGGTCAAAATTGAAGTTATCATTGTTGGGCCGAATTGCAGCGATAAAGATGAATGTATTGCCTAGAATGTTGTTTTTGTTCCAAACATTACAAATTGTGGATAAAATGGACTGTTTCAAGAGGTGGCAAAGAGACATTTCCAAATTTATCTGGCAGGGCAAAAAGCCTAGAATAAAATTTAAGATATTAACAGATGCGAAGGAAAGAGGGGGATTTGCCCTGCCAGATCTTAAACTATACTATGAATCAGCCGCTTTTTGTTGGCTGAAAGATTGGCTACTTCTTGAAAATGTGGACATTTTAGATCTAGAAGGTTTTGATAATGTGTTTGGGTGGCATGCATATTTATGGTATGACAAAGTCAAAGCGCATAAGGCCTTTAAGAATCATATTGTCAGGAAAGCATTATTCAATGTTTGGGTGAGATATAAGGATTTGTTGGAAAGTAAAACACCAAGGTGGCTATCACCAATGGAGGCTAAGGCTCTGAAAAAAACAAATATGGAGACAAACTGGCCAAAATATTGTGAAATTTTAGAACAAGTTGGAGATAAATTAAAATTGCAGAGCTTTGACAAATTAAAAACTAAAGTTCGAGATTGGCTGCATTATTATCAAATAAGGGAGGTTTTTAATTTAGATAAAAAAGATTGGCTTCCAGGAGGAAAAATCTAAACTGGAAACGGAATTGCTAGAACCTAAAACTAAAAATCTGTCAAGAATGTATAACCTGCTGTTGAAATGGAATACACAGGATGAAATGGTTAAATCTGCTATGATTAAATGGGCGCAAGATGTTGGGCATAATATCATGTTTGCTGACTGGGAATGGTTATGGACCACAGGTATAAAATTTACGGCTTGTAACGCCTTAAGAGAAAATATAATGAAAATGATTTACAGGTGGTACTTAACCCCAGTCAAGCTAGCAAAAATTTATCATTTGCCTGATAATAAATGTTGGAAATGTAAAGAAAATGAAGGTACTTTTTTCCACCTTTGGTGGACGTGCCCAAAGATCAAGGCCTTCTGGGAAATGATATATAATGAACTAAAAAAGGTATTGAAATATACTTTCTTGAAGAAACCAGAGGCCTTCCTCTTGGGCATGGTCAGCCAATTGGTGCGAAGGGAAGACAGGAATTTCTTTATGTATGCGACAGCAGCGGCAAGAATACTTATTGGGAAATACTGGAAGACACAAGAATTGCCTACCCGAGAAGAATGGCAGAGAAAAGTGATAGACTATATGGAACTGGCTGAGATGACCGGCAGAATTCGAGATCAGGAAGAAGGGTCGATGGAAGAAGATTGGAAAAAATTTAAAATATATCTTCAGAAATACTGTAATATAAAAGAATGTTAGAAAAGGTTGGAGAAGAATATTAGACCGTATTGGCAGACAGAGTATAATGGAATAAGTAAATATGAAGTGTAAAATAAAGATAGAGGAGAATTAAATACTTTCGAATGTTAAAATAAGTAAATGAAAAGAAGGTTAGAAGGATTTGCTGGAGATACGATTCAAATTAGAATACAAAGCAGAGAGGTGAGAGGAAGTCACGGAAATAAGTAAATGGGAAAACGGTTTTAAAGGTTTAATTTGATTTTTTGTTACTTTTTTATTGTGACTTTTTGTCCTTTGTATTTTTCTTTTGTATTGTTCGTTTTTTGTATAAGATGTATGTGATTTGTTTTTCTTTTCCTACTTTTTTCTTTTTCTGTAATCTTAAAATTGGAATAAATATTCTTAAAAAAACCAAACAAAACAAACAATTATCCTCAGCCACACGCATAGCATCTTTAGTTTCCACCAAATGTCTTTTGTTCCAGTAGTTTCTATCCATTGAAGATAGGAGTTCCATCTGTTCCTTATCATGGTAGATTTGAACTTCCACGTTGTTTCCTGTGATGTTACTACGACAATGTCCGACTGTTGTTCAGTTTTAACTTTAATTTATTTGAATTAATTTTGGGATGCATTTTAATCAATTGCTTGCTTGTTTTTATGCATATTGTATTATTTATACGTTAGCCGCTCTGAGCCTGGCTCCGGCCAGGGAGGGTGGGGTTCAAATAAATAAATTATGATGATGATGATGATGATGATGATGATGATGAACATTTTCCAACTCTGCAATATCTTTTTTTTCAGGTGAGGTGACCAGAATCGCACACAGTACAGTGGTACCTCAGGTTACATACGCTTCAGGTTACATACACTTCAGGTTACAGACTCCGCTAACCCAGAAATAGTGCTTCAGGTTAAGAACTTTGCTTCAGGATAAGAACAGAAATCGTGCTCTGGCGGCACAGCGGCAGCAGGAGGCCCCATTAGCTAAAGTGGTGCTCCAGGTTAAGAACAGTTTCAGGTTAAGTACGGACCTCCGGAACGAATTAAGTACTTAACCTGAGGTACCACTGTATTCCAAATGCAGCTGTGCCAAAGATTTGTATAACGCAATGAGTTACATTTCATTGCAGCCCATAACTGTATAAAGTCTGGAGAACCCAGTTTGGAAATCACTGTGTAAGAAGCAGCACTGCCAATCTCCCATCCCTTTGGATTTACATGTGAAAGAAGGCGCCTTTGATCAGCTGGCTAGCCTCACATTGTTCCATGGAGAAAGAATAAGAAAGGAAAGACAGCCTCTTTTATATCGCTGACAGCCGCTCCTAAAATGACACTGGTCCTTCAGCAATGCTTTAAAATGTCACTATTCTTTGGTAGGAAAAATGACAGCACAGCATATTTTTGCAGAAAGATATTGTTGCAAGTCAACATTTCATGTAGCAGGAATTCAGGACCTTGAATAAGTTGGCAGACCAAACTATGGCCGCATACGCATCAAATGTTTGAAGCACAGATTCCTCCCAAAGAGATCTGGGAACTGTACTGTAATTATGGGAATGGTAGTTCTGTGAGGGGCAAACTATAGTTCCCAGGATTCTTTCAGCAGGGGCGGATGTGCTTTAAATGTAGGGTGTTTTTGCAATCAAATCTGGATGAACTCTCAGTGAAGAAGCTGTCTGGAGAAACTGTCCGTCTTCTGAGTGGCTGCAATGAGGAGTACAAGCCAGTGCTGCAAGTTTTCAAGTGACTACCAGGCTAGCAAATGTGCTTTAAATGTATAGTACACCCACCCACCCTGAGAGACAAGCTGAAGTGAGGAAAGAACAGGAAATCAAAAATAGCACTCTCAAATTCTGTCCTATCTGGTCCTGCCAACATTGTAGGACCGTCACAAACCTAGTTACTTGGCTTTGGCAAAGAACCAGGTGGGCGGCTCCCACATGAGACAGAATTTGGGAGCGGGGATGAGTGTTACGGACTGTCTTGTTCTTAAAATGTATTGGCAGCCCCTCCTGACTAGCTCCTTCAGGAGCAACGAACACTGTTCACCTGCTCCCATGAACAGTTTTTGGTAGTTTATTAGTGTCTGCTCATTTTTTTAAAAAAAATGTTCAACGGGATTATATACTCCAATTACAAGAGATTAAAGGCCTTTTTCTGTAGCTGTGATGGAAGAGCAAAAGGCAGCTTAGCCTTATTGATCGTTCCAGCTCATAACTAGTTCTGTCTCCCTTTGGCTTTGGACCTGTGGAGCGTGTGGCTTGGTTTCTCCTGCCCAAACATCCCAGGTTGCTGCTGTGTGTCACAGCCTTGCCTCAATATGACAGGCTCCCTGGGATCAATTTGCACTAAACACAGGGCTGATGACCTAAGGCTGAGAAAGCTGACAAACGCATTGTGGTGATGAGGCAAATAGATGTCAATGTGCAGGTAGTATGGCAATGTACAACTGTTTGGGCTGCAGCCTTCAGGCCATGTCTAATAAGGGTGGTAGCGGTATTGGGCATATCCCAGCCAACGCTAAGCCCCTTCAAACAACGTTTATTTCCTTGGGAAAGCAATGCATAAACTTCCTACAGCTGGATGGGAGCATTCAAATCTCCTACAGCAGTGTTGGGGGGTGAGGGCCACATTGCTTTCTGGCCATCTTCTGGGGGTGTCTCATGTCATGGTTGGTGGTATCAGAAGCACCAGTGGTCAGAGAAGTAAATGTGAATGGTGCTTTTGTACAGGATGCACCCCTCTCTATTCTCCATCCAGGAGAGAAATGGAGGATATGTGGCATGAGGAGGGCCTGGGAAAGAGATGTGGAGGGCCATAGCCAGCCCCAGAACATGAGGTTCCCCATCTCTGTCCTGTGAGTGACTTGGCTCTAGTCAGGAAGGTAGCAGTGTTGGTCTGATGCAGTCAAACCTTTTTTTTAAATTGTCCAGTAGCACCTTAGAGACCAACTAAGAAGTTCTGGGTTTAAGCTTTGTGTGCTACTGGACAATTTTTTAAAAAATATTTTTTTTTGCTCTAGTCACCAATTCTTGGCCTAACTTACCTGACAGGTGTGACACAAGGGTCAGTTGGGCCCAGGCCCAGCCCATATGCTGTCCTGAGCTCCTCAAAGGAAAAGTGGGAGGGGGCAACAGAATTAATAATGACAGGACTCCTTCGCTGAATTTTTTTAAAGCGCTTTTATGAAACGCCAACCATAACAAACATACAAAAACTACTTCTACCTGTAAGAATATTGTTCATTTGTGGTGGGGAAGGATTAGTCTTTTTAAATTTCTCATTGCCTCGTGCTTCAGGTGGTACCAGTGGCTAGCAGTGCTTTTAAACAACAGCATCCTAATAAGACTACAATCCTTTCTTCTTTCAGGTATGGAAGCACTATTGCTTGCTGCTGGAGCACATGGGAAAGGTCCCGGGTTTAATCCCTGACATCACCAGGTAAGGCTGAGAAAGACCCCAGAAAGCTGCTGTGTCAGTCAGTGTCAGCAGTGTTGAGATAGATGGACTAAGGACTCTACTTCCTATGAGCTTTGGGAACTGCAGTAAAACTTCAAATTGGTGCTTACCCTCAAAACTGGCAGCTTAGCACTGCTAGCTGAATCTGTGTTTATCTTCTGCGAATTTTTGTATAATGAAGGCTTGGAAAGAGGCCATGAGTATAAGGAGTAGGTCAGTTTGGTCTCAGGGTTTGGATCTGAAATGTCAGGATTTCAGCCTCCTCAGGGTCTCCAGGGGAAGAAGGAATTTGTACCACACAGAATCTTAGTAGGAAATTAAGTGACTGAAAACCATCAACACAAATCATACACATTCATTTTTTATAATTGAGCATTTGGTGATGTCACAGGAGCACAATGGAAGGCAAATTGAGCTCAGATTAAATCTAGCTTTGTTTGATGTTTTGTTTCTTTATATTTTGCTGGAAGCCGCTCGGTGTGGCTGAGGTAACCCAGTCAGATGGACGGGGTATAATAAATTATTATTATTATTATTATTATTATTAACCTGTTGTGGTTGTCCAGGACAATCTGTATTATTCTGGCCTTAAGACATCTGCATGCTTTTGTGCCCACAAGCATGCATGGCATCTGTCAACAGAAATGTGTAACTGCTTCAGAAGCAATCCATGGTGCTGATTTTAAGATTGAAATTCCTAAGTAGCTGATTTTCTACAGACCACCATTCCCTCTATTTCAGTGCCACACTAACCAACATGATGGAGACTGTACCATCTACACTATAGGCTACGCACCCATGCAACAGTTTGGGGGTCTTCTCTCTGTGACTGCTCGCTATCTCTGTATGCAGTCTACCACAATCTAACCATCACAACAATAACAAAAAGCAGATTGCTCTTTCAGTAACCAGGCTCCCCTTCTTCTAGCCAAATTGTCAAATTGTCTGAGCCCCTCACTTAATAACCCAAGAATTCCACCTTGCTTTCGGTTCACAGGGCCACAGCAGATCTGGGATTCCCAAAGACAACGCCTCGCCTGCATTCGTGCCTGTGGCTACATTTGGTGCTTTTGCTTAAACCTGCATTCTTTCCCACCACTTCCTTCTTGCTGATCTGATAAGGCCTCCTTCTCACGAAAGGTGGCTTTTACCTTGAAAATTGCACCCTGCTGGCTGCAGATCATCAGGCCACAGGAATATAAACAGATGGCCTTGCCCTGACTTAGCCCAGCCCAGATCAGATTAATTTCCTGCAGCCAGCCAGCCAGTCAGCTGGTGGCGAAAGCTACCAGGCGGGGATTAGGTTATCATTTCCAAGGCTCAGAATTAATAATGACAAATTCATTAAGAGTTCTCTCTTGGGTAAGGTTGAGAGAAATATGTGAGATTCCCGATGCTTCCTCTTTATTGCACACCATTTTTATCCTCCTTGGTTCTTGACTTTCCCCTCATTCATTTTCTTTGCCCTTGACTCTTTCTTTTTCTTCCTTTCCACAAATTGGGGGGTAATTTGCACAGAGGCATTTTCTAAAGTGCGAGTAGGTGCACATCTAAGGATCTCAGCACCCTTCACTCATTAACGTTAGGGCGTTTTTAATATATGGGTAAAAAATTAACATTTAAAGCCAAGTCTCCAAAAGGAAGTGCAAAGTATAAGCCCAAAGTACATATCTGTGCTTTTGTAAACACCCAGGCACAGAGACACGTGCCTGATGGAAGCCTTCTCCTGATGTCTTCACACATGATATTCTTACACGCGAGTAAGAAACTTCAGCCACGTGTGAAGATCGGGCAGGTCTGCGTTTTGCGCCGGATCAGCCCGGCAACCTTCCCACGGAGCGCCCATGATCCATCCAGCCCAGCAGGCACTTGCGTGTTTGTCTCCCCTCCCGACCCGTATGCGTTTCCCCCGGGCAGCCTTAGTAGTGGAACCAGACGGGGCAGCGACCCTCCTCCTCCAGCCAGGCCTGCTGGCAGCTCTCTGAGGGAGGGAGGCGTCGCGGCTGCCCGCGCAGCCCCTGAGCATGTGGCTGAAGTGGAAGGAGCCCAGCCGATCTTGCCATCTGCAGCTCCGCGCTGCTGATCTCGGCTAAGGAGGTTGGGGGAAGCGGGCCAGAGGAGGGGAGCGGCGGCGGCGGAGGAGGAGGAGGGCGGGGTCTTCAGGTGCTCAGCACCGTCCTTCGCTCGCTGCGAGCCAGACGCCGTTGGAGAAGTGCGAGGCGGCAGTTGGGCGGCGAGAAGTCGCGGGGAACGGATCGGGTCCCTCTGCCACGGCCCCCTCGCGGAATCCTCTGCCGGCAAGAGCGGGGCGCGACGCCGCCAGCCCTTCCTCGGAATCCCCTGCATGCCTGGATCCCTCGGCTGCCGGAGGAAGAGCCAGAGGCCGGCGGGCTGGAGGACCTCCGCTTTGAAGCTGCTGCACTCACCGTTGGGCAGTACTACCTCCTACCTCCCCCCGCCACACGCACGCACACATTCTAGGTTGGGCGCCCCGAGGGTCGTGCGACGGAGAGATGCAAACGGCGACTGCCTCGATCCTCGACGTTTCAAGGACGGTGGTGATCCGCGAGGACGGCAACCATGCCCAGAATAACTACACGGGTAAGGAAAGAGCCGTCTTGGCAGCGGAGGGTCGCCTGGAAGGGGGGCAGGGAGGGGGGTCTGCGCTGCGCTGCCTGGCGCTTGAGATGGGCGCAACGACACAAAATTGGGGGGGGGGCAAGGGAAGAGGTCTTGGATTGTATGGGTGGGAAAGCCCAGCCAGGTGTGGCATCTGGGTTTGGGCAGGTACCCCGAGAGAGACAACCCCCGCCCGCACACTTTCCCTGTAGGCATGATGAGCCCCCTGAAAAGAGAAGCCCCGGGTTTCCTTTGGAAGGGCTGCTCTTCCGAGGACCTGTCGTCCTTATGACTGCACGATGCTGAAGGATGGGCACTCTGCAGATGCCTCGAGGCGCTCTGGTTTGGAGCGTTGCTTGTTAAACTCCAACCTTGGCGCCGAAACAGGTTCCGGGGCTGAGCCCTGCTTCTGTTCCGTGATGCGGAGGAGCCACCGCTCAGGCGCAAGCGATGAATGGAACAGGCTCCCGAGTTCATCTTCTGCCATCAGCGCCACTTAAAAGTTCAGAGGTGGCTGGTAGGAAAGATCTTTTCTTGAGCCCTTGGGGAACTGCTGCCTGTCAGAAAACACAGTCCTGGGTTGCACTGACCAGCGGGCTGAGTCAATGCAAAGTTTGCTAGTGGTCAGGAAGATCCTTCAGAGGCTCACTCCTGAAGCCCTGCGGCGGTCTTTCATCCTCAAACGGGCCTAACCAAACTCTGTAACATTTCTGAGGAGCAAATTGCTTTGTGTTTGGTCCCAGGTTCAATCCCAAGCTTCTCTAGGCAACCCTGGGAAATAATTCTGGAGAGCTGCTACTGTTCTCAAAGGTACTACTCTGTATAAGGTAGCTCCTTTTGTTTCTATCTCATTTACCCCATCCTCATGAGACAGGCCACCTTCTTATTTTATAGACTTAGGGAGAAGTTTAGAGACAGTGAGTTGTCTGCAATACCGCCTCCAGATTCACAGAGAGATCAGGATGCAGATTTCAGAGGCATTCAAGGTATCCTCTGCTGTATGTATCCTGCACGACTCTTCTCCTGTATGGGAAACATTTCCCTGCAGTGAAATAAATGTTGGATTGAGCTTTTGGTGGGGGTGTTTGGAACCTATGAAGAGGCCCCCAAATCTGACATGCACTTCAGGCTGTATTTTTGGGTAACCCATATCAGATCAGAGGAGTGACTTAGGCGTAGTAAAGCAAGATACAGGATAATATATCTGCCTGCACTGTAGTTTGCCCAATCCGGCTACCTGGAAGAGGAACTAGCTTCTGAATTTAAATTCAGATTTAACGAAGCTGACTTCAGGGCCAAAAATACACATTATGTGAGAAATCCATAACAGTTCTTGCTTTAAAGTGGAAGCTTTCTCCTTGCACTATTTTCCTGATCTAACCTTTTCTGTCTCTGAAAAAAAAGATAACCAAGCTGCTGTTAGCCCACTGGAGGAAAGAAATTGCAGATACATCCCTCTTCTAGAGTTAAAAGCAGGTTGTTGAGTGTGATTTAGAATGAGAAAATGGTTAGTGTGTGTGTGTGTGTGTAAAATCATCAACACTGACACTGCTCCAGTCAAATGTGAAGCCCCCACAGCTGCTTTAATGTAAAAAAAAAAGAAAGACGATGGGCAATCTAATAATAGAGTTTTCATGTGATGTCTATTTTGGCTTTAGTATACCTACAGAGGATTTTTCTCTTCCTCGTCTTCAGAGGAAGCAACTTACTTTTGATTTGGGCACCCTTCAGGATATCCTAAAAATATATGCTCATCATGATGGCATCCTAAAGTGATATACTCAATGCTAAATGTACCAGGAGAGATGGGGGGGGGGGGGATTCATTGCTTTTTATAGGGGAAATCTAGGCACATGTGTATCTTTGGCCGGATACGACAGTTACAGTATTCAGAACTAAGAAATCACCAAGGGGCAAACTACCCAGTAAATGCATTACTTTGAAGCATGTCAGGGGTTTCCTTTTAAAAATGTAACAGTGAACATGCCCCCCCATTGATTTCCATTGAGGCTATCAGGTGCAGGTAGGTAAGGATTAACTTTTCAGTTCCCAGCCATAGTCCCAATGAAACTAGCTTTCCCTGCCCCATTGCTGTTAGCCTTAGAAAAGCTCCCATTGTTGCTCTTCCTGGATGAAAATTCCCTCTTGTGTCTACTATTTTTTTTAAAAAAGAAAACAAAACTGGCATGCTTCCAAGTGACATGTAGTTGGCCCTGATTTAACTTTGCTGCTCAGCTTGTTAGTGTCTAGAACAAATGCTGCCCATTGTCTTTTAGTAGAGGAGGCAATAAAGGGAAACCTATTTTGACTTGCTGATTTCAGCTCAGTTGGAGCAGAGCAGAATGCACATCCTTTGAAAGAGACTAAAATCGTACCCTTCACTTCCCTCTTGCTGGTGCACCACTCATTTCTGCTTCCTTTACAATTCTTACCGTAAAGAGGGAAGTGATGTCAGCTGAGGTCATGCAATAAGCTGGCCTCACGCAGAGCGAGGATTTCTCGGCAAGGACACTTTCAGTGGTCATTAGTGGAATGTGCTTGCAGACACACCGTGATACGGAGAATAGGACAATAGTACGTATTGAAAGTCAATAATGAGTTCCTTTATACTTAGGAGAAAATGAAACTGACGCTGTGGTGCAGCTCTCTTGAGAAGTCATCCATTCACGGCAGCAGTAAACTTTATTTCCTATCCCCTTGAGCTAAAACAGAGGATTCATTGCACTTTCCAAAATCTGGAACTGGGAGGAATGGCCTGCTGGGCAGTTCATGATGAGGATGATAAAATAAAGCAGTTTCCCTGCTTTTATTGCTATCTGGAATTTTGAGTGCAATGCTAAGCATTCACTGAACATCAAAGTGAACGGGTACAGGATGTGCTAGTCCTTTTCTTTTAGCAGAAGCCATCTCAATATTTTCAGATAAAACCAAACAAACCTTCCGCAAATGATGCTTTCCTTAATGCACCTTTCACCTTTTTCTGATGTTCTGAAGCCAATACGGCCACATACAAATTGGAGGTGTCAGCAAGGTCAGGAAAGCCCCCATGTTTACAGAACTATAAAACTATTTTGGGGCAAAACCCCAAAGTGAGGTGGGGTGCAGTCCGGTGAAGACTGAGTGCTGTCACTGAATGCTGACTGACAGTCAGGAGGAGATGGGAAACCATGTTGGAGAAGCAGTGGAATTGAGTTCTGTGAAGGGGGGCATGGCTGGCTATCTTCCACTTATTTTTGCAGCCCAGATAAATATGAAGAACGGGGAAGTCTTCTGTTCCCCATTTACAGCCCAAACGTTTGTGCCAGCGGCAGAAGTTGCCCGTCTAAATCTCCTGCTCCCGGAGCAGCAGCACTGAGTGCACCTGTCTTTCACGTCCTTCTTTTCACTTGTATGTTTTGTTGCAAGGCTATTAGAAATGTAATCTACTTTGCTCACATAAAGCCTGATTCTGTGGGCTTTACTTTACTATTTATGGTACAGTAATGGACCACCAAGGGAGCCGTACACTAAGAAGAACGGCCTGTTCCAGGTTGGCTGCCTCACTGAACCCATACAGCTTATCAGTCAAAGGTGCTGGGATGCTGGCAGTTGAAGCGACAGAGTGATCTGTATGAAAAGTGGCATCTCTCACTTATGTTGCTGTTCTACCCTCACTTACGAAACTATTCAAACAGAAATGCACAGTGGTGGGCACGCTTCCCTTTCCCAACAAATGTCAGACACCCCTTAAATATGTTGCGGCGTCAGGAGAGTGCAGTCCATAGCTCTTCCTGTCAGCTGCCTCAAAATTCCGCTAAGAAAATGGCTGCCCTTCTGCTTGTCAGCCCTTTGAAACAGCTTACACTGGTGGTCATAGATGATGTGTGTCTGTGTATCGGGGTGGTTTGTGCAATGCATCATGCTTTTCTAGAAGGAATTGTTGCTGGTTGTAGTTAAGTAGCCTACTGCAGGGCTGTGACGACAGTCCATAATGTTACGCTCATACAACTTCTTCAAGGGATGAGAAGTTCAGATGTGCTGCTTTTACCAAGCATTGGTGTCCTAGAGAATGGGGTTATGGCATATTGTAGTGTTTGGGTTTATTTACCAGTATACAGGTTGAACTCCAAAAACAGCCAACTTCATTGCCTCACATCAGAGCTTTTTATTACATTCTAGTGGATGGTAAACATCAGGCCAGGGTGTGTGTGAAATGAGGTCCCCCAGGCTTGACCCTTAGGACTCTACCCAGATCATACACCCTCTCTCTAGGCTTCTGGCATATCTTCACACACTAGGTATTTTTGTCTGTGTCTGGCCCTGCTCACCATTGGTATGTGGCCCTCAGAAGCTTGCCCAGAAGGGATTGTGGCCCTCGGGCCCTACTGTTTGTAATGTTCATATTTTACTTTCTTGCATTGCTGTAAGTTGTCTTCAGACCTTTTTTAGTGGAAGGCAATAAATCAAGTAATAAAAATGAAAGGCATTCAGCATTCCAGAATGCTCTTTATAGACAGTCTCTAATAGTGTAGCAATAAAATTGCTAGCACATTTGCAAAGCTAAGCAGGGGCCGGTATGGTTTTGAATTGGATGGGTAACCGCGTGTAGAATTGCAGGGGGTGGGACTAGATGACACTTGGGGTCCCAGTTATATGGTTCTATGATTCTTAATCTCTTTGTCTTTCTCTCTGTGTGTCTCCAAAAATCAATTCATAGATGTACACACCTATGGAGACCTATATTGCATCAAAGTTACCTAGGGAGAAAACTATGCCCGCCTGCTCCCTCTTCTGATCAGCTTTCCCTATTCAGAACATTCCTAAGTGGTCTTGCATCAAGAAGCAGTCTTCTAACAATTATCTCCAATGGAGACCCATTGCCAGAATACCCCGGGCTATTAACACCCCTTTGTCAAGTTCAAGACTCTGCCCCCTGCATATTGACATGGGTAGTCAGTGTGGTTTCCTCCAAATTTTGTTGGACTACAACTCCTATCAGTCCCAGCCAGCTTTGCCAAAGGTCAGAGATGATGAGAGCTGCAGTCCAACAACGTTGGGAAAGCACCATGTTGCCTTAAGGCAATCCACAGTGATAGCTCAGTCCATGTGAATTGGATTGTAAAACCAATAGCAATGAATTGTCATGAGGAGTTTGAAAGAAACTGTATACAGGGAGTGGGCTGGGCCCTCTGATTTCCCTTGCCAAATACAGTTATGGCATCTAGTCAAGATAGATGCTCAAATCTTTTTGTCATAAAACGATGGAAGAAATCATGTCAGGATTGAGAGCACACTTAGAAATTCAGCTTCTCTTTCGTCAGGGGCTGGGTGAACAGACAGATTATCCTGGAGTGGACTTATTATTTGGAAAGACCTGCAGAACCATAAAAATGTTTTTGTGTATGAGAGGGCAGGCCATGCATATGTATCCCTGAAGTGACTGCATGGGAGCTTCTGTGTGTGAAATGCTTACTGCTGATAAATAACTTCATTTACCTGAAAAGCATTTACCGTATTTTTCGCCCTATAAGACGCACTTTTTCCCCTCCAAAAATGAAGGGGAAATGTGTGTGCGTCCTATGGGGCGAATGCAGGCTTCGCGGACCTCTCCGCCAGCAGCGGACCTCTCCTTCAGCATGCAGGCACCTCTCTGCAAGCAGCGGGAGCGCTCCCGCTGCTTGTGGAGAGGTGCCTGCATGCTGAAGCCTGCGCTCACTGATCTCAGCGCGTCCAGGCTTCGCGGACCTCTCCACAAGCAGCGGGAGCCAGCGCTGGGCCCCCACGGCTTGCAGAGAGCTGCCTGTTTGGGGGCTGGGGTCGGGGAAATTCGGGCTTCCCCCGCCCCAGCCCCGCGCCTGGGGGGGAAATAATTCCCTCCCCTTTATTTCCCCCCCCAAAAAACTAGGTGCGCCTTATGGGACGGTGCGTCCTATAGGGCGAAAAATACGGTATAACAGAAATTTTACACATGTAAAACAATTTTTTATTCATATACAAAGCAGATTGGACAGGAATTTAGTGAGGGGAAAGTGCGCCCATTTGCACTGTCTTAGGCTGCATTAAATGTCCCCTCCTGGGGCTGAGTTGCGCAAAAGGTTTAGAGTCCCCACTTTACGTATAGGCATAATTGTCATAGTCCTGTCATTTCTCAGCTTACAGCAAAGGCCATTTACCTTAGCGTTGCCATTACTGCCAAGGGACCCAATTTCACTGCAAAACAATGACTGACCAAAAGCTAAAAGCACAAAAAAATTGCTTCTATATTTTTGCATTAACAGGGGATTGGATGAGGTGGCCTTTGAGGTCATTCCAGCTCCATGGTTTTACGATCACTCCCAGAAATCACCAGTCATTTAACTAGAGAACTCATAGCAGCAGGCAAAGACATTCAAATTGCCAGTCTCCAGAAGTAAAAGCAGTGCTTTTTTCTGGTTGGTACACAGTACCAACACCTTTTTTTTTTCTAGAAGAAAAGGCACTGGTTAAAAGCATGGCACGTACTGTAACAACTTGTGAGTACCGGCACCTTTTATTCTAGAAGAAAAACACTGAGTAAAACAATATAATGTTCCCTTATAGAGGAGCTGCTTGAGTCCTGACTTTATTCCCCTCAGACACAGACCCTGGAGTGAATTAAGAGAATGTAAGTCTCAATCAGTCTTTAATTCCAGGTTCTACAATAGCCATTGATTGCTTTTTTATTAGTTAGGCAGACCAGAGGCCTGAGGTAGAAGCAGGGTAATTAATCTGGCTGGAAAACTATTAATAATTCCCAGGCACTCCCATTTTAGCCAGCATACTAATGGACTCAGGAGTTCTGCATTTTGGAGCCTAACAAGAGGCCTTCTGGGGTCAGGCCAAAGGCCTTTCTAGTTCAGCATTCAGTTTCCCAGAGGCCTCTTGGGAAGTCCACAAACTGGGCATGAGAGCAATATCCCTCTCATACTATGGCTCCTCCGGTGACTGGCATTCCGAGGTATGCTACCTCTGACCCTTATGGCCATGAAGACTAGCAGCTGTATTGATAGTGTTGTTCTCCATAAATTTGTTTAATCCCATTTTAAAGCCGGCTGAGATGGTGGCCACCACTGCATCTAGTGGCAGCGATTTCCAAAGCTCTGCAGCGGTGTTTGTATGAAGACAGGTGAAGGGAACAAAGGGGTTTGTGATATCTTTTGAACACAGCCAAACTGGCTCTCCCTCGGGGCATAGGCTGATGTGGTGGTTGGTTCCACAGAACTAGCCATAGCTCAGTGGCACAGCATCTATGCTGTGTGCAGAAGCTCCCAGATCCAATCCCTGGCATCTCCAGTTAGGGCTGGGAGAGACTTCCTCTCTGAAACCTTGGAGAGCTGTTGCCGGTCAGTGCTGACAGTCCTGAGCTGGACAGATCAATGGGCAGACTCAGGGTCACAGGCAAGGATGCCTTCCTACCAATATGGCAGATAGCATCTCTGCCCCCAAACAAAAAACCAGGCAAGTCCATTCTATGCTCATTGCATCCATAGAGTATCTTGAGTAAAGTTCATCAGGTGATGGGAATGATTCTCATTGAAACTGGGCCTCCTCTTCACAGTAAGAGGGCTTTGTCAGCAATTCAGAATTAATAGGTAAAGGATAAAGGACAGGGTGTCTCTCTGTGTTGCCCAGCTGCTTGTAAATGATTTGTTTCAGTGATGTTACCTTGTGGGAAATGCTTAGAGATAAAGTGTGGGCAGGTGGGGGTGAGTGAAGACTTCACCTTGCAAGGCGCTTGCCTACCTTTCTCAGACCCGAGCAACCTTGTGAATCCCTTTTCGGACGTCAGTGTTTCCAGAAGCAATGGTCCGCAAATCTGCACTTTAAAAAGCTGCCTGCTGCTCAGCCATGAAAAGGTCAAGGGAACTGTGCTTCTAGCAATGTCCGTCCTCCCCGTTCCGAGCGAAGAGATCAAAGCCGGGATATAAGTAATATATTACCTGCAATATAAAATGCGAGCACACCAGGCGGGCTGCATATCCTTGCTTCAGCTAGAATCTGCCATAAAGGATAGTTGACTGTGTGGAAAGAATTAATATGACGTATACTTAACATGACTTTGGTGCTCCAGGTGTGGATCCTTCTGTAATGAAAATGGCACTGTGCAATGTGTGCATGCACAAGAGGGCAGTATCAGTCGGCTTGGATATGGGAAGGGGGGGGAACCTCTTAAAGCCTTAAAACAGGCACTGTTGCAAGCGTCACATCACACTTGTTCCACATTTGTAAGAAATTGGTCTTTTAATGTGGCAACACATGCACTTTGGAACTCCCTGCCTATTGACATCAAGCACGCTCTTTCACTGTACTCTTTTCAATGCCTGCTAAAAACATTTTTGTTTAGGCAAGCCAATCCAGACATACTGAACATTTTAATGTGTTTTGACCTGGTTTTAGCTTATTGTTGATTTTGATTATTTTTTAATGTTTTAAATAGTTGTTTTTACTGATAATTTTATATTATTAGAATCATTTTACAGTGGTACCTCGGGTTACAGATGCTTCAGGTTGCAGATGCTTCAGGTTACAGACTCCGCTAACGCAGAAATAGTACCTTGGGTTAAGAACTTTGCTTCAGGATGAGAACAGAAACCGTGCGGTGGTGGCACGGCAGGCACCATTAACTAAAGTGGTACCTCAGGTTAAGAACAGTTTCAGGTTAAGAACGGACCTCCAGAACGAATTAAGTTCTTAATCCAAGGTACCACTGTATTTTATTCCTTTTGGAAAAACCACTTGGACGTTTCATTACAATGAAGTGGTATATACAGTTTGTGAAATAAAACCAAATAAATAAATAAAGACATCTCAATAAGGACTGAACACATGGTTAGCAGCCACAGAATGCTGGGTGATGTTGGTGGGAGGCCGAAAATGGAGGAGTGAGGGAATGGAATGGAGTATCGTGGAAGGAGGTATGGCAGAATAGAAGTAGTCCACACCACAACATTCTGTCACAAGTTCCATTACACACCCACACCCACACACCCACACACACACCCTGCCTTAGCCTTACTCTTCAATACTTTCTTTAGACAATGTATGAAAAACTTGTCTTTCTACTTTATCATCATTTGAGAACTGAAAAAGTGGGGTGCTTTGAAGGGCTGGCTTGACAGAGTTGTGTGAAAATCCTCATGCTTCAGATGCTGTGAAGCTTCTGGAAAGTTCTAGTTGTGGTGCTTGGCTGATGACGACCACTTTGCTGATGGAAATCACATGCTGCACAAACACATACACATGTGAAGCACCATCAGAGTCGGACATAGGAGCAAGGCCCAAACAAGGAGTGTGTGGCTGAAATCATAATATATAATAAACTCTGTGATAGTAGTCTGAATTTCGACTGTGAGAAGCACCTAGAAAGCAGCTGTGGATGGGGTGGTGAGGCAGCACTACGCACCTGACCTCTGGCTGGTCATTTTGCTGCTGCTTACTAGGAGGTAAAGAGGGAGGTGGTGGTGAGTCTGGCACAGTGTGAATGTGCCTGCAGAGTCAGTCCAGACTCCTGCCGGTGTGTTTGCACCACATCCACCTCCCTTCTCTCTTTATCTCCTGTTAAGCAGCTGTGATGTGTCCAACCAGAGTCAGCTGAGTGATGGCACCCCAATGCTCGCTAGTGCTCAAAAGTCATATTCTCTCCATCTCTTAGTTTGTTTGTTTTTAAGAATTAGATTAGCTATCTTTTAACATGAGGTTAGAATTGGTACTAAGCAAGTAATCAAACACAATTTGGGTTTGCCTCTCTTGTTTTCTAGGCAGATGTGCTGATATTGATTGAAAAGGTGAGGGCCATCTCTGCTTTGCTACATTAACGGAGGAAGTCTGTTAGAACTAATTTGTAGCGTTTTGCTTTGCCATTCTTTTCATTACAGTGATAAACAAGCTTAACTTGTGCTTGATCCCTGTCATCTTCCCCTCGTCCCCCAGGGTCAGGGGAGCAAAAGCTTGGGCACGGCTGTTTAATCATTTGTAGGATGTGCAAAGGCTTCCCGGTTATCTTATGCATATTCCTGCCTTGCCAAACAACAGTGTTTGCGTGTTTGCCACGACATTTATCTGCCAAGGTTGGTGTGCGATTTTCAACAGGGTAGGATCACCTGAACATGCATTGTCTGTATTATTTTGGATGATGGTATAATTATGATCCCATCTTATAGGCATAGGGCAGGGCTGATGGGAACTGAAATGATATCTGCTTAATTGTACAAGCTTAAGTGTATATGATTTGCACAATTATTGCATGTACAAGCATTTCATGTAGATGTGTGGGCGGGAGTCCAGCCGGATGTCCACCTCTCTGGTCAATACAACTGACTGCCTACATGATTCTTACATGAGCAAACTGTAAACACGAAGGGTCTGTATGCATAGTGCAAAAAGAACCCCCCCCTACGTATTAGTAGTAAGAAGAGCCATTGTATGAATAGTACTAGTGCTGTGGTACTAATAGATCAATCACCACCTCCCAGCCTATCCCACCTCAAAAGGTTGTTGTGAGAATAAATAGAAGGCAAGGAAGAATAATGTACACCATTCTGAACAACTTGGAGGAACTGTAGGGTATAAATGGCATAGTAAATAAATATGTACAAGTGCTCTTGTTCATATTAAAAGATGGAATGGCTGACTAATTGGTCACGATACCCAGTAATGGCTACTGCAGATCATTCAGAAGAACAGACCATAGGTTTACTAATTCTTTGCGATGAAAAGTACAGCTCTTGTTACCTGTCCTGGTGAAGCTTTTTGGTTTCTGTCATAAAATGAACTGATCCACTCCTGTACTTCCACTATTTTAATGGTTTTAGTGCAGGAATTCATGTGGCTGCCTTCTCTGGGTTCAGTAAAGTACATTTCTGTTCTAGCGGTTCTGTAATGGAGGTCAAAATGGTGCGAAAAGAATGAGCCTCGCTTAGCCTTGAGCTGGGTCAGCTTGAAAATTCAGAAACGAAAAACTGGCTTACATCTTCACCTTCCTCCCACAGAGAACGTTTCCCTCGTCTGGCACGATCCAGTCTGATGGATGTCATGTCACTCTTGCTTCAGCATGGTCATGTTGCCATTGTGAGATTCTGTAGATGCACCATGGGCGTTATTTGGGGTGCTGAACAGCATTCGAATATAATAGCTTCCATGTTGTAAAAAGTTGAAATAAAAGGAAGCCCTGTGGAACTCTTTTCTTAGTAAGTGGGCTTGTAAGATTTACCAGTTCTGTTCCAGAAAGAAAGAAGCTTGGCTCTTAAAACTGGGATCTTCTGTTGTTTTCATGTCGTACATCTTTTGCAATTCCAAGGTCTACAGGTTAAAGCAAAACAAATGCAAACTATTAGAAGTTTTCACATTGTCATAGAATCATAGAATCATATAATCATAGAGTTGGAAGAGACCACAAGGGCCATCGAGTCCAACCCCCTGCCAAGCAGGAAACACCATCAGAGCACTCCTGACATATGGTTGTCAAGCCTCTGCTTAAAGACCTCCAAAGAAGGAGACTCCACCACACTCCTTGGCAGCAAATTCCACTGTCGAACAGCTCTTACTGTCAGGAAGTTCTTCCTAATGTTTAGGTGGAATCTTCTTTCTTGTAGTTTGGATCCATTGCTCCGTGTCCGCTTCTCTGGAGCAGCAGAAAACAACCTTTCTCCCTCCTCCATGTGACATCCTTTTATATATTTGAACATGGCTATCATATCACCCCTTAACCTCCTCTTCTCCAGGCTAAACATGCCCAGCTCCCTTAGCCGTTCCTCATAAGGCATCGTTTCCAGGCCTTTGACCATTTTGGTTGCCCTCCTCTGGACATGTTCCAGTTTGTCAGTGTCCTTCTTGAACTGTGGTGCCCAGAACTGGACACAGTACTCCAGGTGAGGTCTGACCAGAGCAGAATACAGTGGCACTATTACTTCCCTTGATCTAGATGCTATACTCCTATTGATGCAGCCCAGAATTGCATTGGCTTTTTAGCTGCCGCGTCACACTGTTGGCTCATGTCAAGTTTGTGGTCAACCAAGACTCCTAGATCCTTTTCACATGTACTGCTCTCAAGCCAGGTGTCACCCATCTTGTATTTGTGCCTCTCATTTTTTTGGCCAAGTGCAATACTTTACATTTCTCCCTGTTAAAATTCATCTTGTTTGTTTTGGCCCAGTTCTCTAATCTGTCAAGGTCATTTTGAAGTGTGACCCTGTCCTCTGGGGTGTTAGCCACCCTCCCAGTTTGGTGTCATCTGCAAATTTGATCAGGATGCCCTTGAGTCCATCATCCAAGTCGTTGATAAAGATGTTGAATAAGACCGGGCCCAAGACAGAACCCTGTGGCACCCCACTAGTCACTCTTCTCCAGGATGAAGAGGAACCATTGATGAGCACCCTTTGGGTTCGGTCAGTCAGCCAGTTACAAATCCACTGAGTGGTAGCATAGTCAAGACCGCATTTTACCAGCTTCTTTACAAGAATATCATGGGGCACCTTGTCAAATGCCTTGCTGAAATCAAGGTAGGCTACATCCACTGCGTTCCCTTCATCTACCAGGCTTGTAATTCTGTCAAAAAACGAGATCAGGTTAGTCTGACATGACTTATTTTTCAGAAATCCATGCTGACTATTGGTGATCACAGCATTCCTTTCTAGCTGCTCACAGACTGTTTGCTTAATGATCTGCTCCAGAATCTTCCCTGGTATTGATGTCAGACTGACTGGGCGGTAATTATTTGGGTCCTCTCTTTTCCCTTTTTGAAAATAGGGACAACATTTGCCCTCCTCCAGTCTGCCGGGACTTCGCCTGTTCTCCAGGAATTCTCAAAGATGACTGCCAGTGGTTCTGAGATCACATCTGCCAGTTCTTTTAATACTCTTGGATGCAGTTCATCTGGCCCTGGAGACTTGAATACATCTAAACTAGCCAAGTATTCTTGTACTATCTCCTTAGTTATTCTGGGCTGTGTTTCCTCTGCTGAATCATTTGCTCCAAATTCTTCAGGTCGGGCATTGTTTTCTTTATCGGAGAAGGCTGAGGCAAAGAAGGCATTGAGGAGTTCAGCCCTTTCTGTGTCTCCTGCTTGCATTTCACCATCTTCTCCTCTGAGTGACCCCACTGTTTCTTTGTTCTTCCTTTTGCTACGAACATACCCATAAAAGCCTTTGGTGTTGCTTTTAACCTCTCTAGCAAGCCTGAGTTCATTCTGTGCTTTAGCTTTTCTGACTTTGTGTCTACACGTGCTGGCTATTTGTTTGAATTCCTCTTTGGTGGTTTCCCCCCTTTTCCATTTTTTGTACACATCCTTTTTAATCTTAACTCAGTTAAAAGTTCTTTAGATAGCCACCCTGGCTTCTTTAGGCACCTTCCATGTTTCCGTCCCATTGGTATTGCCTGACGTTGTGCTTTTACTATCTCCCTCTTAACAAACTCCCAGCCATCATGAACTCCCTTTCCTTTTAGTATTACTGTCCATGGGATCTCACCCAGCACTTCCTTAAGTTTTATGAAGTCGGCTTTCTTAAAGTCAAGAAATTGAGTCCTAGTATGCTTGGCTGCTCCTTTCCGCTGTATAGTAAACTTCAGAAGAGCATGATCACTCGCGCCTAATGATCCTTCCACTTCTACCCCACTAACCAGGTCATCAACATTGGTTAGGACCAGATCTAAAATGGCTGTTCCTCTTGTTGCTTCTCCCACTTTCTGGACAATGAAGTTGTCTGCAAGGCCAGTGAGGAATCTGTTTGACCTTATGCTCTTGGCTGAGTTTGACATCCAACAAATATCCGGGTAATTGAAGTCCCCCATTACTACTATCTCCCTTCCTTTTGCATGCTTGGCCATCTGTTCCAGGAAGGCATCGTCTATGTCCTCCGTTTGGCTTGGGGATCTATAGTAAACTCCCACAATGAGGTCACTGTTATTCTTCTCTCCCTTAATTTTGACCCAAATGCTCTCACTTTGGCTTTGAGGTTCTAAATCTTGGATCTCTTCACAGGTATACACCTCCCTGACATATAACGCCACTCCTCCTCCTTTCTTGTCTGGTCTGTTTCTCTGAAATAGATTGTATCCCTCCATTATTACATTCCAATCGTGGGACTTATCCCACTTATTGTGGGACTTATCCCACATTGTGTGTGTTCAGATAATATTTTCTGTTCTTCCTTTTGTCACCCGCCCCAGTAGTGCATACATTAAACCAGGTGTGGGTTATCTGTGACCCTCCAAATATTAAATCATGTGGATGGTGAACCTTTGACCTTCCAGCTCATATCAGCCCCAGCCAGCATGACCAATGGTTAGGGGTGATGGAAGCTGTAGTGCAGCAAGTATTTGGAGGGGCACAAGGACCTCATCCCTGATGTAAGTTTCTAGATTCTGATTAACAGCTGGCTCTAACTGGTATGGAGGGTGGAATAAATGCATCTGTTGATATTTGTGTTTCATAGAGACAGAACATCCACTTGGTATCAATAGTCTGTTGCTTGTCTTTATATTTTCTTTTTCTCCCCAGCACACCTTTTTCTGTGGCTGAGATTTAGTTTAAGCACAGCACAACAAAATATGCTTCTTGCAGGACAGCACAAATTGATGACTATGACAGCTTTTTTTGATAACATGCCAAGAAGCTAGTAAATGTAATGTTTAAAAATATATAATCTCCTCTGGACCAAACTGGCTGAGCATGTTCAGTGAGCTACCTGAACATAAACCATGCTCGGGTTTGAAATGCTGGATAATTTATGAAGGTAATGGCTGCTCAAAGAAGGACTGGGAAATGGGCAGCCTTTTCCATACAAATGTCCACACCTCCCTGCTTTGACAGTTCTGAGGGGGAGGTGAAGGATTGTTTTGTCTGCTAATGCTGGTTATACAAAGTGTGTGTGCTGCAACAAAAGGCAGGAAATTCCCTAAAGCTACTGCTGAGATGCTGTCTTGGGCCCTTTCTGCCAATTCAACCCCCATTTAATACTTCTTGTCCCTTCCTGGATTTCAGTATCCTCTAGTTTGGGGTCTGCCAGCCTTCCTTGGACCCTCAGCCATCCTGAGCTGCTTGCCTCTGTCCTCTAAACCAACCTTGGACAATGGGGCAGCTCTAGACTTGGTCATGCTAAGAGGACACCCAATGAAACGATGACTAATTTAAGGCATATTGATGCCACGCTGTCTCCAGCAAGTCTGGATCCCAAACCCCATGGTTGCAGCTTCCTTTACTACTGAGAAGTTTCCTTCCTTTTCATGGTGAAAATCTGCTATGGTTACCCTTTGTTCTGAATACTGGAGATGTGACCTAGGTGAGTATCAGAGATCCTCATGCCTGGACTGAGAGGTGGCATAGAAGAAGGAAGTTGACATACTAGCTGCCTTGCCATTTTTAAAATGCAGCTCAGTGGTAGAGCATGTGCTTTGCCTAGAAAAGGTTCTGGCTTCAGTCATCGGCACTGCCAGGTAGTTTTGAAAAAGATTCCCGGTCCGGAATCAGGTGCACTGCTGCTAGTCAGGATTCCCTGAGCTTAATGGACCAATAGTGCTACTCAGTATAAGGCAGGTTCTTTGGCTCCTATGTTATGCATTGTTCCCTTTAGGTACCTTATAGCACCCCTGGGGCTGTGTACACTATGCATTTATTTAAAGCACACACCCCCCTCTGAATCCTGGGAACTGTAGTTTCTCCAGCACAGAGCCACAATTCCCAGCACCCTTAATGAACTGCAGTTCCCGTAATTTTTTGTATGTGCATGATGGAATGATGTGCCTTAAAAGAATGGTATGCATGCAGTGTGTGTGTGTGTGTGTGTGTGTGTGAGAGAGAGAGAGAGAGAGAGAGAGAGAGAACTCCAGGAGGCCCTGGATGCCTGGGCACCCACAAAATCTTCGCTGTGGGTGCCTGGCCTCCACCCACCGCCACTACCTGCTGCTTTACCTCTGGCTCCACGGTGGTGACTGGGCCGGGGCCTTCGCCTCGGGGCTTCTGTTGGGGCCTACTGTGGCCACGGACGTGTGCCCAGGGTGTGCTTGTGGCCTAAGTGGAGGCCTTAGCCTGGTCACTGCAGTGGTGGGAGGGTGTGGGGTGGCGGAACGCCATCTCCATGGGACTGTGGGCACCCATGCTCTGCTGGCCCCTGCCACCGTAGAAGCACATCCGTGACCACAGTGGCCCCCAACATAAGCCCCACGGTGGAGGCAGATGTGATGTCATGTCATCGTGATGTCATGTTGTGCACGTGTGTTGCTGGGCACCCAGAGTCTGGGGACCAAGTCAGTACCTCTGGGGTGTGGGTGTGTACACACACACACACACACACACACACATCAAATATGTTTTCCTGTGAAATGAGTGTAGGACGCTCAACATTCTTGTTCAGTCTCTTGACATCTTTCTTCCCAATACTGTGGTTTTTGTGAGCTGGCAAATTGGAGATTGATCTGTTTGCTTTTGTAATGTTTGTCTGTTCGTTGTATATGGAATATTGTACAGGTTGGAAAGAGGATCTAACATGAAATATCTTTCAATAGGAGATATTTAAGTGTGTGCCCTTAATTTTTTCATTTGTAAGTGTGCTTTGTTTTTGGTGAGCTGGCAAGATGCGGGTCTGTGTAATATTTATTTATTGCATGTTCAATATGATACAGTTTGAAAATTGAAGTTAAACACTCTAGTTTTCAATTTATTTCAGTGAGAGAGATTTAAGTGTGCGCTTAACTCTTTCATTGAAATCAATGGGAATTCAAAGTGTTTAATTGTAGCTGGATTTTGCTGAGGTTTGTTGTTTGCTAATGGCTTCCTGTGGAATTAAGTAACAAACGTATTAATTAATAATGAATTAATTACACATACATGAGTTGCACATGCATGCAAACATATTTAGTAATGTGAAGGATTTCTGCCACTTTTGCATTCTGTGCACATAGAACCAAAACTAATGATAGATTCGCTGTGAAAAGCCTTGTTTCTCTGTTGAGGCTTGATTCATAACATCAGCAAGATATTTAGATGGAGGTTAAGATTAGAATTTTTATGAGAAAGTTATACATGCCTCACAAATGCATAGACTGGATTTTTTTTTGCTTTTTTGTATTGAGTGCTGTGACACTTTTAATGGAACTCTTTTACGGTTATTGGAAATGTTGAACATTATTTAAACATTATCCCCAGATAACATGTCGGCTTCACTAAGGGCATGGGAAAGTTAACTTTTCTCTTCATTGCTGCTTCCATTCGAAAATATGGGTTGTAGTTAATAGGTACCATTTGGCACTGTCTCCAGAAGTAGCATGGTTGGCTGCACACATTTAACAAATGAGAGGCTATTCATGAGTACAGGTAGAGAATAATGATTAGGGCTGAGCCAAATGTTCTTCTGGTTTGCTTTTTGCCTCAGAAGCAGAAATTTGGGGTGTCTGGCCCTATCCCTGTGTTTAATCTTTAATCCTGCATTTCTTCATGGCTGCTAGTAGCAATTTATGTTTCCATTCTCTTGTGGTGCTTCAGTGCCACTTTATATATATTTTAAAAATAATCAGTTTTATTTCTTCTTGAGTGGCATTATCCAATAAACTGGTCTTGCCATATTTCAAAAGTGAAAATCTGTTTTTGGCCAAAGTTATTGAGCTTTTTCTGCAAAATCTCAAAAACAAAAAAAGTGAGAAGTATTTTGCCTGTTTTTTGAGTGGGGGACTCATAATCTGGTGAACCGGGTTCGCGTCCCCGCTCCTCCACATGCAGCTGCTGGGTGACCTTGGGCTAGTCACACTTCTCTGAAGTCTCTCAGCCCCACTCACCTCACAGAGTGTTTGTTGTGGGGGAGGAAGGGAAAAGGAGATTGTCAGCCGCTTTGAGACTCCTTAAGGAGAGTGATAAAGCGGGATATCAAATCCAAACTCTTCTATTTGGGGGGGAAATTGCGAAAAAAAATCAACACTTCGGATATGGACATTTTTGCCGCTTTTAGATAGTTCTGACCAGATGCCATTTTTGATGGCTATGTCTGGAAAATTCTGGATGTATGGCAGCCCTAAATAAACTGGACACTGGATGGTGATGTCTTCGTGCTAGTAATCCAATCAGATTTGGCTATATCCTGATGTCTTTGAGGGCAAATGAAGTAGGGGAAGCACTTCTAATAGAGATTAGAAAAAAACAGTCCCAAGGGGTGGGGCTCCTGTTTGACACTTGACCATACGAAATTGCCTTATATGAAGTCAGATTGTTTTCTTTGTCCACCCAACCCACTATTGTCTACTCCGATTGGTGCCTTATTCTGCAGGAGCTTAAGGCTCACAATTATAACCTTCCATCATCGGTTAGTTGCTACAGCCCCTTGATCTACTGCCCACTGAATGCAACACCTGCTTCTTTCTGTCCCCTATGAACCACACACACAACTCCTAATCTGCTCTGGAGGCTTGGGGAACCCAAGGGGAGGAAGAGGAAGATCCACTCTTGTGACATTCAGTACAACCCATGGATGCTCTGTGCACAATCAATGGGTTGCGGTTAGGTTGTGGTCTTCCACCATCATTTCAATGCCCCTGTACATGATGATTGCACACAGTATTTAGTCAACCTCATTGGGCTATTAGACTGTGCTGATATTTGGGATGGGGAAAAAACTTCTGCTTCAAGTCCATGTACTGGTTCTTAGGATGATGAACAAGCAGTCGTGTTCTTCTGTTTCAGAGCTTGTTTTCAGTTCAATCCTTTTTAGACTTTCTGTTTAAAAGCACAGAAATTAAGTGATTCGGTAAATACTTCATCTTTCTACTCTCTATTTACTTTACAGTGGAATGATTGAAAGTATATAACGTGATTAAATTGTCCCCAGTGGCAAAGGAAGAAAACTCAAGAGTTAGCAACTAGTGATATATGTTAATTGCAAAAGAAATGAATGAAAGAATGGGCTCTTTACATCTCTTCTGTGAGTAATTCAGATTTGCAGATGGCATTGCACAGAAGCATAATTGTTCCGACAATACCCGTTGCAGCCTATTTTTGACTAGAAAATAACAGTCAAGATGTAACTCTATAACACCTTTTGGATTTCCTTTAATTAGACCATCTTTATAATTATCTGAGGTGTTTTATTATAAGTCAGTTCTTCTATGCTGTTGATGGATGTTTTGATGCATTTGGAGGTTTTCATCTTTAAATAGACTAATTTGGCTGTTTTTTTCTTCTTCAAACGGTTGAATTCAGCAAAGGAAGGACAGGAAGATTCAGTTTCCATGCTGCTCCATGACAGAGAACAACATCTTATTGAACATCTGGCTTCGATGTACATAATAAAACTTAGCAGCTGGAAGGAACAAACCCACTCCTCAGAAAGTAACATAAAAGACACAGGAAAGAATCTCCCTGTTAAGATTCCACATACTCTGACAAGGGAAGATGCACTAGTCTCTCTTTCAGTTGAAATACTGAAAATTTCTTTAGGAGAGTCTTAGCTCATAATGGGCTAACAATACAGAAGCACAGATTTCACCTGAACATTGGGAGAAACTTCTAGAGCAGAGAGGGTAGGGCTTTCTTTTCAGCCTGAAGGCCACAGGACCTTCTAGGCAATCTTCTGGGGTCACATGGGCAGGGCCAGAAGCCAAAGTGGTTGGAGCAACAAATACTAATTTACTCACACAGCCCTCACTACCCTTTCTTCCGGTCAAGCAAGACGCATTAACGGAGTTCAAGGACACATTCTAGACAGACAGAAACACTCAAGGATGGAGCAAAGCAGGAATGGTGAGGGATGTAGTCTGAGGGTAGTTCAGAGGGCCACACAGAGAGGCCTGGAGGGCCACATGCAGCCCCTGGGCTTGAGGTTTTCCAGACCCATTTTTGTTTTTGAAGGGGCAGGCTCTTTCAAAATGACATCAATTACCTCCTAGAGTGGTAGTGGGTTCAGACTTGCTGGAAGTCTTCAAGCAAAAGTTGGGTCAGCCATCTGATGGGATTCCTCTAACTCTGGATTTTCTGCATCAGTTGTGGACTAAGACCAGGCATAGGCAAACTCAGCCATCCAGATGTTTTGAGACTACAATTCCTATAATCTCTGACCACTGGTCCTGTTAGCTAGAGATGATGGGAGTTGTAGTCCCAAAACACCTGGAGGGCCGAGTTTGCCTATGCCTGACTTAGCCTAAGTAACCTACAGGCCCCAAAGATTTTGGCTGTTTACACCTATTACATTTTATTCTAGAGTCAATGGAAACTGGGCACTCCTTTGTTCTACCTAGTCCACTCATGTAATCTAGAGATCTACTGCATATTTTTTGGCCCTCAAAAGCACTTCTTGAGAAACTGTTTTCATTCTGATTGACTCTGCATTACCCCACAATGCATCCATTGCATTGAAAACAGATGTAGGCAGTACTGGCAATAGGGATGTGTGTATGAGTGTCCACTCCTATCCAATGATGTTGTGAATGGGCATCTCCCAAGTCTGCAGTTGCCACTCTTTCTTCATTCCCCATGGGCAGGGTGCGAAAGGCATGGGGAGGATTTTCAAATGCTGGTCAAGAAACCATACCCACCCTTGTGGAAGGCAGTCTCTAGAATCCATCCACATTGAAAACAGCATGTTGAGGACAAGTGTGAATGCGTCGGGGTTGAAAAAAAAACCAATAAATACATTTTTGTGCTACAAAATGGTTAGTGTGTACACAGCCTCTGTGTTGTGGATGTGAAATTGAGATTTCCCTGTTGTAGTAAATTGTCTTGAGAGGATAACTTTTTAATTATTTGCTCAGATGTATAGCCTACCTAACACCTGCTGGTTCAGCTGGATAACATTTCCTCATAATGCTCGATGTGATTTGAGGATTATCTGCATAGATACAATGTATTTGCTATGGTTGAAGAACAATATGAAACTGTGCTATTGCGTGAAATTGTGTTTATGCCAACAGCAGTAGAACCCAGTGAAATTAGGAGTGCCTGGTGAATAACATCTCCCGTAAGGGGCTATGCTAGCTGGGCATGTACCCTTCTAGCTGTGGCGAATCCTAGGAGTCAGCTAATTATTTGAGGTTGCACAAGCAAATAAGGTCGCCCCTATCACCTTTATCCATGAAGACCGTGCAATTTGTGCGGCTCAATGGTGGCGTAATATATTGTCTGTTTATTTCAGCTGTTTTTATGCCACAGGGGCACAAGGGTTTCTAAGCGGTGTTCAGAAGGGTTACATAAAGCATACGGTGGATAAAACCAATTTAAAAGTACTGTAATAATAAAATAAAAAAGGCAACCCTGTTTAGGGAAGTTTTTAATGTGTGACATTTTAATGTATTTTTAATCTTTGTTGGAAGCTGCTCAGAGTGGCTGGGGAAACCCAGCCAGATGGGCGGGGCAAAAATAAAAAATTATTATTATTTTTGTTGTTGTTGTTATTATTATTATTATTATTATTATTATTATTATCTTCCTTAAAATGCCTGCTGAAATGGAAAGGACTTGATGAAGCACCTGAAGTTTGACAGGGAGCGGGCCTGTCTGATCTCAACCAGGGTGCGCACCGACCCCTCTCGCTCTCCAGGCTTCAGGAAGCTATCCGCAAGCCTTGGGAGCCCGCGGGAGTTCCCGCCGGGCTCCCCCGGCTTGCGTAGCGCTGCCTCTTATCCCGAAGCCCTGGTGCGCTCAGCAGTCGGGCCGGGGCTTCAGGTAGCTCTGCGCAAGCCGCAGGAGGGCTTGCGGAGATCAGCCTGTTCTGGGGGCTAGGGTCGGGGGAAGCTCGGGTTTCCCCTGCCCCAGCCTCGCGCCTTGGGGGGGAAATATATTTTTTTTCTTTATTTCCCCCCCAAAAAACTAGGTGCGCCTTATGGGCCGGTGCGCCCTATGGGGTGAAAAATACGGTAATTAGGATTTTAAATAGTGCTATTCTTCCATTAATTGCCCAGCTTTTAAAGGAATTTTCCATTTGTCTTTTTCTGTCCCTTTTTTTGTTGGTACCATACAAATGTTTTATAGGTAGGTATTGTGAAATTGCTCTCCCGTCTTTTGTTTTCTCATCAAGAAAGCTAAATCCACAGCTTACCAGCAGCGAAACCATATGGTAAGTGTTTCTAAGAAGTGCTCCAACTATGCAAATCATATAGGCATTGCAGAGGATGAGATTATGTTTTCAGCTCATTTAAGTCCTGGTAGATTACATTTGTTCATTTTTCAGTATCTGGAATATATATGGCATTCCCCCTAAAATTCTGCTCATTCTTAACTTTTCCTTCTTTGTGTATATAAAATTCACATATATAATTTATAATCTATTTATTAAGCTATTGATTTGAAAAATGTACATGACACTTTTCAGATTAAAATAAACCTTTTTCTAGGTTTTTTAAAAAATGAAGTTTTAGAGCAGCTAATAAAATCTGAAACGTAAGTACAACATTATAATATAAAACATTACAAAATCTTTAGCAGCGGAGATTAAAACAAGAGCAGTGAGTTGGATTCAAACTTTTAAAAAGGTATTTATCTGAAAGCAAAAAAAAATCAAAGTCTGTGCCAGGCAAGTCTCAGGGAGATGTGGTGCCACAACTGTAATGACCCTGGCAAAGGTCACATTTATGTTTAAAGGTGGGGAGATCCAGGGGAGATTTAAGTGAGAGAAGGGGATTGTTAAAGTAACCTGGTCTCAAGCTCAAAACTTTTGAAACCAGTGGTGCTTACTTCTGAATATACATCCATAGGCTTGCAATATTAAGGATGTTTACTCTGGTATCTTGAAAGTTTGTTGTATAAAACTGTAGGGTGGAATTCAGCATAGCGCTAATGAGACTGTTTCATCAGTGCAAGCATTTCAGCTTGCCCCTTATTGCAGGCTAATTGTATCTGGCCCCTTATATTCTAAAGTGGCCTTTTTGGATGCAAATGAATGTGTGTGTGTGTGTGTGTGTGTGTGTAGGGGGGGATCACAAAGCAAGTTTAAGCACACCCTAAGTGTCAATTCAACCTTCAAACTAGAATAAGCTTAGGCTTGGCTTGTGTTAACAGACAAAGCAAAGTTTCCTGGTTTTTCAGACTATGACCAAGAATATGTAATCATTTAAGACTAATGAGCAACCATAAAATGTGAGCCTTTATGGAAAACTGATTCTGTCCAATGACTCTGCTTAGCAAACGTTTTGTCAGATGATTTTCTCATTACCCAACTAAAGCAGCCAGAGGTTCAAAACACCCCCCACATGTTATGACAGGACCCAAGGATTTGCTTCCTAGTATTTCCTTCTTGAAATACAAGCCATGGCAGCTGCCTGTTCATTTGGAAGAGCGAATGGTGTTGGGAATAGTTAATCCTTTCTTCCCATCATGTGCTCCTGTTCAGATTTGCGCCTGGTAGCATTTCAGTGAAAAATAAATTTGAGCATAACGTGAGATTCTAATGCAAAAGATATGCTGACGTAGCATTTGGCATACACCTTCCAATATGTCACAGGTGAAAATGGGGACATCCTTGTGACACCCCACTTCCCAAGGATCACTGCCCACGCTACCTTCTCTCCTTCCTGGCTTTCCTCCACTTTCTCTATTCAGTCTTCATTCTCTTTGCAGCTCTCTGTGTTCCACCAGAGAAAACCCAGGAAGGTGTTAAAGAGATACTTGGAAAAACACATTTTCTACCATATGTGATCAGTATTCAAGACAGCTGCTGTGTGTGTGTGTGTGTGTGTGTGTGTGTGTGTGCTTGTGTAAGTCTGGCTGTGCACTGCATGGTGCCTTGGTATTCAATCATGCCCATTGGCCTACATGTGAGCTGAAGCCAAAATGTCTTCATTCACCGACTCAGATATATAACTTCTAGAGATGACCCTGGGGAGAAAACCGAAACCTGAAAAATGACAGCTCTTGTGAAGTGCAGAAGATAAAGACAGCGAAAAAGGAAAAAGCTGAGACATTGTTTTACCAGGGACTAATAAATAGGGACAATGCCTGACAAACAGGGATAGTTGGATTCAGGATAACCACAAGGAAGAGGAACTGTACCAGTAAAGAAGAGGGCAAACGAGGCACTGGATTGCATTAAATTTGCTAATTTATATGTATCCAGCACTTTTTTTCTCAGGAGACACAGGGGTACGCGTACCCCCAAACATTTTGTGAATCTAATGGGAGAAAAAACTTTAAAAATTTAGTTTCTTCTCTAGCACGGTGAATCATTAGTTCCGTTGCTACCCCTGATGGCGGCCTCATTTCCTGTCACAGTGTTTCCTGAGTCTCAGATGGAAGCGAGCGTTTCATGTGTGAAGTAGGAGATGGAATCTAGCATGGTGATTGGTCAGTTTCGTAGTTTCCACCTCTGATGGAAACTTCATTTCCTTGCCTGGTGTTTCCTGAGTCTCAGACACAAGCAGAGGAATCGGGAGGATGTTAGTGCACACAACCTCATGCTAATGTGGAAGTTACTGTGAGCTGTCAGCTGTGCAATTTACTATATTTATTTCCCCCGATTTGAAGTACAAAATTGTATTTTCTTGAGTCAAAATGAGAGTACCCCTAAACACTTTTTAAGAAAAAAAGCAATGTAGAAATACAATACATTTCACCATGGCAAAGAAGATGGAGATATTGATGGGCGACTTCAAGGTCCTTCCCTACTATCTCATCTTAGGGTCCTTTATCTTTCAGTTGGACCTGGACTAGACAAGCCTTCAGAGAGAAGTCCCTCAAAGAGAGCATTGCCCTCTGTAAAGTAGGACACATGAGCGCCTTCTTTGGCGTGTTTGAATCCAACTCAGTCCCAGGGAAGAAACACTGAGTCTGATCAAGGAAGATTCTTAGCTGTCTCTCTAGATCAGAGAGCTAAGTCACTGGAACAGCTTTCAGATAGACGTTTAAATGTTGAGATGCTCTTTTGAACACAGGTATTAAATCTTCAAAAACACACCCTTCGTGACAAATTGGCTCCCCTTTTAATCTAATCCACACATACAAGTAGTAATGGCATAATACTATTAGGGCAGGAAGGGCCTGTCAGGCAAAGGACATGTAGCTTAATGGGCCATCGACTGACTAGTCCTAAGCACTCTTTGAAGGGATCAGGAGAAGGTAATGTTTGAAAATACATGGCTCAGGAAGAAAAGCCTATAAGCTCAATACTTTTTAATTACTCTACAAATACGACTGCAGGTAAATGACAACAGATAAAAAATGAAGCATGCCACCTCATGGACATCATTTTCCGGACATTAATTTACCATTTGACAAATCATTTTAATATGTTGTGATGAGTGTGTGTCTACACTTATCTAAATCAGTACTAGTCAAGATTTTCTGCACAGCATTCAGCCCTAGGAAGAACAGTTGGAATCTTTTAATTTCTTTTTGTCCACCCATCTGATTTCCCTCTTTCCCCTTTGTTTACTTCCCATTCCTCAAATCAATAAAGCTTTCTTTGTTAGGACCAGTCCACATATTACTTTGTCCTACTCAGCCTGGTTGTGCATTACAACCAGAAAATGAGTGCAGAGAGTGAGGTTTTCTTCAGAACCAGCCACCTCGAGTGCCCCCCACCCCACTCCTGTCAGATGTAGGCTAATGAAAGGGAATGTATGTGGCCGATTTATGAAGCTTTTGTTGGTTTGGAGCCAGCAGGTCTTATTCTTGACATCCATGATGTTTCTCAGTTCTTCAGTCTGAACAGCTTCTGAGGATCTGACCTAGAAGAATACTCTTAATTCCTCTTCCTTTCCAGCCTGTCTTAGACTCACACTTTGCTCCCCTTTTTGAGTTTTTGGATTGCTATGTGACGGCTGATCTTGCTTCTTTCACCAGAGATCATATCTCTTGTCACCACTGTCCTCACTGACACCACCCCACCTGTGATTGGAGACTCCTCCTTAGGCTGTGGACTTCTTCATCTTGAAGAAACCTATACAGACACAACCCTACAACTCTTGTGGGACCTCACATTATGTGTACACTTGTGTCCCCCCCAATATATATTATATAATGTGGCTTATATTAAACATAGGATCAAGTTCCATCAAAATTCATAAGCTTTCCTTTCATAAACTGGTTGATCCCATTTGTTGTAGCCACCCTCTATAACTGCCTTTTCTTCTTCTTCTTTCAGTAGTATAGTAAACAGCTGTACAGGGAGATTTGATGTAGTGATAAATTCCATCCTGGGTTTCTCTAGCTGAAGTAATGGCCGTGACTGCTGCCAACAGTGTACTTACTAGTGACGCCAAGGACATAGAGTAAGGGGTGGATTGTTGCAGTGGCTGCTCTTTTGGGGCTGGCTGGCAGTGTTGGTGTAAAACTGTTCATGGGAGCAGAACGCTTCTAATGGTATCTTCATTTTGAATGCGCTGCACTGCTGTGATCAATTTTACTGATAAGTGTCCTCTAATTAAACGGAACGAGAAGATCACGACTTATTTTAAACTGGGAAATGAGTTGGATGTAATTGTCTAACACTCCTAATGGTTTTCCTGTACCAGTCTTTCATTTTTATTTTGCTGGTGATGAAGGTGCTGCTGTTGCAGCTGGAGACTTGAGCACCATAGTCTTCATAAAAACGGGCCTAATATGTACAGAATGAAAGAGATTGCTATTCAAGTGAATCCCAGAATAGAAGAAAATGCCGCAATACTGCTAAAACCTTTGAAATAAATGCCGTGGTTTTACAATTTAGTATTTATACCAAGCACTGCATTCAATTAAACTGAATTACAGCATAATCCTATGCACATTTTCTCAAAAACATATCCCTGTATGCACATTATTCCCAGGAAACCGTGCATAGGATTGCTGCCTTAAACATACTGTAGTGGTATGTTTAAGACTAGATGCTTTTAGTGCCTGTATTGTTTGGTTGTTTATTTAATTAGTCAATGAAAAGCATGTCAGTATCCTTTTTAGCCTTAACATACATACAACAATGTGAAGTGTTTATAAATTGCTTTGTGTCTGAACATGCTTCTAAGAATAAAGCTTTAATTTAGATATGGAAATCCTTGACTTAATGTACCTGGCTTTGTTTTCAGCATGAGATAGGGACCAGGCTTCTTGCTGAAGAAGAGAGGGACCACCATTTATCTTTTTGAGATTGTCAGAGTCTGACAGCTATGCACTTACAATCCAGTTAGCTTGTTTGCTTTTCGTAGCTGAGATCGAGAGCTAGTAAATCTTCTCCCTCATCTCTGATATTCTAATGCTACTACTTAGCATTTATAGAGCACATTTCAAGCATGTAAAGCAGTTCTATGCATCATCTGAGTAATCTTTATTGCCAACTCTGTAATGTAGGGCAGCACATTATCTCCCTATTGCAAATGGGAAACTGAGGCTGAGAGGCTAGCCTCACCCAGTGTTTGTGTTTATATGTACACGTGTGCGTGCTATTGAGTTAATCTGAACGCAGGAATTTTGGGATTATAGTGTACATATGTGTCTTCACTGTTCTGCACCATATATCAATGGCCATTTTAATCTGATGGTAATACGGGAATGGGCTAATGCCAAAGATGTTTCAGGTCTGGTGAAGGAACACGCTGATAAAAGCATAGCAGCTATTTACTCTCTCCTTTTAATAGGACAATGCAGCCGAATATTCCCACCTCACCTTGGCACATCACAGATAATCCATGGCAATGGTACCACCGTTGGCACAGTAATAACATTCCAGTGTTCTGCAGAACACCAGCTGATTGGACAAGGCGTTGTCACATGCATTTGGAAAGGAAACAGCACACAGTGGACAGCAGACATTCCTTCTTGTAAACGTAAGTATTTTCCCCCACTGATTTGGACAGTTCTTTTACCTTATCTTTTCCGACTTGATCCATAACACTGGCAAAGCTGATGATGGATGTGTAGGGAGACAGTGAATGATTGTTACTGTATTTTTCCGTGCATAAGATGAGCTTTTTTGACCCAAAAATGAGGTTAAAAATTTAGGCTCATCTTATACACGGGTAGTGCTGAGGGTGGATGTGCGAATGATTTTTTGGCGCAAGCCTGAGATTGTAAGCGATTGGCCGCTTGATTGTTGGGGGGAGGGGGGATGCTGAAAATCACTCACCCTCCAGAACACAGCACACAACCGCTCATGTCGCTTACAATTGCTGCTCGCGTCACAGAAACCACCTATCAGCTCCCCAATTCCTGCCAGCGGCCACCAATCACGCTCCACTTGTTGCAACAAAGGCAGCTGTCTATTGGCTGCCACAGCGACAATCAGAAGGGCTAATGGCGGCGATCAGGCAGCTGCGAAGCGAGCGGTTGTCTGCTACGTTCTGGTGGGTGAGCGATTTTCGGGATTCCCCCCCTCCCCCACAACAATCAAGCGGCCAATGCCGAAAATCGCTCACCTGCCGGAACGAAGTGTGAGCCCAAGTTTTTAAGCGGTGATTGGCCACTTGATTGTTGGGGGGGGGGGGCAGATGCCGAAAATCACACACCCGTCAGAACGAAGTGCGAGCCCGAGATCATAAGCAGCAGTTGTAAGTGACGCGAGCGGTTGTGTGCTGCATTCTGGCAGGTGAGCCATTTTCAACCCCGCCCCCAAATAATCCTCCCCAAAAGCTCAGTTCTCCCCTATTTTCTAAATTTTGAGGCCCCCAAAATAGGGGGCGTCTTATAGATGGAAAAATATGGCACTACCATATGCAAGAATACTTGAGTCACATTCTGATACCACCAGCTACTATCAAAGAAAGGCTAGAGGAGAGCTTTATGAGGGATATAAATGCTTACCCTTGTACTTGTTTCATTTTTGCAACTGTGAGACGTGTTCTGTACCCTTTCTCAGAAAACTGCAGGTCTGACCAATCAGGCTGATTTTTTATATAACTTGTCTGTGAATAGCTTTCGCTCGCTCTCTTTAATTTAATGCTAGGCTTTTGGGGGGAAAAATGATTCATCTCCTAAAAATATGGATAGTTCTGTAAAGCGCAATTAGGCTACTGCCGGTAGATAGCAGAAAGAAGAGGCTGTCACATTGACAATGGACCTTAAATGGCAACAATATTAGCCCCTTTTCACTCTGTGCTTTTTCTTATTTATTACATCAGTGGTAATGGTCCAACTGGGGGAAAAGAGGCTGCAGCCAAGCCATAGGATTTCAGCAAGTTGCTATCAATCCTAAATAGACCGGAAGTGCATCCACATCTAATTTTAAAATGACAAGGGACTGAGTGGCTTGCCCACTCATCTGAAATTTGCTTGCAAAGCTGAACCACAGTGGTGCATTCCTGGTTAATTGTGTTTCCAATCACAGCAAGACACTGGCAGCAACAGCTGCTCTAAAGAGTATAAAAGCTGTCTTTGGAAGGTGTCTTAATAAGATATTATCTAAATATCTGAGCCCCATGTTTAAGTCGTGACATCCAATTATTCAAATAAATCAATATGCACATTATACTCAGTTCTGTTCCTCCTTTTCTTTGCACTCTGGTGCACCTGTAGATTGTGGGCTGCCTAGTCTGATATCACTGTTGATGGCCAATATGTTCATGGCCCTGGATCTCCTTTCTTATGGTTCTTGAACTTCAAACCACAGCTGGAGTGGACAGCCCATCAAACAGAAGATTCTCATCTGATAGCCCTTCAGAGAGAGGACACTGGGCCACCCTAGTCAGCGGCGAATGAAGGTGTCGTGACACCCGGGGCGGGGCGTCACTACGTAGGGCGCATGTGCGACGTTGTATGTGCATGTGCATGCACCGTACGTAGCGACGCCACACATGCATTGTACATAGCAGTTTGCTGCTGAAGCCGGGATCCTGCACATGTGGCTGCGGCAGCGCGATGGCTGCTCGCACTGCCGTGAGCCCCCGTGGGGTGCCTTCTTGTCACCCCCCCCAGACATGGCACCCGGGGCGCACCGCCCCCCACCCCCCGTTGTGACGCCACTGACCCTTGTACAAGCCATCAAGGGTGCCTAGTTTTGTGTGCTGACTTTAGTGGATGCAGCAGGTGATATAGCAGAACCAAAGATTATTCACATGTGCCTGATATCTACCTAGATCCAAGCTAACAGAAAGAAACAGCCCTAGGAATTATTCTACCTTAATGTAATATGTGAAACTGCCAGCGGGATGGCACAGCAGACAATGACTGCTGCTTACCTGTCTGTGCTCACAGCTAGCCCTGTTAAATACCACACATGTTCCTTTCTAATATTAAGAGTATCACTTTTCTTATTGTTTGCCCCTTGATCCTTCCTGATCCCTATTCTTTGGTGTGCTGAAGCATCAAAAGTATGTCTACCAATATTGCATTGATGACAGACAATCTCTTGCACCTCCTTAGACTTGAAAAAGTGTGACCCTGGGCAGCGTTATAGCTTTGCTTGCTGGGAAGATGAACCCTGACACTGTTATCCATAAACATAACCCGTTAAATATCAGCTGCCAGGCGAAGTATACAATTAAATTAAAGAGCTGTCCTAACCATTAACTTCTTTAAAGGTTTGCCTCCCATCATTTCCCCCCACCCATTTTTTTTGGTAGCTCTAGGATTTGTTAATGTCATTCCTTTAAAAATTCAAATGCATGCATTGTATTGATTCAAGATTGTACAGCATGTGACCCACTTAAACATCCTAGTGTCCCCACCACCACCCTCCATAGAACTGAAAGAATAAAGAAACAATCTAGCACTGAACAGGCTGCAAAGACCTAAGCGGTAGGCTGTGTTTGGATTAGAATCATAGAATCATAGAATCATAGAGTTGGAAGAGACCACAAGGGCCATCGAGTCCAACCCCCTGCCAAGCAGGAAACACCATCAGAGCACTCCTGACATATGGTTGTCAAGCCTCTGCTTAAAGACCTCCAAAGAAGGAGACAAACCACTCTCCTTGGCAGCAAATTCCACTGTCGAACAGCTCTTACTGTCAGGAAGTTCTTCCTAATGTTTAGGTGGAATCTTCTTTCTTGTAGTTTGGATCCATTGCTCCGTGTCCACTTCTCTGGAGCAGCAGAAAACAACCTTTCTCCCTCCTCTATGTGACATCCTTTTATATATTTGAACATGGCTATCATATCACCCCTTAACCTCCTCCTCCTCTTCTCCAGGCTAAACATGCCCAGCTCCCTTAGCCGTTCCTCATAAGGCATCGTTTCCAGGCCTTTGACCATTTTGGTTGCCCTCCTCTGGACACGTTCCAGTTTGTCAGTGTCCTTCTTGAACTGTGGTGCCCAGAACTGGGCACAGTACTCCAGGTGAGGTCTGACCAGAGCAGAATACAGTGGCACTATTACTTCCCTTGATCTAGATGCTATACTCCTATTGATGCAGCCCAGAATTGCATTGGCTGTTTTAGCTGCCACGTCACACTGTTGGCTCATGTCAAGTTTGTGGTCAACCAAGACTCCTAGATCCTTTTCACATGTACCGCTCTCAAGCCAGGTGTCACCCATCTTGTATTTGTGCCTCTCATTTTTTTTGCCCAAGTGCAATACTTTACATTTCTCCCTGTTAAAATTCATCTTCTTTGTTTTGGCCCAGTTCTCTAATCTGTCAAGGTCGTTTTGAAGTGTGATCCTGTCCTCTGGGGTGTTAGCCACCCCTCCCAGTTTGGTGTCATCTGCAAAATTGATCAGGATGCCCTTGAGTCCATCATCCAAGTCGTTGATAAAGATGTTGAATAAGACCGGGCCCAAGACAGAACCCTGTGGCACCCCACTAGTCACTCTTCTCCAGGATGAAGAGGAACCATTGATGAGCACCCTTTGGGTTCGGTCAGTCAGCCAGTTACAAATCCACTGAGTGGTAGCATAGTCAAGACCGCATTTTACCAGCTTCTTTACAAGAATATCATGGGGCACCTTGTCAAATGCCTTGCTGAAATCAAGGTAGGCTACATCCACTGCGTTCCCTTCATCTACCAGGCTTGTAATTCTGTCAAAAACAAGATCAGGTTAGTCTGACATGACTTATTTTTCAGAAATCCATGCTGACTATTGGTGATCACAGCATTCCTTTCTAGGTGCTCACAGACTGTTTGCTTAATGATCTGCTCCAGAATCTTCCCTGGTATTGATGTCAGACTGACTGGGCGGTAATTATTTGGGTCCTCTCTTTTCCCCTTTTTGAAAATAGGGACAACATTTACCCTCCTCCAGTCTGCCGGGACTTCGCCTGTTCTCCAGGAATTCTCAAAGATGACTGCCAGTGGTTCTGAGTTCACATCTGCCAGTTCTTTTAATACTCTTGGATGCAGTTCATCTGGCCCTGGAGACTTGAATACATCTAAACTAGCCAAGTATTCTTGTACTATCTCCTTAGTTATTCTGGGCTGTGTTTCCTTTGCTGAATCATTTGCTCCAAATTCTTCAGGTCGGGCATTGTTTTCTTTATCGGAGAAGACTGAGGCAAAGAAGGCATTGAGGAGTTCAGCCCTTTCCGTGTCCCCTGTTTGCATTTCACCATCTTCTCCTCTGAGTGACCCCACTGTTTCTTTGTTCTTCCTTTTGCTACGAACATACCCATAAAAGCCTTTTTTGTTGCTTTTAACCTCTCTAGCAAGCCTGAGTTCATTCTGTGCTTTAGCTTTTCTGACTTTGAGTCTACACGTGCTGGCTATTTGTTTGAATTCCTCTTTGGTGGTTTCCCCCCTTTTCCATTTTTTGTACACATCCTTTTTTTAATCTTAACTCAGTTAAAAGTTCTTTAGATAGCCACCCTGGCTTCTTTAGGCACCTTCCATGTTTCCGTCTCATTGGTATTGCCTGACGTTGTGCTTTTAGTATCTTAACAAACTCCCAGCCATCATGAACTCCCTTTCCTTTTAGTATTACTGTCCATGGGATCTCACCCAGCACTTCCCTAAGTTTTAGGAAGTTGGCTTTCTTAAAGTCAAGAAATTGAGTCCTAGTATGCTTGGCTGCTCCTTTCCGCTGTATAGTAAACTTCAGAAGAGCATGATCACTCGCGCCTAATGATCCTTCCACTTCTACCCCACTAACCAGGTCATCAACATTGGTTAGGACCAGATCTAAAATGGCTGTTCCTCTTGTTGCTTCTCCCACTTTCTGGACAATGAAGTTGTCTGCAAGGCCAGTGAGGAATCTGTTTGACCTTATGCTCTTGGCTGAGTTTGACATCCAACAAATATCCGGGTAATTGAAGTCCCTCATTACTACTATCTCCCTTCCTTTTGCATGCTTGGCCATCTGTTCCAGGAAGGCATCATCTATGTCCTCCGTTTGGCTTGGGGATCTATAGTAAACTCCCACAATGAGGTCACTGTTATTCGTCTCTCCCTTAATTTTGACCCAAATGCTCTCACTTTGGCTTTGAGGTTCTAAATCTTGGATCTCTTCACAGGTATACACATCCCTGACATATAACGCCACTCCTCCTCCTTTCTTGTCTGGTCTGTTTCTCTGAAATAGATTGTATCCCCCATTATTACATTCCAATCGTGGGACTTATCCCACCAGGTTTCAGTGATGCCTATTATGTCATATTTAGTTTGCTGTACCAAGAGCTCAAGCTCATCTTGTTTATTTCCCATGCTTTGCGCATTAGTGTACAGACATTGAAGTCCATTAATCATTCCCCGTGTCTCTTATTTAAGGATTTTTCCTCCCACCACTAGGTCTGCGTGCTGTTTGCTCCATTTGGTCTATGACATTTGGATGATCATCTTCATCAATTGATAGACTCCTACCTTCAGGAGCACTGTCTCCCTCCCCACATTAGTCAGTTTAAAGCCCTCCTGATGAGGTTTCTGAGATTTTTGGCAAAAACATTTCTCCCAACCGTTGTGAGGTGCAGCCCATCGCTTGCCAGAAGTCCATCTTCAAGAAACTGCAGTCCGTGATCTAAGAATCCAAACCGTTCCTGTTTACACCATTTGCGAAGCCAGCTGTTCACTTCCACTATTTTCCCTCTCTCCCTGGGCCACGTCGTTCAACTGGGAGGACAGATGAGATGACAATTTGTGCATTTAATTGCTTCAATTTCCTGCCCAGAGCCTCGTAGTCTCTTTTGATCTTCTGGAGGCTATTGCTTACAGTGTCATTGGTTCCCACATGAACCAAGAGGAAGGGGTATTTGTCAGTGGGTTTTATGATTCCTTGCAGTCGTTCAGTTACATCTTGGATCTTAGCCCCGGGAGACAGCACACTTCCCGAGACATCTTGTCAGGCCCACAGATCACTGCTTCTGTTCCCCTCAGTAGGGAATCCCCTATCACCATTACACGCCTCCTCTTAGGTTTGGTCGGGGTTCTTCCGTGAGCTGTCCGTTCCAAGGTCGCCTGCACATTCCCTGAGGACTGACTTTGCTGCTCGTCTTCATATACCTGATCGACTGTAATGAGGAGAGATCCTCAAATGGAGTCTGCTCTTCGTCTTCCATGCTAGGGAGAGGACCTCAAAGTGATTGTGTATTTCTAAACAATCAGAGCGAACCCTGGGCCTCCTACTTCTTTGAGTCACGTTTCTCCATATATCTGGCTCCTGTGTTGGTGAACTAGCCTCCTTCTCAGGGGAGTCCCCTGTCTCCTCCTTGGTGGAGACGGTGTGCTCTGTTGCTTCCAAATTGGATTGGCGTGCCACAACAGCGCCCAGGGCCAGCCCTCCCATTAGGCCAAATGAGGCAACTGCTTTAGGCAGCAGGTGCTGTGGGGCAGCAGCGGCAGCTGCCTGCTTCTCCCAAGCCACCTGTCCATTCTGCTCTGCCGGAAGGCAGAGATGTATGTTTCTCATGAACTGCCTACGCTGACTAGCTGCTTCAGGTATATGGGGGATGCTATCCCATCACCAGTGCCGAAGTAAGATTCAGCTGCCAGTTCAGTCAACTTCTGTTCATGGAAAGACATCTTGCCTTTTGCCTCAGGCAGCAAAATGTCTTGGGCCAACCCTGGCCGTGTCGGTTCTGAATTTGATGGGCTATATTGGCAAATATTCTATCAGTGCCCTCCTTGCCGAGTACTTTAACTTCCTCTTCTTGCCGCTGTTGCTGATTGGTTGGCTGTTCCCTCTGGGCCCAATCAGCACTGCCTTCTAGAGGAAGAAGACAAGGTACATGCTCTTTGCTTTCTTGGAGATGGAAGGTGAACACTCAGCAGCAGGAAGAAGGGCAGTAGCACAACCAGGAGACTCCAGGAATTGGCGACGGGACCCTTATTGAGGCATGGTTCTGGGCAGGGTGCCTGACAATGCCAGTCCCTGGCGCCAGGCCTGTGCCACAAGCTGTGCATATAGACAGAGTGCTTCCCTCTCCCTCCTTTTCCCGTTCTTATTCTTCTTCTCTGCAGGATTAGTTACTGTGCCAAGTTACTTGTGAGTATTTCATTGCTCACTTATAAATAGGACGCTTTTAAATAGTCTGCCTTGAGATGCTCCCAGGTTGAACTGAAGCCAAAACACTCCACTTGTCAGCACATACTAAAGTGAGGGGTTCATTAGCAGGAATACAAAGGAGGTAGATATCAGGGCGGATGTCAATCTCTGACTGTGTTTGCTGTATTGCAGCTGTATCCAAATACGAAACCTTTGGATTTAAAGTTGCCGTCATTGCCTCCATTGTGAGCTGCGCCATTATTCTGCTGATGTCGATGGCTTTTTTAACCTGCTGTCTTATCAAGTGTGTTAAGAAAAGTGAGAGAAGAAGAGCTCAAAGGTATGTCATGTTTGACAGGCAAAGTCGTTTCAGGGGAAAGGTTTAAGAGAGGTAACTTGAAGGCTCAACTATACGAGAGACAGCATGTTATTGTTCTACTGCTGATTTTCTTTGAGATTTTTGCTGTACTTGTAGAATTGTAGAGTTGGAAGGGACCCCAAGGGCCATCTAATCCAACCCTCTGCAATGTTGTTGTTGGTGTAGTATGGACATGGAAAATGGAAGATTCCCTTGGTTTCCCATGCTACGGTGTCTGAAAATTTGGGGATGTACTTTGCTGAGGGGACGAAAGCCAGTTATGTTCTAGCATTGCACATCATTTTTGGCTCTGAAATAACTGATAACAAAATAAGTGTTTAAAGCATTGTTTGATTTTGACAGCTTCTCAGCTTAATTCTAGTGATGATACCCCAGTGTTTGCTGTGTCTAGGGAGAGGCAGCAAATCTCAAGGAAGCCACGACTTGTCCAATCTTTGCATCACTCCCTGCCATATCAGCAGCCATTCTTCTCCTGCTGCTGCCTTGGAAACAATGTTTACACCATGCTGAACAATCACAGGCAGGGTCAGTGGAACAGAGCAGGCCTGACATTAGGACTGGGCTTAGGGAAGCAAATGTTGGGCTCCCACTGCAGCTGAGGCTGGTCACTGACTTCCCTTTAATATAATATATATTTGGAGAGCGGCAGTACTCAGCCTGGCACTGTGAAGAGAAGTGTGTGGCAAACTACTGCAATAACCACCACCATTTTCATTTCCCCAGAATGGTTCTGAGCCCTGATGTAAGCAGCAGCAGCTGAGTTCTGTAGTAACAAATTGTAGACTAGGCCAGGGGTCCCTTTACAGACGGAGGGCCTCATTCCCTTCTGGAGGCCACACACAGGTGGTGGGCAGGGCCAGGGACAAAAGTGGCTAGACCAACAAATGTATAAATGTAAAGTGGCCCCTGACCATTAGGTCCAGTCGTGATCGACTCTAGGGTTGCGGCGCTCATCTCGCTTTACTGGCCGAGGGAGCTAGCATACAGCTTCCGGGTCATGTGGCCAGCGTGACTAAGCCGCTTCTGGTGAACCAGAGCAGCGCACGGAAACACCATTTACCTTCCCGCCAGAGCGGTACCTATTTATCCACTTGCACTTTGACGTGCTTTTGAATTGCTAGGTTGGCAGGAGCAGGGACCGAGCAACGGGAGCTCACCCCGTCGCGGGGATTTGAACCGCCGACCTTCTGATCGGCAAGTCCTAGGCTCTGTGGTTTAACCCACATACTTTCCCTTTATACAGTAGTTTCTACTAGGGTTACCATATTTTGAAGAGCAAAAAAGAGGATATATTTGTCGACTTCTACTTTTAACTATGGATCGGTATGACGACTCTACCCATGAAAAATTGGATGCGTCCTGGAAAAAGAGGACATATGACAACCCTAAACACACACACACATAATTTTTCTCGAGGAACTGGCTTAAAAAAGGGACAGATGAGTTGCCCTGGGCAAGATGAAGTCAGTAACAAATTTAATTTATAATAGGAATAATTTCAGGAGAAACTTCTTGAGCAGGGACAGAAAACCTTTTACAGCCTGAGGGCCACAGTCCCTTCTAAGCAACCTTCTGGGGGCCACATGCAAGTGGTAGGACCAGAAGAAAGAGTGGGTGGAGCAATATATGCCAAATTATTCTCAAACCCCTCTCTATCCTTGATCCAGCCAAGGAGAAGCCATTATCAGAGCTCAATAACACATTCTATCCAGGCAGAAATACCCAAGGAGGGGCTCAAAGTTTAGGGGTATTTCCTGGGAAAGGAGGGGTGTGAGATTTTTCAAGAGGCGTGGAGTGTAATTTATGTATACAATTTTTGTAGCTGGGGAGGGAAACACAGTGGCATCTCCAGCCGGCAAATGTTATGTGTAGCCCAGCTTCCTATAATCTCCAATGCTATTTGTGAGGGTCGTACAAAGGCCACAAACACACCTTGATTTTTAAATAATGTAGATAGGGCAGAAGCAAAGAACTCACAAATATTACCAAGAAAAAGAACAGACTTTTAATTCTATCACCTGACTGAACCATGGAGGGGTGAGAGATGTGTCCCTTTTGTTAAAGATTTAACTATTATGTATGAGGAGGAAGTTAATCAGTATTATGTCCTGCAAATATAGGCCTGTGGTGAGAGGGCAACAGGTGGGTTGTCAGTGCTTTAATGTAAAAGAAGGAAAGCCATGAAACCAATTAAATTATTTTTTTAGCTGGAAACAGCCAGTGACAGCAGCACAGCTTGTTTATATAAGTGCTGTTCAGGAAGGCAGATAATGGCAATTATACTTTAATTTCTGAAATACTAGTGCTTCCATATTATATAATTGAAGGGTTTTTGACACGTGTCTTTTGTTCTTACATCTCCTGAGAATTGTATTGGACTTTCCCAAATGCCAAATTCTTGTTTATGCAAGCATTTAGTGGATTAGATACTAAGGATCTCTAGTACCCTGCTGGATCCTTCCCATTCTTATCCACTACAAGCAGCCTCCTCACACACATGAAGATCTTCTTTTGGGGGGTGGGTTTAGTCTGTATGCCAAAGGTAAACAAAACAAAACAAAACAAAACACTGTTTTGCTTCAAAATCAGACGTTTGTCATGTGATGGCAATTTTCCTGCGTTTATTGCAGAAAACCGCAGTAAAAGTTTCTAAAAGTAATCTAAATGTGGCTATTGGAACTCTGGTGAAAGTTGTCCCATCTGTCTGTCTGCAATGACACTTCGTTAATGCATGTGGCAACTTGCTCTGCTCCCAGCGGTTGTCATGTTCACAATCTCTTAAAAGGTGAAAGGTAAAGGACCCCTGGATGGTTAAGTCCAGTCAAAGGCGACTATGGAATTGTGGCACTCATCTCGCTTTCAGGCCGAGGGTTGCCAGTGTTTGTCCACAGACAGCTTTCCAGGTCATGTGGCCAGCATGACTAAACCACTTCTGGCATAACAGAACACCGTGATGGAAACCAGAGCACACGGAAACGCCGTTTACCTTCCTGCTGCAGCGGCACCTATTTATCTGCTCACACTGGTATGCTTTCGAACTGCTAGGTTGGCAGGAGCTGGGACAGAGCAACAAGCTCTTACCATATTTTAAACACTTCCTGCTTCCCAAATGGCACCTTTACCCACCCTGATATTATTTAATACTATGCATTATTATTTTCCAGATTTATTAGTTGTTTGCTACAATTGCAAATACACACAACAAAACCACCCACATCCAAATTGCACAGCTGTTCCAGAAGTCCTGATAGTGTGACTGATGGTGTCAAAAGCTACCATGAGCTCAAGGAGCATGAAAAGCTCCCCATCCCCCTGTCACTCATTCACAGTCCCATACGTGTTTACATGATGGGTGTATACTTTCTAAAGCAGTAGCAGAAAAAGAGGAATGGCAGTAAAAATAAAAAACTGAAAGTATCCCCTGCAGATTTAATACTGTTTCCTATTTATTTTCTGTCTGTTGATGTCACGTGGTCTCTTTTCATGGGTGCTCTTCATATTTGGGGTCCTTCCTTTGAAACTCTTCTTTGCTTTGCTCTTTGCCAGTGCTACTGAAACCTTTTTAGCTCAATCACCTGCCTGGCTAACGACACTGCTGCCGCCCATGTTTATCCTTTCCTCTGTGTCCATTTTTACAGGGATATGCAACTATGGTATCAGCTCAGAAGTGAAGAACTGGAAAACATGCAAGCAGCTTACTTTGGTTTTAAAGGCAGAAATAACAACAATAACAAAATAAAGAATAAGCCAGTATTTGATGATGGTGGTAATATGGCGTATGACAACCGAGGCTTCTGCAGGTAAGGTAGCCCAGGGTACTGGGTTATGCAGCTTTGCAAGACCAAAACTCTTTAACACATTGAACAGTCCACAAAGTACCTTGGATTGAGGTGGGCTGTTTGCCAAATCAGGGTCTGAACCAATTCTTGAGGTCTGTGGACCCCTGTACTAGACAGCGGCAAATGACTGACTTCTCTGGTGTTCATACAAAGCCCTTTATCATATACATTGTTTGACTGTATGGGCTCCATTCAGATAGTGCTAAAATGCCTCTGTTCTCCGTACAAAAAAAAAAAAAGGTCAAAATGAAAACTTTTGCTCATTCTTGGCATCGTGCCTCCAGTCTTTGTCTACATGTCATGATTCACTGGTTTAACTTAATATATATCACCTACGTGATGCAGTCTTATTTGGGATAATGCAACATAGAACACAGTATGAAGCTATAGTCCTGATTGTGTATACACTGGGGCTATGTAATTCGAACTGGTCAGTGACTCTGATTTGGAGGTAGTAACAGAAAGTTCAGCCTTATTACCTTTTGTAACCACCAGTGTCATCTGATGCTTGCATACACATCAGGTTCTGCTTTCCCTGGGCCATGGGCACACCCAATTCATGGGATGCAAAGTCCATTTGAGGTGTATGTGCTGATGGAATCTGCACCCAATGCTTCTCTCCCTTCCTGGGAGGAAATCAAAACCTGGCTAAATCAGAATACAAAATCTGATAGAGCAAAGTTGGATAGATTCTTTTGGGGGGGGTGGCAAACTTTTGTTGATATCTGTCTGAGGCCACTGCATTCATTTGGGTCATCTCCTTGTTCCATACTTATCTGTCCTACAGCAGCACTAACCAGTCAACTGGTTGTCTCTTCAGAATAATTAAAGGAGAGACACGGTACCTCAGCCCCCTGGGCTGAATGCAACCCTCCAGGTATCTCTGCCCAGCCTGTGGAACTCTCCTCAGGCCATGCCCTTTCACAAACCATTTTTCATGCTTTTACGTGGCTGGAATGTGTCCTTGAACTCTGGCAATGCCTCTCGGAGAGGTGTATGGAAACCTCTGTTGCTCTCACCATTTTTTGCCTCCGGCTTCCAGCCACCAGAAGACTGCTTATGAGGGAATGTAGGATAGCTCAGTTGGTAGAGCATGAGACAGGGTCATGAGTTTGAGCTCCACGTTGGGCAAAAGATTCCTGCCCTCGTGGACTCTTCCAACTCTATGATTCTATGAGCCCAACTTAAAGCAATATATTTTTAAAAAACTAATGTCATTTGCCTCTTCTTCCATTCTTGGCTAAAGAGGCAGGCCAGTCTTTAGTGCCCCTGAGTGATAACAACAGTAGGGCAATGCCTTCATTTCCATTGAGGGCATTGGTGGGGACCCTTGGGCCAATTCCATCCTGCCAAGCCTTATTAGCTGGTCTTTAGCACTTTTCCTAGGCCACATTCCTCACAGGCTCTGCTCCACACCATCCTGAAGTGAATTTGCTTGGCAGGAATGTGTTCCTGCTGCTTGCCCAGATGGAGAGATTTGTATGTAGAAACTGCTGACCTGTGTGACTCAAATGCAGCCCCTGTCCAAAAACCAGAGTCCCCTTCCTTGCCCTGCCCACTTCCTTGTCTCCGGCTGCCCCATTACCTCTGGCTTGCAGCCCCTGGAAGGCTGCCCATGAAGGCAGTGTGTCTACTCCTAATTTAGGGTTTTTAAAGGAGTCGTTTTACTTGTTGTGGAGGTTTTATTTGGTTGAATAAAGAGTGTAGGCGCAGTCTGCAATTTTTCTGGGAAGGAGATTTATTTAGAGCAGCAGGGAGCTGAGCTCTATAAGCTACCCCATAATAGCAATTGTTTTTATTGTCGGATATTCCACTTTTTGTTTTTGAATTTATTACTGCTGCTAGTAGCTGAAAGAGAGCGAGCAGTTTAAATGGCAGATGCATGTTGCAATAACACTCAGGCTGAGAGGGTCGGAAGAGATAATGCAAATAAATTACGGTACATTCAATTCGGCTCCTGCTTTGACGGATGCCTGATTCTGACTCATAGGCCAATCCTGGGCACTGCTTTGCTCAGCACAGCCTTGTGCTGCAGCACAGGAAAGTACTTCAAGGGAAGCATATGTGTTCATGCACTGCAACATTTTACAGGAAATCCCCTAGCCTGCAGACTCTGGTCTACATAGCACAGGGAGCTCTCTTAACAGTTCTTAAGCTGTTGGGGATCTCCTTGGGGGGTCATCTTGGCATCAGCAGTACCACTTTAGTTCCTTTGTACTAGGTCAGACTTTTTCCTCCATCTGTCGCCTGCTGTGAGTGGCAGCCAGTTTCCAGGGTCTCAGGCACAGGTCTCTCCCATTAGATGCTGCCTGATCCTTTTAACTAGAGATGCCAAGGATGAAAACTGGGACCTGCTGATTGCAAAGCAGGGATCCTACTACTAAGTTCCACCATGCACCAGCCATTCCTATTTTCTAGCAGCCATCCCTGGAACTGCACATTGTTTTTCCTATTAGGGCCCCATTTTTTTCTGGTGGAATTGCTTTTTAAAAATGTGGTTAGTGTGAATGGTGGGGTGTATGGGGTGTTAGGGATGGAGTAGTACCTCTGGTGGGAGACGGGTCGGGCTCCTTCTGGGATAGTTTGTCCACTTTTGGTTCCTATCCTGCACTCAGCTCTCATTTGTGGCTCTCAGAAGCTGCCAGCATGCGATAGCGGCCACACCCCGGGAATGGCTTTGACTGGCCTGCTAAAGCAGGTGAGGGTTGCCGATGGTCTCAAACACTCAGTGAGTTAGGGACTTGCCCTGCGTGCAAAGACAGGCTCTGGCAGATTGAGTGGACGAGACCAATAGTGGGTCCAACCGTCAAGAAAACTCTGATCCTAAACCGTTGCTGCCTTGTGTGATTTCATTGGGAGAGGAAAAAAAGGCTGAGGAATAAACCCTACATCAGGCATAGGCAAACTCGGCCCTACAGATGTTTTGGGACTACAACTCCCATCATCCCTAGCTAACAGGACCAGCGGTCAGGGATGATGGGAGTTGTAGTCCCAAAACATCCAGAGGGCCGAGTTTGCCTATGCCTGCCCTACACCAATCCAGAGTGGAGTCCCTGAGATGGTTGGATGGCGCTTTGTATGCATTATTCTGGCACCTCCTGCAGCCCAGCTGGTGCCACGTGCTCTGCTTTCTTTCGCACCACATCAGTGAGGCCAAGAGGGGTTTCTTGTCATCTAGGCAGCTCAGGACCTCCATACACACTTGCCCAGGCTTGGAGCCTGGTGCTGCTAACGCAGTGGTTTGACTTTATCCCCGGAGGCACACTCCATTGCCTCTTAAAGCAGATGGATGCAAACAACCTCAACAGAGTGAATGGCTGCAGTGGCAACTCTCCAGTGTTTAGCTCCCTCCTTAGGATCAAATCTGTGACTGGGGCGTGGATGTGTCCCATTTCTATTTGACATACAAAAACGCAGATGAGCTATGTATTGCAAGCCCATATGTCCTTACCCAGACCTGAGGTCTTCACCTGAGGCCTTTATTGAAATGTCTCAGCCCACTGAGCTGGCAGGTGGCTAAAAGTGAAAGGGTCTTTGTAAACGGGGTGCCATTGCTTTTTTTTTTTTAATCTTGTCACTTTCAACTCTGTTTTAGCTTTGTTGATTTTTATTCTTTGCTCTCTGTTCTGCTCCTGATGTTACCTGAAGTTCTAATGCCACGTTTTACATTCTTGTCTTTTTATTGTATTATATTGGGGATGGCCAACTAAATCATACTCAGAGTAGACCCTTTAAAATCTCAGAGAACCTTTTGTCATTGGGCAGCGCATAAATAACATAAACAAAATAATAAACAAATAAATTAAAACTTCTCGTTTCATATGGTGGTGAGGTATTTTTTAAAATTACTTTTGATAGCAGATTCTAGTGTAAGCATTAGCTTGGCTTTTAAAAGAGTGCAGGATTGACCACAGCAAATTCAATTAATTACTGTATAGTTTATTGCTAGCTTTAAACTAGTGTGATGCACCTGTAAAAAAACACGGGAAATGGTACGTTTGGTACAAGGTCTAGTGGCTACTTAATCAATTTTTGAGTTTTGAGGGGTTTTACATAGACTTAAAAAGCTAATCACACAGTGATTATATCCTAAGGCACTTCGTCAAAAGGATTAAGAGCTTGCTTTTAATTTTAGACACCTGCATGTAATGAAGTGCTGAGATTAGATGAATATGCAGTCCATATTTACATTTCTGGAATTTGTACCATTTTGTTTACTAAGCAGGACAGTTGTTTTCAATTTAAACACAAATAAAATATATAAAGCAGCAGATACTTGGCATGCAACAGTCTGTTTCACTAAAATATCGGAATCTCTATTCAGGGCCGTAGCTAGGGGGTGGTGAGGAAGGCCCCCGCCAGGGGCCCAGGCAAGGAGGGGGCGCAAAATCTGCTAAAAATATTTCCATAAATATGTCTATAAATAAAAATATCAATTATTGCCTCTTAAAAAAAGGTTTTAAATAGGGGGTATTTATATGATATGCGGGGGCCCTGTCCCCCCCCACTTTTTTCTGTGCCACATTCCCTAGGGGGTGCAATCTGGACAGTTCTGCCAGGGGCACAAGATCACCCAGCTACGGCTCTGTTTCTGTTCTGTGCTAATCTCTGTGGAGCACAGACTGTTTTACTATAGCCCTCACTCAGTTTCAGGGATATGAAGGGATGAGCAAGGCCACACTTCCTGGCTCCATTCTGTCATTCCCCTGGGCTCCATTCATGTGTTACGGAAAGGCATGTCTGAGGTTGAGTCCATGCTCTGCACGCTTTGCCCTGGTTTGTATATCGCATTAAACCAGGGGTGGGAAGACCTCAGTCCATGGGCCACATTTCCATCTGTACAATATTTTGGGGGCCAGATGCCAGGTGCCTGGAGCATTGCATTACCTCCCCCCCGCCTTGCTGCTGCTGTTGCTGCTGCATCACACTGTTGACTCATGTTAAGTTTGTGGTCCACCAGGAGCCGTAGATCCCTTTCACATGTACTACTGGTAAGCCAAGTGTCCCCCATCTTATATCTGTGCAGCTGATTCTTCCTGCCTAAATGCTGAGCCTTACATTTGTCCCTATTGAAATGCATTTTGTGAGTTTGGGCCCAGTTCTCCAATCTGTTAAGGTCTTCTGTTAAGGTGATTCCCTGGGAGATGGTGGTGGTTCTAGTGGACAGAAATAGTTGGAGGTGCCTACAGGAGACTGGACAAGAGCCTTTTGCTGCAAACGTTGCCCTTACTTCATTGCTTGAGTTGGAACCTCATTTTCCCTAATGGTAGGGCCTGCCTATGGCCCATTAATCAAAAATGCCTAACTCTTTTGGGCAATGTAGTAAGTTCTTGAATGCAAATCTATATTCACTAAATGACTTAACAGCCATGGGTCCAATGTATTATGTGGCATGCCTTGAAGCTGACAAATGGGGTGACAGCTTTGTGCATCACTTAAGGGACATTTGTTTTGTAATGAATTAGACAGAATCAAATCTTCTTCTTCATCCTGAACACATAAATTATTGCAAATAGCAAGGCAGTAAAGAGGAATTTGCAGGGTAAGTGCAGTCTGAAGCAGCCTTGTAATGCATTATATAACAAATGAAATTGGAAGACAACAAATGAAGTGTCATTGTAACACATTGTTTTTCAAGGTCTCTGTTCCCCCTCCCTCGGTTCTGATTTTCACCACATGGTTGTGCCACTGAAATCTAAGGCTGTCGTGTGAAAAAGCCTCATGTTATGGAGTTGGCTGCACATTCATTCACTGCAGGAAATCCCTCCCTGGGCCTACAGGCAATGCTGTTCTGAAAAGACTGAACTGGACTTCTTACATTGAAAGTCAGACAATTCCCTTTTCTAGCCAAGTTCCCCTTGACCAAGAGCGTGGAACCTTTTTCACCTCAAGGGACACTTTCCAGGGGTGGGCAGGGCTAAAGGCAAAAGTGGGTGGAGCAACAAATGTGATTTTTACCTTTGTACTTAGGCTAGTTCCTATACAGCCTCACATGCCCCTCCATCCATCCAGGGAAGCAGGAGGCATGATCAGAGCTCAAGGATGCATCCCACCTAGGCAAAAACACTCAAGGACCAGGGTGGGAAGAGTTCTAAGAGCCAGATAGAGAGGGCCCATATCTGCCCTTGACAAACCGAAAGCTTTTTCCTTGCCCAGTGTTCAGAAATGGCTCTTCTTTCCATTATCTCTTGAGGCAATGGCTGTTGAGCACGTGGGGCAAATGCAAACAAGAACCTAAAGAAAATGTTTTGCATTTGACATCCAGTCTGTTCAAGTAAGAGACATGCATTTTTTTAAGGGCCAAACTCAGTGTGATGTGGGAGACTGGCAATGTCGTGTTTTCTTTCCCTTTGGTCAAAGCAGCCATGGAACAGGTGTGATTTGGATTTGAGAGCTGGTGCATGGCAGGAAGAATTTATCTCTCCCCCCACTCCAGTGGATATTCCAGTGGAAATTGTGTCCCAAAGCTTCTATTAGCTGAAGAGAGGAGGTGGGTAAGACAAGAGCCCCAGCCATTCCTACTTTTAACCAAAGCGTGTAAAGAGATATTCAGAGAAAGATTTTAGGAGCAGGGCCATAGCTCCGTGGCTGAGCCTATGCATCACATACAAGAAGCCCAAAGTCCAGTCCTTACTATTTCCAGTTTTCAAGGACCAGCTAAGCAGATGATGGTGTAAACAATTTAAGACCCTCAACAGTGGATAATTCTGGACTAGATGGGTAAATCATCTGATGGCATAAAGTAGCTTCCTAAGCCGAGGAATGTTAATCTAGTTTGGCCTTCAGAGCTATAGATGCTGAGTATTGTTATATTTATATATTTTCTGGCATGATTGTTTTCAGAAGATTTGAATGCTACACACACACTGCACATCACCCCACTTTTCAAAGGCTCAACATTCCCCACTTTGCCACAATTTTATCTAGCTGAAATGCTAATGGGAAAAAAGCCCTGGTTCAGTGAACTAATTGCTGGGTGAATTGTAAAGGCTGTGCATTTGACTCTAGGTGTGAGAGGCTGCGTTTTCTCCATTAGGAGCAGCTGGCGTGTATTTCCATGAAAAAATCTTTCTTTCTTTTTTTTTGTAGGGCTGCTAATTGGTGCACTCCTACAGAAGTATTTACTGGGTATTTTTAGAAGTTGCCTCTGAAGGACTGAGATGCTGTGGCTTTTCTGAAGCGTTGATTCAGAATGCTTTAGCGCTGTGTGTTATGAACAAAAAAGGGAAAATCTCTTAACAAGCAAGTGGCCCGTTTAGCAAAAACAAGCAAAGCAAGCATCCAGGGGGAAAACAAAAACAAAACAGCAATATCTTGGCTGCATTTGGAAAGGAAGGAATAAATGTACATAATGAAATGGGCTGTTGCCTGCAAGAGGCTATGCAAAAAATAAGTGAGTCGACCATATTTGGGGTCAGAGGGTGGAGATCACTTGGAGTATGGAAGATTAGGGGTAAGTGGGAGGTGGAAACGGAAGAGAGAATAGAATGACAGTTGGGAGTGATGGTTGGAATTTATGTCAGAGGACTGTTGCAAGAGAGGGAGAGGGTGGGAAGCAGAGGTATTAACTGACCGGGAATAGGTTTCAGAGATTAGTAGTTCTTACTAATTCATCCCACACTTCAGTTTACTTTGAATTTGTTTTACTGCTCCTCAAATAAACACTCTTGTCTGTTAACTGTGGGCAAATGTCAGTGAAACCCCTGCACTGACAGAGAGTATGAACATGCTACCTGGGTATCTACACAGTGCTTTTAGCACAGACAGCGACACAAGCCCCTTAAAGAGCTAAAAAATGTTTTGCTGTCACAGCTAAGCATAGCCACAATTTAGGGAAAAGAAGTGCAATGTCAGGTAAGGGAACTGATCTCCCCGTTTTTTATTTTTATGGTAGGAATATAAAGTGTGGAATTCAATGTCACACTAAGGCGATGGTTCCATCAGCCCAAGTGTTTCTGCTTGCTTGATGGAACAATCTCCTCTCTCCTCCTTCCTGTTGGGTGTTCTGGGCAGACCTCCTGACCTTCCCAAGCAGTACTGAGGAGGAAACGGGGACAGAAGTGAGACGTGTGGAAAGTCCCATTACACTAGTGGGACTCATTGCAGTGTCTCCCACTAACACAACTATTTAGTCGAACCTGGCCCAAACTATGTATATAGGACTGTACAGGTTATATCTGATGAAGAGGGAGTTACTTCTGAGTAGGCCTAGCCTTTGAATAGCAGTTGCTGGGAACCACAAAGTGGGGAGAGGCCTGTTGTGCTCAGGCCCTGCTTGTTCCCATAGGCATTTGGTTGGCCACTGTGAGAACAGGATGCTGGCCTAGACAGGCCTTTGGGCAGATCTTGTGCTCTTAGGATTGCACTAAGTTTTAGTCAGCTATTAAAGGCATCTAAGTTGGTGGCCATTGATGTATCCTTTGGCAGAAAATTCATAAATTAACCAAGAATTTACATGTGCTTAAACTATATATATATATATATATATATATATATATATATATATGACGGTTAAAGTGCTATGAGTAGGCTTCAACACCTCAGTACTTAGCAGCATTGTGGGGGCAAATTGAGGGAGTAGGCTGTCAAATTGGTAGCAAGTTAATTTTTTTTGTAAAGGTTGCAATCTTTGTGAAGTAGGGTCAAATGTATTTTTCAAGATGGTGTACTGTAAGTGAAAAGATTGGAAAGTTAACTTTAGAAAGTTAAGCTGCATTTTAAAATTTTTATCGTCAAATATCAAAATTCTCTTTTTTCCTCTGTGTTCAGAAGGTTTTTGTCCTCTGGTGCCCTTTAAGGCTTGATGCTACTTGGTGTTCCTAGAAGGCAAGGGGATTTCTTTTTAACCTGATGATTTCATCTTTTGCCTTCACCAAGTACTTGCCCATTTGCTTTTAGGCACATCCAAAGTCTGCTGCAGCACAGCTGCGGCTGGATCTCAGTAAGTTGGCAGATGATGGGAGCAACATCTGCGCCATCATGGACAAAAGAGGGTCCACTCGGGCAGATACTAGTCTGGTCATTGCAGCATCCTTTCTTTCTTCATATGTTCAAAAGCATTTTCTTGTTAGAGGGCAGCCAGCCGGGCATGAACATGGCTGCAGACGCTAACTTCATTGCTTCTACTCAGAAAATATATTCTCCTTTTCTTCCACAAAACAGGGCTTAGTCCCAGTTAAATTCCTTAAGAAGCACTCTCTGGACCCAGAAGTGTGTGACAACTTCCACCCAGGTACTCATGTTCTCACCAGTTGAGCCATCCAGGCTTCATATCCCCTTTGAGGGCCCCAAACTCCAAAGGGTGGTGGCTGTTCAGTGCCAGGCATACTTAAAGGAGGCCAATTAGCTGGATGCTTTTCAATCCAACTTCAGACTTGGTTTTGGTATGAAACAGCTTTGGTCATCCTGACTGATGATCTGTCTGTATTGGGAGAAGGATGTGGAGAGTGTGACCCTGCTAATTCCCCTCATCTTGCAACAGACTTAAATACCATAGTATCTTCCTGGATCGGCTCTGTGGGCTGGGAATCAAAAGATATGAGATTCTGGTCGTTCTGCCTCTAGCTCCAGGACCAAGTTTGGGAACTTTTACTCAGCCCCATGGCAATTGTGCTGTGGGGTCTCACAGGGATCCAGCTTGCCTCTCGTGTTATTTATGATAGTTAAGAAGACATTTGAAGTGATTATCAAGGGACTGGGGATGAAGTGTCATTGGTATGCTGATAACATCCAACTCCAGCTCCCTTTTCCGTAAGAGTCAGGAGAAGCTGCTCTAGTGCTAAGTCAGAGTTTGGGGTGTCAATGAATTGGATGAGGGCCAATAAACTGAAGTTGGCTTCTGACAAGATGGAGGTGTTGTAGATCAGGTCTGAAATTTGGATGATCAGCCTCTTCTGGATGGCATTGCATACCCCTGAAGGATCAGGTGCGTAGTCTGGGGTTCTTCTGTGAACCTTGCTGCTGGAGGCTCATGGCTGTGGTGGTGCAGAGCATCTGTATCCCAGTTTGGCTGGTTTACTAGTTCTGGCTGTTCAGGGACAGGAATACCTTAGTACAGTAATCCATGTGCCAGGGTTGACTATGACAATGTGATCTTTGTGAGATTGCTTTTGAACAGGGTTCAGAAATTGCAGGTAGTGCGAAATGCAGCTGAGAGATTGCTGATCAGCACAGCTGCATGAAACCATAGAACACGGTGCTTGAAAGATCTGCACGGGCTACTTGTAGTGAACCAAATTCAAGGTGCTTGTGTTAAAGCCCCAAACGGCTTGGGACTCCATAATCTGGAGGAGCATTTGCCCCTGTGAGTTGCTGGAGAACTTCTTTTGGCTGTGCCATCACCTAGTGAAATCTTGATGATTTGAACTCTGGATATTAATATTATCATGTTATTATTCATTAAATTTATATACCACCTGTCAGGGGTTCAGGGACAGAGGCACAGGGTAGGGAGGAGATGGAGAGCGAGGGGGATGAATCCCAGGACAGCGAGGAAGAGGATGACAATGACTCAAGAGATTCCATGAGTCTTTCCAGCGAATCAGAGGATTCCCAGAAGTGGGCGCCAGTGGTCAAGGCCAGGAGCCCCAGGGGGACGTGTCAGGAACAGGGGGCCAGCGGGGGATCCCAAAGTGGCAGCTGGGCGTCAGGACCAGCCTCCCCACCAGAGTGCAGCGAAGGGGGTGGAGTTTCCAGTGTATCAGGGGGAGCAGCTCCGGCAGCAGAGAAGGGAGGGAGGTCGGAGCAAGCCACCCTCCCGGAAGGGGAGGGGAGTAGTGAAGGGAGTAGTGTAACTGTCAAAAGGAAAGCCAGAGGTTGGGCGCGTGCGCCAAGTTCAAATGTAGAGGCGCGCGGAAGTACAGGGAGCCCGGAGGAAGGGCCAGGTCCTAAAGCCCGCAGGAGGGGGGAAGAGCAGTCGGGGGATAGCGCGTCAGGGGAATCCAGGAGGGGCGAAACCCCAGCGGGCAGGAAGACCCTGAGGAAAAGGAAAGAGAGAAAGAGGTGGAGCAGCGCAAGGCTCTTAAACTGGTGCAGGGGAGGGACTGACTCAGAGGGGACTTCAACGGTCTAAGCGTACAGACGTGAGGCTGCGCGCCTCGGATATGAAGCAAACAATGAACTGCAATAAACACTTTTGTATGTAAGAAGAGATTGGCGTTGGTCTTTTGTGAGCTGAGACCTGAGGCAGCCTTGACACCACCCTTCACCCAAGTATTTCAGGGTGGTTCACAAGATAAAAATGCAGGATAAAAGCTCAAAATAAATAGGGCTTTTGGTATACTCTTCCCAAAGCCTTTGATTAAGATAAATCTTAGTTGTATTATAACCATGAAATTATGTTATAAAATCTTGTTGCAAACATTGTACTCTGTATGCTTTGTCATATTCAAGCCATTATTGTTTCCACAACAGCTGCATTATTCCCACTAAAATGTTGTGCATTGTAACACAAGCGAAAATTTCTACTCACCACCTTTCAAAAGAAATTCCCGTGCAAAGCAATTTCCAATGTCAATCAGGAAACAGAAGAGCATACTTGTTATGTCTTACAGTGCTGAAGTCTTTATTGCAAGTCCTGTTCGCATTATTATCATTAGGAACAACACAAAGGGGAATTAAGTTGATTCTTCTGAACTCAACTGGTGATCACTTGTCTTTTTCTATCTGTTGTATAATGAATGGAGGGATGCAAACTGAGATCAAAGCTGCACACAACAACAAAATAAGACAGCCTCCCGCTGATCCAGCAAGACAGATCTGCTTATGAATGCAACCTTCTGCATGCATTTGCTGATATGGGTGTTCATGTGGATTCTCATCAGAACACTAATGAATTGGAGAAAGCCATTCTTAAAAACCAAATAGACTTATCAAAGTGTTGAGAAGAATGAACAATGATCAATCAGATAGAGTGACCAAAGAGTGCAAATAATACATCACATATAGCACTTCCACCCTCTTAGTGTCCATGGGCATTTTAAAAGAAATCCTAGAGTTCCTTTTCATATAAGTATCCAAGCTTGTGGTAGTCTATGAACACAGAAACTGTTAAGTTGTGGGTGAACATATCAGACGACACAGCGATTCTTCCAAAGCAGCTCTTTATTTGTAAGCTGGAACAGAACTGAACTGAAGAGCTCAGTCAGCCTGCTTATATAGAGCTCCAGAACAACGTAACTGTAGCGACTTTCTAAAACTATCCAATCACTGAACGTCACTTTCGATCCTTCATTTGCATACAAACTATCCAATCACTGAACGTCACTTTCGATCCTTCATTTGCATAACTATCTACAGTATCCCCCTGCTGGCCCAGGGTGAGAACTTCAGTACATAACAGAAACCATCCTTCTGATGGAAGATAAAGGGATGCCATGTTTTATGAAAGTCACCAGGTGTGGCAGTATTTCACAATATCCCATACATGCACCTCTCTTTAAAGAGCTGGCATATGAGTCCTTCCAGCCTGCCATTTCATGATCTCTCTCATGTTGCCCCCAAATCTTATCACATGTTCACATTCCCTCTACAAGTGCCATTAATCCCATGAGCCTTATACCCCTTCAAGCACAGTGGAGACATTTCCTTTTTATTACCAGTGGGGATGTGCAACTTGGGCACCAGACATTAATGCACAACTAGTTGCTTATCTCTTCAGCAGAATCATGTCCCATGATGACAGGGGAGTTTGTTAACCTCGAGAGCCAGTGTGGTGTAGTGGTTAAGAGCGGTAGTCTCGTAATCTGGGGAACCGTGTTCACGTCTCCGCTCCTCCACATGCAGCTGCTGGGTGACCTTGGGCCAGTCACACTTCTCTGAAGTCTCTCAGCCCCGCTCACCTCACAGAGTGTTTGTTGTGGGGGAGGAAGGGAAAGGAGAATGTTAGCCGCTTTGAGACTCCTTAAAGGGAGTGAAAGGCGGGATATCAAATCCAAACTCCTCTTCTTCTTCTTCTTCTTCTTCTTCTTCTTCTTCTTCTTCTTCTTCTTCTTCTTCTAACAGATGAAATTATTACTAGGATTTTATATGCTGATGCAAGTGCAGAATTTGGCCAGGCAATTTCCTTTAGAAACTGAGCAGAACCGGGCACTGAGTTAGATGTGCAGAAGTGGCCTTGATTTCAACAGAATGCAAGTGCATATAATATAATTGTACACTACGTTGTGATTGCTATAAAGAGTTGACAGTAAAAGGAACCAATGATATGGCTGAGGGAAACAAGATTTTGTGTGTATGTGGTGGGGTCAAAATTTGTGAAAACACGTTCCTATCTCCCTCCTCTCCCACAACTTCCAGCGTCTATACCTGCAGTGGACAAATCATACTGAGTCAGATCGATGTTATTTGAGTCAATTTGAATTTATCAAGGCTTTCATATCTAGTCCTTGGTGGCATTTGCACACTATCTAGCCAGATGCAAAGGGCATCGTTTATCCAGATATCATTTGTTTTCTTTGACACTCTCCAAAAGACTCTTGAACACTCCGACATAAAGCTTCAGAGAACACTGTCACTCTGGGATCAATTATAGAAGTTGGAAAGCAACTGTAGTGTAAAGAGAGCATAACTTTTTTTTTTTTTAATACTTCTATCTGGAAGGGTTTTTTCTTTTTTGAAAACACTCCTCCTCACAGAGGCCGTGAAAATAAAAGTAGTTTTTATGTGTCACCTGATATCTAGCAATCAGATATAAATGCAGAAAGCAACCACACCTTTTCCCTGAAGTAATCTTTATCTTCCTGCCTCCTTTCCTCCCTTGTCGTTATATCACTTTGGCTTTTGACCTGCAACCACTTGTATTATTACCTCAAGAAAATTGAATTCTGTATATGACACAATAGGGGAAGCACGTGCTTTTGACAACATATGGGATAAAGGAAAATGTTACCTGTAACTGCTGTAGCCTTCCCCCTCCTCCAAAGCTGATTCCTATAAGTCAAAAATTAGGTCAATAACATTTTGTGTTTCCAACGTTTGATTGGAAAATCTTTATCCTTTGATTTTTCTGTGGCTTCTCAAAGTACTTGCTTTTGAACCATGTATTTTACAACATGTTGCCCTTGAAAGGCAGTTGTTAAGCAATCTGCACACCTCTACAGTACTTCCTGTTGAAATATATTGATTTCCTCTTTGGCTGTGCTAAGCTAATATGAGAAAAAAGTGGAAGTCTCTTCTGAGAAATAGCTTCAGGGATCTCTAATATGGTTCCAGTAGCCTACATGACACACCTATTATTATTATTAAAAAGACTTGTATTTGTCTAGTACAGTCGTACCTTGGTTTTTGAACAGCTTAGTTCGCGAACAACTTGGAACTTGAACGCCGCAAACCCAAAAGCAGGTGTTCTGGTTTGCGAACTTTGCCTCGGAAGCCGAATGTCCGGCGCAATTTCCAATTGGCTGCAGGACAATCCTGCAGCCAATCGGAAGCATTGCCTTGGTTTCTGAATGTTTCGGAAGTCGAACAGACTGTTGGAACCCATTTTGTTTGAAAACCAAGGTACGACTGTATTAGCTAAAAAATATATTGAGCTTTTATGAAGGCATCAAATTGTCCGCCATAAAATCATGTGTGTGTTTTTTTAAAGGTATACTGTCCACCTGTGCAGAAACTTATAAAATCTCCATTTAGAACAGGAGTGGGAAATTTCAGGCCCATAGGCCACACATGGTCCTCCAGACCTCCCTATGTAGCCTACAGGCTTCTCCTCAGGTCACATTCCTCACTACCTTGCTTTGCCCTTCCTTGCATGGTTTTTGCCTGGCTGGAATGTGTCCTTGAACTCTGAGAATGTCTCTTGCTTGCTGGGATGGAGGATACAGAGGTATGTGTAGAAACATGCAAAGATGTAAAATTTTACCTGTACAAAGGTAAAATATAGTTGCTCTACTCACTTTTGCCTCTGGCACCTCCCACCACTGGGGTGTGGTTCCCCCCCACCAGGTGCCCAGAACTGAATAAGGCTTCAGACTGAAAAAAGGTCCCCAGACCTGGAAGTAATCTAGGAACAGCTCCACAAGGTGGAAATACAAGATCTAGGAATGTTATAAATAAATGAATAAGCAAGCTGGTAAGATCTGCTGTAGACAGAATGGATAAGCAACCCCCCCTATTTTTAATTTTAAAAAGGTTATTTATTTATGTATGCTACTACTACTACGGCCTGTGTTTTGTTAGCCCCCAAATGGAAAACGAGTAAGGTCCCAACTAAAGAATGGCAACTTACGTTGACAGAATATGCACAACTTGCAGACTTAACATATAGAATAAGAGAGCAGGAAGAACATACGTTTAAAGAAGATTGGAAAACATTTATTGAATATATGGGAAATAACTGTATACAGCTGAAAACGCTGGCAGCATTAAGATAAGTTCAACAGTATAAACAATTTTTGATGGATGCAATAATGGAATACTGAGTGGTATAGTTTTTGTAAAACGTTCAGGGATTTATGATATGTAAAATGAACCATGGAAAAAGAAGAAGGGAAGTCATTGACATCTAAAGGATGTAAAATGAGTATTTTAAATTGTAAAACAGAAAACTTAATAAAAATTATGTATAGATATGATAAGCAAATCTAAACAGTGAGGGAGGTAACTGAACCTCCCAAGGAAGGGACAACTCCCTGTCTTGTGGTACCAGACAACAGGCCTTGGTTGGCAGACCTGGGCGAGGCGTGCTATATTTATTGGGTATTCTAGATTTTTATCTGCTGTGCTATTTATTGACAACTTCTTTACTGCGGTGGTGGCGGGGGGGGGGGGAGAGAAATCCAATGACAATACTGTATCAAGGCTATAGTTTTTTTCTAAATTTGTAAAAGGTTTCTTTTCTTTTCCAGCTTCCATGACGAATGGGCTGGAGGCATCACAGAGACCGGCTGTTTTGGAGAAAACAATTTACATAGCAAAGCAGCCAAACCCAGCAGTGCACTTGGTAGACAGCTGGGACCGGGGCATAATGTTGCCATACATACCATAAGTACGATACATGTTGTCGAGGTCTATGGGCACGAAAAGGACCCGCAGGGGACAATGGATACTCATTTACCTGGATAGGCAGTCTCATAAACGCAACGAAGGATTTGCTGGACCAAAGCCAAATGTGAATAGAGATACCTGCTGAATGTGCCTTAAAACACTGTATAGAAATGAATCACTGCATTGTTCCCATGTATCAGTTACAATAAACGCCAGAATATCGACAGATTTAACAGATCTGACAAATGTTATTTGAAAATGCATTCTGTTTTTTTGTTTTTAAATTAAACAGTACATCTCAGAATTTAACAGCAAACCATTTCTGCAATTTGCTTTCCCAAAAAGAAGGTGATCCTATCATGAAAACAAGGAAGCACGTATATCCGGTATATGTTTCTGTATCCCTGTTCTTAACAGTTTGTACTTTTGCTGCCTGTGAAGGTTTTTGACAGCAACAAGGACAAATGCACATGACTGCGAATTTATTTTATCCTCTGTTTTTATAAGCATATCAGATAATACATGAAATGTATTTTTTCACAATAAATATGAGGGGATTATAATAAAGATTTTTAATTAAGAAAAAAATGTCAAATTTAGATGTGATTTCATTGTTCAGATTCTGAGGAAACCTTCCATTTCTAACTTTTATTTTTAGTTTCTCATACCTCAGCTAGCCCATATTAAAGGCATCCATTTACTTAAAAGATTTCTATCCTGCCTTTCCCACATATGGCTGTCCAAGGCAGCTGGGGACACGGGTGGCACTGTGGTCTAAACCACTGAGCCTCTTGGGCTTGCTGATCGGAAGGTCGGCGTTTCAAATCCCCGCAACGGGGTGAGCTCCCATTGCTCTGTCCCAGCTCCTGCCAACCTAGCAGTTCAAAAGCATGCCAGTGCAAGTAGATAAATAAATATTGCTACAGGGGGAAGGTAAACGGTGTTTCCGTGTGCTCTGGTTTCCGTCACAGTGTCCCGTTGTGCCAGAAGCGGTTTAGTCATGCTGGCCACATGACCTGGAAAGCTGTCTGTGGACAAACACTGGGTTCCTCGGCCTGAAAGCGAGATGAGTGCCACACCCCATAATTGCCTTTGACTGGGCTTAACCGTCCAGGGGTCCTTTACCTTACCTTTACCTTTACCAAGGCAGTTGGCATACAATTAAAACAAAACAACAGTTTGAAGGCAAAAATCAAACTAAAACATCAAACGAAAAGCTGCAATCACTTCGGATAGAATGAAAGCTTATTCATAAACTCAAACCCTTGAAAGCCTTTGGTGAACAAAAGCTTTCATCAGATGCTCAAAATAATTCAGGCATTATGTTATCTGTGTTCAAATGGACTCATTTAGGGGGCTCAGGGATGCAAACAGACAAAAGTATGTATTTATTCACACACTAAGCTTTGGAGACATTGCTGGCCACCATCTTGGAGGGCTTTAAAAGAGGATTAGACAAATTTGTGAAGGAAGAGATTATCAGTGGCTCCTAACCCCGATGGATATGTTCTCCCTTCACTGCTGAAGGCAGTGTACTTCTGAACACCAGTTTCTGGGAACAGCAGAAGGGGAGAGGGCTGCTGTGTTCAGGCTCTGCTTATAGGCTGGAAACCACGGGAGGGGAAGTGTTTGTGATGGGTTTTTGCTCATCGAATGGCTCTTCCACAGGAACTTGAAGACAGAGTGATGAACAGAGAGGGGGAAGCTACAGGGATGCTTATAACATATTATACTTCTAGATGGGAAATTCAAAACGGAAATGATTCATTGGCTGAACCAATACAGAAAAGGTAAGGTATGGTCCACATGAAGCCCCTTTCATTGGTGGCAGAGGTATTGCTGTGCTGCTGTTTTGCACGAATGAATCGCCGCTCATGGGGCACAGCATACATACTCCACGGCATCAGCCTTGCTTATAATGCATGCAAAGGGCACTAAAAAGGAGGAGGGCCTTAAGTCACGTGGGGATCAGGTGGTGCTTGAAAGGACACCTTTAAAAAACCTATGTGCACTGACAGTTAATGCAAGTTAATGGAGAGTGTGATCTCTACTTTAACTTGTATGGGGAAGAAAATCCCACCCCAGCTGTTTTTGAGGTACATCATCATCTCCCTTCTGCCTGCAAGTTTATGGGGAGAGTGCCCTTTCCCAATGGGAGTTAATAGAAAAAGAAGAGACTAGGCCCCATTAACAACTGGGAGGAGGAGAAGCCCACACTCAATGACACTTGGGGTAACAGGGTCCTGACTGGAGAGAGTGAGGTTCTCCCTCCCCACCAACTGTTTACGGAAAACCCGTACTACCAGCGCAACCACATTCCTCCCACAAGCACAAGTGTAGCTTCACCCCCAGTTAAAATGGAAGGTTCAGGGGAAAGAGCTTTCAAATTAAGCACAGATATCTACACGGCATTGAGAAGTAGCATTAAACAAAACTAAGGAGGACTGTCCAGTTGTTGAGAGTAAAATGGAACATAAACCTCATACCTACAAATTCACTCCCACCTTCCATCCTCAAAGTTAAAGGTTGAAGATGGGAAGTTGTGGGGGGGGGGGCGCTTTGGTAATGTGTTGCCCTGAGCGAGGAAAAAATTGGGTGCACCCCACCCCCAACTTTGAGTAGGTACTACTACTACTACTAATTTTATTATATCCTGTGCAGAAGAACTGCCCTCACTGCCCTAAATCTGGCTGTGCTGAGATGAGAGTGGTGTAGAACCAGCTCTGCAGGATCAAATCTATGCACACCAATTATGGTATAGTGTAACAGGCCACTCGTCCACGGGATTCCAGAGGTCTTGACCCCCAACCAGTGTCTGTGCTCCTTTGGAGAACTGAAGATGCAGAGGAGGCTATAGGAGCTTTTAAAAATATGATTTATTCACATATTTACACCTGAATCTAGTTGGGGGGAGTCCAGATCTTACTACATGGTCATCTCAGGAGGGGCTTGTTCCCCACAGCAGTGCAGCAGTGGAGTCCAAGGCATCCCTCTCTCTACTTGCCTTCAGCCAGCCTGCCAAAATGGTTCTGGGCTTTTCTCAGCTATCCCAAGTTTTCTGCCCAAGGCCCCAAACTCTTCCTATGACATCATGCCCAGTTACCCTGGCAACCTTCCAAATCCCGTCTCTGTTTACACTTCAGGGCGGGGGGGGGGGGAAGGACAGTTCTCTTGAATTGCCAATGGCCCTCAATAGCCTGTATTGTTTCTTAATGGTTCTAGCTTGGACAGGTCACTTTGTATAGGCTAGCCCAGGAATTCCTCTGCAGCTAGAATTTCTCCCATCTTATCCCAAATGGCCAAAATCTTACCATTTATTAATTTCTTGGATTTAGGGGGATCCCATCCTCCCCAAAACCTATAACAATAGCAGTAATAGTAATAGTGACCAGCTGGTTCACATGGAAAGCCATAGCAGTAGAACAATGCAAGTCGCAATAAAAGTTATCATAAAAGTAAGATGGAAAAACCCAGAATGAAGGTGGCAGGAGTGGTGATATTGCTACAGGTTTGGGGCATGTGTCGTGTGCCTTGTGAGCAGGCAAGAAATGGCTGAAGCAAGAGATAAGGACTAATGTGAAGCAATAGGTGTGTATACAGAAGTGACAATATTAGAACACTGTAATTTATTTAAACAATCTGGTACTATTAACTGCAGAGTTACAGCTATATAAATAAACTGCACTCAGATCATTTGGCGATGCCTGCGAATATGCTTTGTTTGTGATAGCTATCCCCCCCCCCCCCGGAACTTGCTTTATTGCTCATGTAAAAATTACTTATCACCAGAAAGAAGTGCATGAGAAAGATGAGAGCAGTGGAGAGTAACCTCTTCCAGTGTTTACCATCTAATGAACTTCGGCAGGCAGCTCCTGTGGGTTCATTTTTGCAGTGGCAGCATAAAAGAGCATTCAGTCCTGGACAAGCCATCCTTCCAGGGAAGTCTCCATTTCTGAGCTCCCACTACACAATCTGTACAAGATGTTACTGGCTTTCTATTGGTCCTAACAGGGCGAGCCAACAGGAGCCCAAATAAGTCCATAAAGGCACTGAAAGAATGAGGACTTCTAGAATGAGGACTTCCACTGGCCCACCTTCAACACCACTAGTGCTCTCTGGCCAGATTCTTGGGGGGGGGGGTTGCAGTGGGTTGGACCCTTGGGATACATTCCAACTCTACAATCTTTGATTCTGTAGGGCAAAGGCCTCCAGGGTACGATTAGGCTACCCAGGTATCTTTTACCCTGAATGGCCCATTATTATCTAAGGTAGTTCTGGTTTGTATGCATTTATGGTTTAATCGGACATTGTGGTTTTACCAGACCTGTAAAGGGGTACTATCGCATCAGGGGCTGATGCTAGACCTAATTAGGCTGTGGGCCAGAGCCTTCCCACCTCAGGAGTAAGTAATGCATTTAATCATTCATATGAGTTTCATGGTTAATCTATTCATTGAACTTGCATATGGGTAAACATGATTTCTGAAGCAAGAAGTGTACTTTTTCAAGCTTAGATGCTTAGACCTCCCCAGTGGCGCAGTGGATCAGGGCACCTGGCTGTTAACCAGAAGGTTGGTGTTTGAGCCTGTGGGCGGGAGTCGTGTACCTTCCAACTTTAAGATTCTGTGTCTATTAGTCATGGCTGAGATATTCTGAGAAGAGATGTTTCTTTCCACATAAGAGAAAAAAGCAGCAAGCTCAATAATATGGTGCTTGCCACCTTCATTTTTTAAAAGTATTAAATGTATAGTTTTGTAATTTTTTAAAAAACTGCTGCAGTTATTAATTTGGGGCACCTTTTAGGTTGATTAATAGTTTTAAAACTGATTAATCTGTTATATTGTACTCTTGCTATTTAGATGCCTGGAACTATGCCATGGAAAATTTGTAAAAAGGTTTCACAGTCGTTTTTTAAAACGTTTCTGCCAGGAACACAAAATTTCTGTGGGAAGTATGCAATGTTTTGTTACAGTGTGTGCCGGTACACCTGTTGGCACATCCCATTTTAAGCACTTAAGGCAGCTTTTGCAGAAGCAAGTGTTGGAACAGGCTGGAGAAGTTCAACAGAAGCGATTGTGTGCATACATAGTTAATAGCTTTACTGAAGTGTTTTTAAAACTGCAAAAGCCTCACTGCTTGATATTAAAGGACAAATGTGATCAGGTCACAGTGACCCTTTTCTTCCGTTGTGAACCGTTTAGAGTAGACATCCATTTATTTTCCAAGGGCGGAATGAAGACCTCTGCTGGCCAAAGCCGTAAGGTGGCTCTCAGATTTTACTTTCGCTTTTCGCCCTCCCGAAGTCGTCACTGAACTTCCGTTCCTGACAGCAACTTCAGTAAGGGGACAGATTTTCAACTTGCCTGATTTAATGAATTTCTTTCAGCCATAGCAGGAAAAGCTGCCAAACCCATGGACAATGCTCTTCAGAAAATGTAAGTCATAGTGAATTATTTTTCCTAAAGCTTATGTTCATAAAGAGGTGGGATTTTTAAAAAGCCTTGCTTTGAAAACAAGAGCAGCTGTAAATGACTTTGGGTGGGAAAGGGAGTGCCTGCCTGCAAGTCTGATTCACCCAGACTTGGTCCCTTTTGTGTGAATGTCTTTTGCATTCTTATTGCTGGGATATGTCATTCTTCCTGTTCGTTATCTTTAACAAAGAATCTGTCTGTACAGCGATGATAGGAAAATAGTAGTCATATGGTCTGCTAACCCTTTCCAACTGAAAATAATATTTTGGGACTTGTTCTTCAGTATAAAGCTTTCTGCTTTTGTTTTCTGGCAACATAATATTTTAGTATATATTTAGCACATCCCAAGGACATGCAATGAAACATTATGCTTGAAGGGAAAGGTTTCCACACTGATGATTTTATTTGCGGATCAAAAATAGACACACATTCTTCCAGAATTCACCAGGACATGGACTGACATGATTAGTTTGCAACAACTCCTTGGTTGCTAGTATAATGATGGTCAACATTGGCAACTAAATGGGGTCCCTTGAGTGTTTGTAATTCCTTGCTTCTAGACCTTTTGACAATACATCTGGGTTGCAGAACTAGCAGTAGCATCACACTGTACTGCTTCCACCCCCCAGCAAAAGCATTTTCACCATAGACAAAAAACTCAAAAATCTATGAATCACACTCTTCCCAACAATGCTTTCCCACTGCTTCTCCTCATTCCCGCTGGTGCATCAGACAGTGAGAGCTCAGCATGAGGACTGCATAAGCCATAAGGCAACGCCCTACCATGTTGATCTAAGAATGTCTGTGAAATGCAGGCACAACAGAGGGTTATTTGTTTCTAAGGTTGTTGCCCGGGTTAATATCTAGTGCAACTCTGATTGCCATTTCATTTTGTGAACTCCACCCAACTCATTCTATCTGAAACAAGCCTGGCATTGTTCCCATGGCCAGTTATGCCAAAGTGAGGAGAGCTTCCGATTAGTTCAGGCTCTGATCTTTACCTATATTTCCTTTCATTTTATGCATATTAAAAAATGATTCACGATTGAAATAAGGGCAGCGTTCCTCAACCTTGTGCCCTCCTGATGCTTTGACTGTGGCTGATGGGAGGGTGGTGGTTCAAATCATGTGTAGCAACCATGTTTACCCAGGGTTAGTTATAAACTTAGCACAAAATGGACCGATTATTTTAATGTGCAACAATTCAAGCATCACGCTGGGAATGAGTATGAAAACACTGCCGGTGTGATGTAATTGTCCGTGTTGTGTTTGGGCATGGCAACCCAATATTCAAATCACAACTCTAAGGCAGCTCAGGAACATTCAGAGTTCTCTGCCAAGAACAATTGAGATGTAAAAGAAGAGAAGTACATGTCTAAACATTTGGGGACCTGACCAATCCCATTGATTCTGCCCCCACCCCCAAAGTCCAGCCGCCCCTAACAAAAATCCTGGCTATGCCCATGCTTGGGTACATACACCTGGCAATCATAAGCTGGAAAGTTGTTTGGCATGGCAAAGAAACACAAGTCTAACTACCTGCTCAGTACGGTTTTTAACATATCAAGAGTTGTATCCAAAGTAGCACAGGTTTGTCCCATCCGTCCAAATATTTCTGCCTACACTATGGGACTTTCCCCCTCTCCTCCCCCCATGTGCCTCCTAAATAAGTTCTAGGGGTTTTTGCCAACCTTCCGGAGCAGATTTGGGAAGGACACAGAGTGTACACTGGGGGAGATGATGAGTCCAGCTGTGCAAGCAGAAATCCTTGCAGTGATGGGGGTATGTTAGTTTGATACTGCCCTAACATTTTAATATCTCAATTATACGTCCAAAAATTTGTTGTGCCCCAATGAAGATCCCTTAGAGTGCAAAGCATGTATAGCTCTAGTTATATGAGGATTTTTGAATACAAATGGCCTGGGGGACACTTATGTGGTTTGGCCCCCAAATTGTCTGCTGGGCCTTCAATAGCTTCTGCTGCACATCCTAATGGTTTAGGGTTCTCAGAAGCTTACAGCCTCTGAGGATTTCTCAGCTGAAAGGACTCACACCAGGGTGGTTCATTTGGTTAGTTTATGCAGAGGACTCATTTTGAAGAATGAAGATGAGCAAATGTTAATCATTCCTTACCAAGTTATGCATCCCTCATTATCACAAATCGCTTTCCAACCCTGAGACAAATATGTTGCACTCCCTAGCAGACTTATAGAACAATTCTTTGCTCAGAGGGAAGTCCCACTGAATTCCATTGGGCTTACTCCCAGGTGAGAAGATCTAGATGCCTAGTTTCTTATGAAACAGCTAATTTTATTATCCTGAGGTCTGAGCTGTAGGTTGTCAATCAGGTCAGCAACAGGTCAATTTTATGTAGTTAAAATAATATTTAGTTTTATATTTAATGTTGAACATATTTAATGTTAATGACAGTGCTAATCAAATGCCCAGGATGGGAAATTAGGGTGTTGGATCAGTGTGATTACTGCTTTTCTATCTTAGATCTGTATTTAGCCACTGTTGCCTATGGGATGTAACACACTGCCCCAATCATACATACATGTATATTTTTGCGGACAGTGGAGTCCTGCATATATACACTATGATCACAGCCTATACCGTTTAGCAATAACCAAATAATGCATACATAACACTTGTGCATATACGCCATAATCCATACGGATTTATTTATTTTACAAACTCATATTTGTAAGTTTCTATTTTTATCTGCATTTTTGCAAACTTTATTTGTGGGTATCTAAAGAGACACTGCGGTGCAGATGGAATTACACCCTGCTTACTTGTAATGAAGATTACTTACAAGAAGGGGACCTGGGATCGCAGCATCAAATCCTAGCTAGGGAAGTGCTTTTTTATACTGCAAAACATATCAAAGTGCATTTTATCTCCTAGCTGCACACAAATGGATGAGCTCATGTTTCTAGTAATAATAATAAACTGCATATGCAAATTAGAAAAATGTTGATTTTTTTAAATTTGAGAACTTATGTGAAAAAATAAATTATGTTGTTTGAAATTGTACAATTAATTGTTTCCAAAAGTGGCAATTAATTTTCTGTGTCTAAATTTATGTTCACCGTTCAAACTACAAGAAAATTAAATGTGCCATCAGCTCTTATTTATAGTCATGAATTATATTTCAATTCACAGGACAAGAAATGGAAATGGAAACGCTGATAGAATTTTGTCCTTCAGTTCAATATTGTTCCTATCTAAGCATTTCAAATTGGTTACAAATTTAACCTTTTAGAGCTTTGATAATTATACCATTAGAAAGAAATAATTACAAATACAGAAAATGTTTTACAGGGCAATTCCATGCATGTCACTTGGGAAGTAAATACACATAGGCAGTGCTTTTTTCTGGGGGTACGCATACCTCTAAACATTTTGTGAATCTAAGTTTGGCCTCATTGAGGAGCAGTATTTCAAGATAAGTAGGAAAATGAGTACCCCCTAAACATTTTTTAAGAAAAAAAGCACTGTACATAGGAGACTTAGAATGACAATGAATCAAATACGCCATCCATTGCACTGAAGTGGCTCACTTTGTGACAGCCTATATGTGTGTGGATGCCTATGTAGAGATTATAATCCCTGCCATAGGCATGACATTTAAATAAATCCTCATACGCCATTGGGAAACGCAGTCACATGATTTCCAGTTTTCTTCTATGAAAGTGCACTTAGAGCAACTTTGGACATAGCCCATACATGAGGTCCCCCTATATAAGAAAGGTCACTGCTAGCAGATGGTGCAAATTCTTTGAGGTTGAACCCCACACACTGGCCATTTATAACTTCTGCTTTCAATGGGACCTACAGCGTTTGCATTCCTATTTAGTTTGAGTAATCCAGATGATGTTACCTTCAAACACCAGTCTTCATGCTTTCCCCCTGTAAATTCAGGTTTACCCAATTATGGGGATAATCTGATAAACTGGGGAGAATTGGGCTCTGAACCACTTCACTTGGGAGTCAAAGATGATTTGTTTCAGTGTTTTTGGGTGGGTGTAACACCTCTGGAGCCCCCCCCCCTTGTGCTTGCATGTGAGCATAGGTTTTGTGTAGTGGCTGTGGCAGTTGGGACTGGTATGGCATGTGCAGTTCTGCCCCCAATTCATTTTAACAGCATTACAGTGGTACCTCTGGTTGCGAACGGGATCCATTCCGGAGCCCCATTTGCAACATGAGCAGAACGCAACCCGCATCTGCGCGGATCGCAATTCGCCGTTTCTACACATGATGTCATTTTGAGCATCTGCACATGCGGCGAAACCTAGAAGTAACCCATTCCATTACTTCCGGGTCACCGCGGGACATATCCTGAAAGAACGTAACCTAAACTGAATGTAACAAGAGGTATGACTGTACAAGTTTTATGCTCGGGTCCAGCTATCTAGGACAGGGGTCAGCAACCCTTTTCAGCTGTGGGCTGTCCATTGTCCCTCAGACCATGTAGTGGGCCGGACTATATTTTGAAAAATAATAATGAACGAATTCCTATGCCCCACAAATAACCCAAAGATGCATTTTAAATAAAAGCACACATTCTACTCATGTAAAAAACACCAGGCAGGCCTCACAAATAACCCAGAGATACATCTTAAATAAAAGGACACATAATACTCATGTAAAAACACGCTGATTCCCAGACTGTCCGTGGGCCAGATTGAGAAGGTGATTGGGCCGCATCCGGCCCACGAGCCTTAGGTTGCCTACCCCGATCTAGGAAGTGTAGATGGATGCTGCTTCTGGAAGGAGGCACTTGATTTATCCAGACTGGGAGACCACAACATGTTATCAGATTCTTCTCTAACATGTTTATGTTTTTATTTTTAAGGAAGCATTTATTGATGTGCCAAAAGCAAGCAGGCACGCACTATCCCATACTTTCCAGCGCATTTCTCCCTTACTTTGCTTACTGCAAAAAGTTTGATCTTTCGAGGAAGTGGGTTCGATGCACAAGAACTCCAAATCAACTTTGATCACACAACTTAGATTTGCCAGTACAATCCCACCTGAAAGTAGGGACAGCCCAGAAGCACCCTTAGGCTCAGGCCTAACTTCAGCATCCACCCCCAAGCAAAAACTCAATACAGTAAGCCCACAACTTCCATGGGAAGGAGTTACGTTCTGGGGATCATGCCTAAAGTGGGTGGGATTGCTGAAGTCTTTTTTCCCTGGACGCCTGCTCATTTTTTATTTTGTTTTGCCATGTGCATAAAGCTGAATGTGCACAATGTGCCTACGTTGGGGGCTTACTGTACACATTTCTTGGTAGTTTATCAAAAACAGGGTAATAGGCGGCTTTCTCGGTAGCTCATACAGGGACAGACTTTGGTCATATTTCGTATTATGGTCCCTGTGTGAGGCCAAAATCTGGAGTTCCCAAATGGGATTTTCTCAGGTATGGATCTTCTCACCTGAAGGAGCGTCTCCACCTCCATTGTTCTACCCGGACACCGAGGTCCAGCTCCGAGGGCCTTCTGTCGGTTCCCTCACTGCGAGAAGCCAAGTTACAGGGAACCAGGCAGAGTGCCAGATAAACAACTAGCTGACTTTTAGGAGACATCTGAAGGCAGCTCAGTTTAGGGAAGTTTTTAATGTTTGATCTTTTATCTTGTTTTTAATATTCTGTTGGGAGCTGCCCAGAGTGACTGGGGAAACCCAGCCAAATCGGCAGGGTATAAACAATAAATTAGTATCTCATTTTTGCGCCCCCTCTGCTTGGCGCCCTGTGTGCCTGAATCCAGCGCAGGCTCGTTTTTTTTTACGTTTACCACACCGCTTGCCCTTTTGCTCCGCACCATGATGAACTCCCCAGGAAAACGTGGCGCTCGGGAGAAAGGAAGCCCAGGGCCCCAACAAGAGCACTTGGGATAGCAGCAGCGTGTGCAACTCCCTGCTCCTCGCTGCGCACGGGAATGGCGAGGCAGCTCTTTTTCCTCCTGCCCAGACAAGTGAGAAGGGAAAGCGGGCGACTCTTCCGTCGAGGAGCTGTGAGGGAGAAGCCGCTTTCTTGCCCCCCCTTGTCTGCCGGGCGGCGGCTCCTCCTGCGGCGGCCCTTCTGGCAACTTTGCCTGAGCGCCGCGTGGCCGAGGCCGGCCTGCCAGTGGAGCGGCGCGGCGCGTCCGGAAGGCCTCCTGCCTGCTTGCCTGCCCGAGAGGAAGGAGCAAGACGTGCCCGCCAGAGCTCGCAGGGGCGGGACTGGCAGCGGCGGCGGCAGCTCGAAGAACCTTCCCAACCTCGCCGGGCCGGCCTTCCTTCCCGCTGGACGCCATTATGCCAGGTTCGTACGCCCCTCGGAGGAGGGAGAGGACGGCGAGCCGCCGCCAAGTCCCGGCTGCAGGGGGCGCACAGAGCAGGGCGGCAAGGACACCTTGGAGGGCGGGTGTGTGTGTGCAAAGGAAGCCGCAGGCGCTGCTAGAGGAGACACTCGCCCCGCTTTTGCATGCACCGGAGCCGAGGTCTCCTCTTACCATTGTGCATCTTGTCCGTGGGTGCTGGCTCGCGTTTTATTTCCGAGGAAGCGTGCGCGAGGTTGCAGACGTGCAGTGCCTCCGCCCGCTGTGCATGCTCGCTCGGGGCGTTTCTCTCCGAGGGTGCGTTTAAGCAGCCCGATCTTAGACCTGTTTACTCAGAAGTAAGCTCTGCGGAGATCAGCACACGACCGCCTTGCAAGGGGACGGAAGAACGTGCCCTGCACAACTTTGCACCGTCCCTTTGAAAGACAGCCTTCAGTATGTTGGGAGATGCCTCTCCCGTGGAAGGAAGTTGTTTAAAGACGCATTTCTGTTTGTTGTCTTAAGTCTGCAGTCCTACACCCTGTTACCAGCCGCGTCGATCTTAATGGGACTGCACAGTTACGGTTGCTTTTAGACATTGGTTTGCTCGCGGCTGCTGTTTACAAGCTTTGTGTTTTTTAGAATTACTTGATTGTCACCCGCTTTAAAAACGTCGAGTTCTCTTGCTAACAGCATAACACAATGGGCAAGGCAGGGCACATTTTCAGAGCTGGAGTTTCAAAAGATGGAAGTAATTGATGCCAAGTGAGTCAGCTTCTCCGCCTGAGTCAGCCCCGTTAACAGAGGCAGCCTCTGTGTAGTACACTGGGCAAGCAAGTAAATACTAATTTAAAAACTTTAATAATATAAGAACCTAATAAGAGCCTGCTGGATCAGTGAATCTAGTGATCTAGGCCAGCATCCCACAGTGGCCAACCAGAGTACAGTGGTACCTCCGGTTAAGAATTTAATTCGTTCTGGAGGTCCATTCTTAACCTGAAACTGTTCTTAACCTGAGGTACCACTTTAGCTAATGGGGCCTCTCACTGCCACCGCGCCACCGCCGCACGATTTCTGTTCTCATCCTGAAGCAAAGTTCTTAACCCGAGGTACTATTTCTGGGTTAGCAGAGTCTGTAACCTGAAGCGTCTGTAACCTGAAGCATATGTAACCCGAGGTACCACTGTACTGTGGGAAACCAACAAAATGTATTTGAATACAAGAGCACTGGGGCTTCTGCCAGGTGGTGTTCAGAAGCATTGCTGCCTTGAACTGTGGCTGCAGAGTATAGCCATCATGACTAGTTGCCATTAATAGTCCTCTCCTCCGTGAATTTGTCTAATTCTCTTTTAAAGTCATTCGACATTTAGAGTGCCACTGGTTTTCCCCAACCCTACTACTGAGGTATCATCTGTTGAGCAGTATGTTGCTTGGTCTCAAGATGCCCAATGAATAATTGCATTATATAATTATTTACATATTCTAATATTTTTCCAGCTATAAGACACCCCTGTGTATAAGACGTCCCCTATTTTGGGGGACTCCGTGTATTCTTGACATTGTTTTAAAGGGAAAAAACCTATTCTCATACACAGAAAAATACGGTAAATGGGGGGGTGGCGGCATTTAAATCAGGAGTAGGCTCTGCACATAATGATGCTGCATATTCATTACTTTTTGCAATGCTGCTTACATAGCCATTGGTCATCATGCAACTAGAGTGATGCCATTGGTTAAAGCATCAGAATTTCCATTAATAACAATAATAATATTTGACTTGCTACTCACTTGTTGCGCAGATGTACAAAAACACACACACAATAACAGCTACAGGAAGCTTTGGCGGAATTGATCTTGTAAATAAACACAAGAAGATAATTTGGTTGTGTAAGTAAAAGGTTTGAGACAGTAACACACGTAACCTGTTATATACATATTAAACAGCAGCTTTTACTGCGAGCCAGGTTAGTATAATAGCCTGTAGAAACTACTTTTCCAAAAATAGCTGTGATATTCAAGTTGCTCATGCTAGAAGAATCTGAACATGCGGATGCTTGAGATGGAAACATTTATTTTAGCTCTTGTGTGAAGGTGAGACAAAAGTTAAGCAGACGTAAGATTGCAGTGATCAGAGGCAGTGCTTTTGGCCTATACAGAAATGGTTTGCTGGTTCTGCTACCCTGTATAATCTTTATTTCTAAATGCTGACCTTCAGATACACTATTTTCTTGAGCTAATGCCTGCGTGTTTCACATGGCTGGTTGCTTGACCTTTCACTTAGAAGGCATCACTTCAAATCCAGCTTAGATCATTGGAGACTGAAACTTATCAGCATCTCCCAGCTGTTCCCTGATGCGAAGCAATTGTGGAGCATTTGAACTGTATCTCCAAGGTCAGATGTCTGCTATTTAGCTCCCTCACAACCCCACCAACCCCTGAGTTGGGAAGCCAAGGAGCCAATGAAAGTTGGGAAGCTAGTTTGCACCTCTATGAATTCCCTCAAGTGTTTACCCCTGAACACTTACCCTTCAGGGTCTTCAACCTTTTTGGATTTGGGGGCATATTTGGAAACCTGAGAAACTGTTGTGGACACCACAGAAAAAGTTTCACAGAAGGAAAGCTGGTGATGCTCAGATTCCCCCCTACCAGCACACACACACACGACCAAAAAAGCAGGCAGCACTCGAACCAAACAAGATGCTTTAAAAGTTGATACCAGCATCTTGAATGGAAACCAGTTCCTAAGTCAGGTAAGATAGAGATAGCCATTCCCCGCTGCTTGCCTCCAGTGTCTGGATATCTGAGAGAACACCCAAAAAATATGCAGACAGGACATAAATGAGGCAAAACAAAAACAAAAAAAGAGTGCTCTCCAAATCTATATCTGGAAAACCTCCTGATTTTTAATGGCTTTGTAACATCTTACTTTCATAAAATGATCTCTTTATGTTTGGCTGCCAGCAGCAATAAAATCCTCAGTCTGTTTGCAGAATCTGCACCAAACTATGGATTTGTTTGATTCTTTCCAAGAACAGAATGAATGGAAGTGGGGAGAAAGCTTTAAACCATCTGCAGTTATCATAATGACCTGGTCATTCAGCAATCATTGTTAGTGCTATAATTGCCTGCTTTGTGGGAAGAGTAATCTTCTCTCATTTTATGATCTGCCTGAAGGCCAAAATGATGAGCATTTTGCTTTGTTAGCATTGCTTGTTGTTTGGTGTACTAAAATAGTTGCATTATTGTTTTCAGTATTGCTGAATTGCTTTGACGATGTAAACTGTGGGGATGTGGTTTGTTTTGGGATAGGCTTTGGATTAAATGTTGAATGAGCTCTTTGCATATTTTTTTTTTTAAATTGTGTGTGGCAATACTGCAGTTATTTAGTGTAATGTTAACACATGCCAAATATAACTATGCCATGTTTACACATGCCAAACATAAATGTGTTCATGGTAATATACATACAATATATACCTCCACTTTGCCATAATTGACCAAGGAAAGTGCTAAGCATTAAGGGTGGAGAGTGCAAGCCTTGGAAACAGTGGACTCAGCTATACAACTGCAAATAAAATATTTTAAATGTGTTGTAAAGTGCAATATACAAATGTGACACTAGATGGCGACAGTGAGCTAAGCCAAATTCAATGTATTTTTCAAAACATTTTTTAAAAAAGCCATTTCCACAGCGTTTTCTTTATATGTATGTAGATTCCACCAGAGTGTGTATCTTTAAGAGCTCCGAGGTGATGACAACAGGGGCAATGTTTGCATGTAGCACTAAGGCAAACCATGGCTTAGCATGAACCTCCTGGTGCCAACTTTGCTCTTCTCTGGGTCCTCTTAGCACCCATAGAAGCTAAGCCAAGGTTTCACATGGTGTGTCCTCTGGTGCTCTGTCCTCTTTAACCAAGAACAAAACTTGGCTACAGATTGTGGTTAAGGAGTAATGAGTTTAACCATGATACAGTGGTACCTCGGGTTACATACGCTTCAGGTTACAGACTCTGCTAACCCAGAAATAGTACCTCGGGTTAAGAACTTGGTTTCAGGAAGAAAACAGAAATCGTGCTCCGGCAGCACGGTGGCAGCAGGAGGCCCCATTAGCTAAAGTGGTGCTTCAGGTTAAGAACAGTTTCAGGTTAAGAACGGACCTCCAGAATGAATTACATTCCTAACCCGAGGTACCACTGTACTGTGTTCAGGCAACACTCTAAGCCAGACCTTGGCTTTGTGGAGTTTAGGAACAAAGTGGATGCAAGCTCTTCCCTGGGAGAGTGCATGTTCATTCAGTCCTGGGAAGCCATAGTTACTGTGACTTGCGGTGTGACAGGTCATTGTACAGCGCTAGTGACCTCGGCATTCCCTGGGCTCACTGCTGGCATTTTACTCCCTGGAGCCTGCAGCAGACGGGAGAATAAGACAAGTGAACAAAGCATTGAACATTGACAATTGGTAAGGCTGCTGCAGGACAAAACTCAGGTCTGTAGCTAGCAATTCTGTAAACATTCCTCAAGCATGGAAAGTACTGGACTGTATACGTCTCTCCAGTGCAATGAAACCCTGAGATTTCTTCCTGCCTTGGATTTCTTTCCACATCATTTTTATAGGCTGTTTTCTTTTTCTCTGATAAATAAATACCAGTGCCTTAAAAAAAAATATGTCAGTCAAGTTTCATTGAAATACGTCCAGTCTACCTTGCATATCTGTTTCCACGGTGGAGTCCAAGATAAGGCTGAATTCATTTCAGCATCTAGCGATTTCAGAGTCTGTGATCTTCTATGGTTACAGCTTCATGAGGGAATAAAGCTAGGGCCGGATTAAAAGATTACGGGCTGGATATTTTCAAAAACTCATTTTGTTAATGGTGATAGAGCAGTTGTCAAAGAAAGAAAAATGAAATAGTTGATCTACAATGATTTTTAACAACAACACATTTTTATTTAGCTGTTGGCACATACAATAAAAAACAGTACAATGGGAGGCCTATTTACGATTTGAGATTCTGCATTCTGTGCGCTCCTAAATAATAAGAGACTGATTAGAAATCTTCCAAGTGTTAGGCAAGCCATTGTTTGCAATTTGTCTTGTGTGTTGTGATGTCTTCAGATAAAGTCAGTGACAAAACTTGATTTTAATGGCAGTAATTGACACCCTCAGAGCTATTTCTGAAGGAACCGTGAAAGGTCCAGGAGCACACTTGATGGGACTGGGGTGTGTTTAGTCGAAACATCCAAATTCTGTACTTTGGAAGGTAGAGTTCCTTGGAAGTTTGCAGTGGGAAGATCAGTAATGGTGGACAGAGCAAGTGCTCACAGCACTTTTTCAGGATTCTGTATGTGTCCACTGGCCTGAAAAGGCTAGTTACCCCTACCATACATTTATCGTTATGCTTCAAGGTTAAGGTTAACACATTTTAATTGCATGTAAGGATTTTGATCAGACGGAACTTATAGAAAGGTAGCGTAGTGGAGAGGGGGACTTGCCCTTTACATAATGCTGCCTTGCATTTGCCATTGATTGAAGAAAATAAAAAGGAGCCTTGCCTAAAATCCCAGAGAAGCTTACATTGCATAATTATGTGTGCTGCATAAAATACAAGATTTGTATGGGTCAGCACAAAGCAGATAATAACAGTTGTTTGGAGGCATAATTTAAAGAGCTGCAGTTGTAGGCAGAATTCCAGTTTACTGAAACACATTTTAAAAAGAGAGAGGCTTAACTGATGTAAGTAAACTCTCTTCGCTGCTAATATGCTCTTGTATGTTGTTGCATATGGGACTTGTAGCAGAAGACATTGGAGAGAGCCAAGGGAGGGAAGCCACCCTGAGCTCGCCTTGCTTCCTGTTCATTCACAGTACTTAGACTACACACACACCACATATTTAAAGCACATTCCTCCCTGCTTCCCCCACCAAAAAAAGAATCCCAAGAATGGCAGTGTAGCCAGCACCCTTAACAAACTACAGTTCCCAGGATTCTTTGAAAGAGGGAATGTGCATTAAATGTGTTTTAACTTTGTGGTATGTATGTAGCCTCAGACACAAGTTCTACCTTGTTCACTGGGACATTCTAACAGGTAAACCTTGGAACTAGAGAACTCCAGACTCTCAAGAGTACCTTGGCTTCGATTTCTTAAGCAGCGCAGCAAATGTCTTAAGGAACTTAGGGTGGCGTCAAAAGAAGTTTGTGATATGGCAGGAGTTTCATTTTTAAAACCTCACTGGATGCCCAATGCAGGGAAATTATATGAATTTGCTGTCTAATTTTCTTGATGTATACTGTGAGGAGTTCATATGGAAGGACAATTGTGTCATGTCATGTGAAGCCTCTTTCAAAGACATTTCAATCATCATGTTAGGAAGTTTCTGACGGGGAGAACCAGGTGTTCTTGGTTTTCTGAAATGGTGCTGTACACTTTGACATACGGAAGGAAAAAAGGCTGTTCCCTGCCTCCAGAAGTGTACAGTCTAGGGGTGGGTCTATAAATTGTTATAAAGAAAAAAAACACTATGTAAAAACACATAGAAAAGTTTTGTGCTCTACAGCTTCTGTTTATAAAGCATTCAAAACACTGTTTTTTGAATAATGTAGCTGAGTCCTAGGTTTCAAAATGGGCGAGGGGTGAGGGGACAGCATAGGAAGGAGATGACTAATTTGCAAGCCACTGCTAATTTCACCTCTGGGGACAGAATATAGTTGTGGGAAATGTTGTCCTATGTGAAACAACCCTAATCATTGATATGCTGTGTTGTCACCATCTATGTTTGTCTTTGGTTTCTCCTTATCCCCATCCATGTATTCTCAGTACATCTTTCAAAACGTAGCTCTTGACTCGACTTCCACCCTCTTCAATCTTCCTTTCTCATCGCATCTTGAAACAAAAGAAGACTATATAACATCTCAACTGGAAAAGAATTTTAGCAAACAGTATAATGAAGCACATGGATTTTATTGAGGTGCATTGAGACAATGTGGAAAAAGATGCTTTGCTTGCCATTTGAAACATTAATTTTATGGGGTGAATGGTAACACTCTGCTGGAAATCCAGTTGATACTTATGAAATTGCAAAAGTTGTGCAATGCCAGTAGAAAGCTTTTCTTTTTTTCATTTTAATGGGAATGACTCAGGCTCTCAAAAAGCCTTTGCTTATTACAATAATCATGGGAGGTTTTTATGAATATTTTTGGGGGAATATCACATGATTTAAAAAGAGAGGACAGAATCTGAAGGCAATGAAAGGTTTAAAGCTGAACAGCAAAATCATCCTCTTTTAAGGCCATCCTGCTGTTTTTATAGCAGAATCTCTGGATTTCGAAGCACTGATTAGCAAACAAATCCCATGCTTGGCTATGCAGCAATAAAAATACAGCAATTGAAATTGTTCTGAGGTCAGGTTAGACTGCACAGTTTCCCTCTTAGTGGCTAGGATTTGAAGGCAGATATAAAAATTGAGCATTCCAACTTTTAAAAAATGCATTTTTTACTGAGGCCTGTTCAGATGTGATATTGCCCAGTCTCCTAAGCATCTATAGGAGATCAGGAGCTCCCCAACTCTGTTCTGTTATTTCTCCGCTGAGCTTGTCTGTGTCTTCCCTCTCCCTCTCTGTGTTCCTCTGTATCTTTTCATTTTCAAAGGTAACAAGACTTGTATGCAGCTTTGTTTTCTAACCATTAGCTCAGCCCGGGCACCCCCAAACTTGGCCCTCCAGATGTTTTGAGACTACAACTCCCATCATCCCTAGCTAACAGGACCAGTGGTCGGGGGTGATGGGAATTGTAGTCCCCAAACATCTGGAGGGCCAGGTTTGGGGATGCCTGGCTCAGCCCCCTGCAAACTCACTTCTGATCGTGGTTGCAAAACTGCAACTGTGATGCTGACCCTGGTTGGCTCTGAAAAGAAAAGGAAGAGGTGAGTTCACACGCAGAGTTCAGGAGCGTGAAGGAACGCATAAGACCACAAGCAGGATGGGAGAGTAGCTTGCAGTGCAGTGGGAGGGCTGCTATGTTGAAATTTAAACCACTTGGAAATGCCTCGCTACACACACACACACACACACACACACACACGGTCTTGGTGGGCTGCCACTGATGAGACCTCGTGGCTTGTTGGTTTTATCTGAGATCTTGTACACCGCAACGTGTAAATATTGCATTGTATGTGAAATACACCCTATGAATGCTCAGTATTTGTATTATTCATCTTTCATGAATGTCAGCCGCTCTTAATGGTTCCTGAGAGCATTTATGGCGCTCCCAGGATGTTCCTGAAGCTTGACAGTGCACACAAAGTCATGTCCTGGTGTGAAACATTTGGTAGCTGATGTGAATTATATGGCGCTTCCATCCAGTTGCGCTTTGTGATACCAGGGGCCTGTTTTTAAATGTGTTGCTTCTGTTTTGTAGATCCCACTTACTGTGATCGTTTACGGCAGGACATGGCATTCCTAACGAGCAACGGCAGGCTGAGCGAGCAGCTGGTTGACAAAATTATCCTTCAGCTGAACAGAGTTTACCCTCAAATTCTTACCAATAAAGAAGCAGAAAAGGTAATTGAAGGAATCCCACCTGCAGTGTTTCTTTGCTATTGCTGTAGCTCATTTGACCCAGGATTAGGATTGCTGGTTTTTTAAACGCAAAACTTCTGGTACCTCATTGAGACTAGGGGTGGTGGCACCCAGGAGAGCCAAAGGCAGCTCTGGGACCTTCTCTAATAGGACTGACAATGGGAACCGGAGGAAAAACTACCATATTTTTCGCTCTATAAGACGCACCAGACCATAAGACACACCTAGTTTTTGGAGGAGGAAAACAAGAAAAAAAATATTCTGAATCCCAGAAGCCAGAACAGCAAAAGGGATCGCTCCGCAGTGAAAGCAGCAATCCCACTTGCTGTTCTGGCTTCTGGGATAGCTGTGCAGCCTGCATTCGCTCCATAAGACTCACACACATTTCCCCTTACTTTTTAGGAGGTAAAAAGTGAGTCTTACAGAGCAAAAAATACGGTATTTGTTCAGCTAAGGTATACAGCAATTGAGCTTCATTAAAATCTTCTCCGCACATGATATCAGCCCTTCCCTGCTCTTCAATGTTCCTCTTAACACAAACCACACCAAAACTGTGGACCTGATAAATTCAAGCAGATAAGAAAATGAGCCAAGTTTAGACTCCACATGTGAAGTGTACGCTTGAATAATCACACAGAAAACACTTCCCAGACGACTGTACTATACATTTAAAGCAGTATCGTACGGCCACAATTTCCCTCAAAGAATCTTGGGAACTGTAGTTTGTTTCTGAGAATTGTTAGATGACCACCGTTCCCTTCACAGAACTACAACTGTTAGCACATTTTTGAAGCTAAACAGAGTTCAGTATGGTTTCAAATTGGATGGGGGATCGCGTGTTGAGATTCCTGCATTGCAGGGGGTTGGACTAGATGACCCTCGGGATCCCTTCTGACTCTATGATTCTATGAACTCTCAGAGTGATTTAACACTCAGTCTCTCTTGCCAGGGAAGTTGGGGAATGGCAGCTCTTCTTAATCAGTAAAGCCATTGAAGAGAATTCTGAATGCAAGCACCCCTTCTTTATCATCTGTAGAAACCAATCAAAGGGGAGTCCAGTTAAAGGCTTACTCCCAAGTAAGTGTGTATAGGATTATACCCTTTTATAGCATAGGAACACCAACCCTAATGGCCAGCGAGTGCACCTATGCAGATAATTGCATAGCACTCCCTCTCATGTGCATGCATGCATACACAAACACACAGACACACACACACACGTACGTATACCTGAGCAGAGAAAAACTCACATCTGTTTAATTCTGGTTGTTTAAAACCAGTTCCAGCAGCAAGGTCTTACAATACCACTTAGACACTTAAGTGATTAAGTGGTATAAAAATAGCTGCAATAATTCAGGTTTTTTAAAATAGAGAATCCTTCCGAGATCAGCTCCTTGGCAAAATGCAGTGGCAAATGAGGAGAGAGGGATGAGCAAACTCCTTACTCCTCTGGTTCTTCGCAGATTTTCTTAGAATAAGCTGAACGGTTCCAAGCGTCTCCTATTTGGCAAATAGCTTGGCTAATTCTAAGCATATCTGCGCTAAACTGGATCCCATCAGTTGCAATAAGGTCCGATTGCTGCGCCAGCTACCTTCTAGCCTCATTTCTTCCACTTTCTTTATGGGGGTGGTGGCAGCAGCAGCAGCTGCTGTGGCTCCAGCTCTGTTGGTGAGGAGATCTCCCTCTCCTCCCTGCTCGCTGGCACTTGACTGCTAAGCCAAGTTCCAGAAGAACTTGGAAATATCATTTCTCCACTGCTCCAGAAAAAAATTATTGCATTCTTGGCACTTCCCAGGCTGTTGTGGTTCCTTCCTCCCATGAGTGGAAGTGGAACAGAGGGTCGGGTGGGGGTTAAGGAGAGAAATGTGAGTTCTTCTTTGGTTTGAATTAAAATCTGAATGAGGGAAGATCTCAAGAGGGCTCTGTGTTGTAATGCTTGTCTCTTGTTTGAGGAGAGAGTTAACGAGTAGCTGCAATCTGCAGTCCAAGGAGTGATGAAGCCCAGTGACATCCATAAATAGGTAGGGAATTTTATGCAGAAGGTGGAAAATGGCACACACTTCCTAGATCCCTATTATAATACCTTAAGCTAAAGTTGTTTTGTCAAGACAAACCATAAACGTTTATGTAAACAAGCCCCAGGTCTCAAAATGCTGTGATCGTACACCCACAGCGTTTGAACTCTTCTTCTGAAATTACAGTAAACATTTCCATGTGTTCATTCATATTCATGAGGCAGTGTAGTCCTCTATTTGCAATCCAAACATCCCGTTAGGAACAGAATTTTGTCTGTCTCACCAGATTCAATTATCTCTTTTTGCATTCACAGACAAGTACGCATTTTCACACTAATGAAATAACTATTGGATTCCTAAGAAAAAGTGTGCTTTTCCCCACTGCCTAATGCGAATGCTTATGACTGACGACCCTGCGATCTTAGATTCTTATTTCTGAGCAGGTCCAATTTGTGGCCGGTTAGGCCAATCTCTGTATATCTGGGAATTTTTGTTAAAGAGGCAGGAAGGTGTAGCATGTGGCATTGACCAAGATCACCAAAAAGTTCTTGTACGCAAACTGGAATTCAGGAAATGGCTGAACTGTGCCATAGATCAGTATACATCACGTCCATGGAACATCCTTATGCAGACTCTGTGCTCAGTTGCAGAATACTTCTGAATACCAATCTTGGCACTATCTGACTGGCCATTGTGGAAATGAGATGCGGCCCTTGATTTAATCCAGTAGGGCTCTTCATAGGCAGCTGTTGACATGCTAGGAACTGGAATTGGTAAGAACATAAAAAAAGAACATAAGAGCCCTGCTAGATCAGGCTTGTCCAGTGTCCTGTTTTCACAGTGGTGAACCAAGTGCCTGTGGGAAGCCCACAAGCAAGACATGAACACAGCAACGTTCTCCCCTCCTGCGTTTCCCAGCAACTGGTATTCAGAAGCATTATTGCGTCCAGCAGTACAGGTAAGGCATACCCCTCAGGCTTAGTAGCCATGGGTAGTCTTACCCTTCATGAATTTGTCTGATGTCAAGTGTCAGAAGATCCAACCCCCATGGGAGGTTGCCTCTAACGGATAAGACAAGGAAGTTCTTGCCAATTGCTTTTTATTCCATGTTCACAGACAGAGGCTTAGAAAGGCAGCCTCTTAGAATAATGGCGTAAATCTCCCCTCCCCTTCTCTCCCACTTCCTTATGCGCCATCCCTTCTACGGTTAGCACTAAGAGCCCTTTGCTCTCCTATTTTTAAGGCTTGCCAATTCTAGGAGATGGTGGGTCTGGAATGCTTTCTAGTGATAACGTGTCAGCCAGCTGCTCTGGCTCTGCCGCCGCCTCCTCTCCCATTATTTCCCAACTTTCCCCCTCATCTTCCTCTGAGCTGTGATCTCCCTCAAACCCCTGTTGTAATTCTGAACTGTCTTCTTCTCCGGAAGGGTCAGGCTGGGGAGACGGTCTTCACCGTTCCTTCTCTGTCCATCTGACCTCTGATCCTCTTCTAAAGCTTATTTGTATATTATTTATATGCACAAGCCATATACAACAAAGACCGATAAGATTAAAAGAATATCTAAAATATTTATATGTGATTTCACTTTAGTGCTGAACATATAGCCTTTTAGATCTTCTGCAAATAGTAGAAAGACAGACACTGCTGCTTGTTTGTCCTACTGTGTACAATGGAGAAAGTCTGTTATTTATTCTCCTTTGGAATAGCTAACTCTCGTGACGTAGAAGCACCATAAACATTTATGATAGAATCTTACGCTCTGCTATAAAGAATGTTTAAACAAAAATATAAAGCTACATTTGTATTCTTTCACGTACCATCGAAGGGAGGCAGAGGTTGCTTTAACATTGGTGTTTGTTTGGTTTTTACATCCTTGCTAATAAATGCGTTCCCACCCTCCCTGCAGTTCCGAAATCCCAAAGCTTCTCTTCATAGTCGGCTGTCAAACCTTCTAGCCCACTTGCAGAAGGAAGGCGACAAACCCTGTCAAGAATTTTACCGTGCTTTGCAGATCAATGCTGAACAGCTGTATAACAACTTGCCAAGCAGAAGAATTCTAAGTAAGTCGGAGTGCTAGCAGATTTCTTTGGGTGCCCTGTTACAATGCTACCTCTTCAGGGACTAAATGGAACTTTCTGTGTGCTGTTTCTTAGAAATACTTAAAAATTGACCAGATTATATGTGGCAGACAAATGCTTATTTATAGCTGCTGCAGTTGTACTTGCACACCAATCTGGCAATTTTGAATCTTTGTTTTATAGATGAAGAATAAATCTTGCAGCTTTGCAAACTTTTCTGATATTTTGTGTTCCCTTTATGAGCTGCAAAGGCTGGACTCCGTGGACTAAAGTGGTGTTGTTGCCCAGGAAAAGCGATCCAGGGCTTGGCTTGGAGTGTTTTTATTCTATCCAGGGTCTTTCTCCCACTTTTGCACAGGATCAATGTGAGATTATTTTGAGTCCAGGTTGTTTTTCTATGTAGTCAGCTCAAAACTGCAGTGGCCAACATTTCTTCCACAAGGGATATCTCCAAGGTCCAGGCTTTTGTTTTCTGTTAATATTTATTTTAAAGGCAAATGTAGCTATGTAAATAATCAGCCAGTCATATAATCAACTGAGGTTGACATCATTTCCCAATAACTTTCAGGGGGATTTCTGTTTTTACCCAGCTTGGTAGCCAGTTACAATCAGTTCTTCAACTTTGAGAGTCATTAGTAATAGCCAGTTACATTTAAATACATAATCCTGCATCACCCTTGTTTCTAAACTGACAGAATGTTAAGCAAGAAAAGTGCTCTGTTCAACTCTAGACAAATAAGATAAACGGTTACAGGCCAGCTAGAGACATACTTACCTCAGCTATATCTAGACTGGCCTGGAATCTATTTAGTCCTTTTTGGCCTAGACAGTTTTGGCATTTTCAGAGTGTTCTGCAGTTGTGTATGTGTGTTGTTAATGCTAGGCATACCGCATTGCTGAAACTGCCCTATGATTCTTCGGGGGGGGGGGGCATTTGGAAACCTGCAAAACTGTTTTGTGGGGACATCAACTCCTCAAACAAAACCACAGTGAGGAAAAAAGGTGCAGAAAATGACCAAGAGGCTGGAGCAACTCCCCTAGGAGGAAAGATAACAGATTTAGTTAAGTTTAGAGAAAAGGTGAGTGAGCGAGGGGCGGGGGTAGCCACATATACCGTATTTTTTGCTCCATAAGACAGACTTTTTCCCTCTTAAAATCTAAGGGGAAATGTCTGTGCATCTTATGGAGCGAATGTGTGGTCCCTGGGGCTGGGAGGGGGGGAGAACCCAGGCTTCCCCCGCCAGCCCCGACCTGCTCTTTGGGGCTGGCGGTGGGGGAAAGCTGAGCTTCCCCCACCACCAGCCCCACAAGCTCGGGGAGCTGCGGGAAGGCTGCTCCTTTCGCCTCTCCTTTCGCCGAAGCCAGGAGAGTCCTGCTCTCCTGACTTCAGCGAAAGGAACCCGAAGCCTCCGGAGCGCAGCAGGAACTCCTGCCGCGCTCCGGAGGCTTCAGGTTGCCTTCACTGAAGGCGAAGGCAATGTGGGAGAGGGAGAGCTGCACAGCACCCCTTCAGCCAAGCGGGAGGAGAAATGGAAGGGGCTCCATTTCTCCTGCCACTTTGCTGAAGGGGCGCTGCGCAGAGAGGGGGAGAAATTGTTTTTCTTGTTCTCCCCCTCTAAAACAAGGTGCATCCTATGATCGGGTGCGTCCTATAGAGCGAAAAATATTGTAATCGAGGTCTATAAGATTATTCACATTGTGGAGAAAGTGGATAGAGAGGTGTTTCTCTCTCTCTTTTCTAATCCTAGAACTGGGGGCATCCAGTGCTGAAAGATTCAAGACAGACAAAAGGAAGTTGCAGCATGTAGTTAACTTACTCTTACAAGATGTAGTGACAGCCACTAATTTGAATGGCTCTAAAGGAAGATTAGGCAAAGTCATGGAGGATACGTTTGCCTATCTTATACCCCCAGTGTTAGAAGCAGTCTACCGCTGAATGCCAGTTCCTGGGAATCATGAGTGAGAAGTGTGGAACCTGCTTGCAAGCTTCCCATAAGAACCTGGTGGGCCACTGTGAGAACAGCAGGCCGGACTAGACAGGCTTTTGGTGGGACCCGACAGGGTTCTGTTCTTAACTGTCTGCCTACAACCTCTGTGTCTCTGCCTCTTTGTGTCTCTGTCTCATGCTAGGATCCTAGCATGCAGGGGTGGGAAGGCTGCAACCCTTTGTTTCCCCTTGTGGTCCTGATCCAGTTAGAGGCTCCCGTCCCTGCAGCTGCATTTTAAAAAGTCCCCATTTTGTGGTCCCTTTGCTTCAATGCAGATTACTGTGGAGGGCAAAGAGCTGAAGCCCCTGTAGACCCCTGTGGCGGCGTACTGGAGGTGTACTGGAGGCATGCTGACAATTTGTGAAAGAACACCCAACCTCCAAGGACACTCTGCTGCCATGCAGTGACCAGGAAGCACCCTCCCCTCCTTTTTAGGGTAGTTGGGGTTGCCAGCCTGCTGGAAAGCACGGCCAAGGCCTACAACAGCCCTGTCCTCTTCCATGTGGGGCCCAGAGGCATTCTGGGAAAAGGAATAGGGCAGGCCCAAGTTAATCATAATAAAAAATGGGGCAAAGGGCCTTCAGCAGGGCAGGGGGTGTCATCATTATCATTATCATTATTTATTCAATTCATATACTGCCCTATACCTGGAGGTCTTGATTTACTGAGCCCCCACCCAAGTGTATTCTATTAGCCCCAACCACCACAGTCAGTGACCAGGTAAGGTGGGAGGGATAGTCAGACAGCATCTGGAGACCCACAGATTTTCTGTTGTGTTTAGTCGTTTAGTCGTGTTCGGCTCTTCCTGACCCCATGAACCAGAGCACGCCAGGCACTCTTGTCTTCCACTGCCTCCTGCAGTTTGGTCAAACTCATGTTGGTAGCTTCGAGAACACCATCCAACCATCTTGTAATCTGTCGTCCCCTTCTCCTTGTACCCTCCATCTTTCCCAACACCTGCTCTAAAGAATGCCTTTAAAAAATAAATAAATTCACAAAATGGTACAGGCAAAGTGAAGAAGCACTATCATGGTCTTATTTGGACTCAGCACTAAACCATGGGTTAGCATCAAAAGAATAAACCTTTGCCTTGTGTGCTCCCCCTCCTTTCTCATTCTCTCCATAGCTGTAAGGAGAAATTCGGAAATTTTCACTTCAGCCTGCTTTGTCATCCAAACTATGGTGAAATGTAGTGATGGCTTGTTGAAGCAAACTAACTTCAAACCATAGTTTTCATCTAACCATAGTTAAGATTCACCACAGTTTAGCATGTCCATAAATAGAACCATAAACTAGGTAATCCAAAATGGAAGTAGAAACTTCTAATCTCCTCAAGCTGCACCATTGGAGTGGGAGGAATATGTGATCCCAAGGTTTGTGGAGATTTGTTCTCACAATGCTCAGCCATGGTTTAGTGTTAGATCTGAATGAAGCTAGTATCTACCATCCAGTTGGTGTCCTTTCCTCTTGTGCAGCCACATACTACATTGTACCAACTCCCCTCTCCTGTGGTGATTAAGACAAAACATGAATCAAATAGACTTAGTTCCTGGAATACCTCTTTAGCTAAAATGGCATCAAGGTTAGTAGTACAGTGGTACCTCGGGTTAAGAACTTAATCCTTGCCTGCTGTGCCCTATACCACCCTCAAATTTGTGGGGATGGGGGCACTAGGCACAAAGCCCTCCTGTGGGATTTCGGCACTCCTGGACGCCATCCCTGATTCGCGCCACTAGATGCAAGAACTTCAAAAGAAACAATTTGGATGAAGGAATGCACATATTTCGAGGAAGGAGGGGGAGCAAAGACTGCTAACAGAAGAGATCTCTGATAAAACAAGACGAGTCGGAGGAACAAGCATAGATTATGAGAAGATATGCCAAGACTCAGTATGGCAAAGGGGCTGATGGGGGAGGGGGAACAAAACTTTCTTTCTTTTATGTGATTAAACAAGAATCCACCCCCCCCCCCCTCACAAGTCAGGAATGTCGATTTAAGGACTTCAGCTGTGGATATTGGCTGTGTGGAGATAAACTTTCGAACCAAAGCATGTTTTAAGAAGAGCGTGGAATGTATAAGGGCTTTGGAATGACACAGTTCAAAATGCCGTTGCCATATTGGGAAGTTCTGTCGGAGGACTTAAGTCAGAGAGGAGAAATAGAGAAATAGAGCTGTTTTTATATTGTGGATGAAACTCCTCAGAAGGACTTAAGATCGACAGTTCTGTAATTAATGATGGAAAGAGCGATGTTATCTATGAAGGCGATGTTATATGGAAACCATCTCGATTTGAGGATTGGAAGAACGGAAAATTCACACAGGATTATTATTGGTGTTTATTGGCTTAAGGAGACTATCAGAAGAGATCATAAACAAAAAAGAGAAAATATATGAACAAGATGTGATGTGGAAACAGCAAGATAAGACTGGATAGAATTATGAACTCTGTTTGGACTGATTTGGACTGAATTGGACATTAACGCAGCAGCAAGAAGATGATCAGAATCCCCCTTCGGATCTTGAAATATGGGTCCCCTCAACAAAATTTAAAATTCGGCTTTGTAATTCGGAATTTATGTGATATGATTTAATTTGATTTGATTGGCCGGTTAATAAAAATTATTTTTTTAAAAAAAGAACTTAATTCGTTCTGGAGGTCTGTTCTTAACCTTAATTAGTTCTTAACCTGAAGCACCACTTTAGCTAATGGGGCCTCCTCCTGCTGCTGCGCCGCCGGAGCATGATTTCTGTTCTCATCCTGAAGCAAAGTTCTTAACCCGAGGTAATATTTCTGGGTTAAGGGAGTCTGTAACCTGAAGCGTATGTAACCTGAAGCGTATGTAACCTGAGATACCACTGTACCAGGTTGCTCTACCAGAAAGGCAGTGGGGGTGGATAGGAACCAATCCTTGCTATATTATGTCCCTGTGTACTGGGTTACATGGAAATAATTTTCTGTTGTCCAGAAGAGCACATAACACTTGTATAGACGGCAAGAAAATAACAACATTCTGGGACTGCTCTTTCTTTCTCCTGCACTGAGACATGCTGAATATGTTCAGAGCTGGATTTAATAATCATATTTGTATTCTGTCCTTTCTCCAAGGAATTCAGATCAGCAACAACAACAGTAAGGCAGGCAAGATTGAGAGAAAGGGAGAGGGAGAGAGAGAGACTTGCCCAAGGCTATCCAGTGAGCCCAGGGCCATTCTACACATTACGCGGCAGCAAATTCAGGTTTGTGATGTTAGGTGTAGGCGTTAACAGGGAGCTGTAGCCACTCTTGGCTGCCTTTTATATGCATATCTGCACAGTACCTTCATTTTCCAAACATACTTTGTCCCCTTCATTTTAAGTCTTAGGTTTATGCCTAAGAATTTAACAGAAGAGGCATCTCTGAATAGAAAGTTGAAGCTGGTCTCCCCCTGTGCCAGCCCAGCTCCTTAGCCATTGACACCAGACATGGAGAACAAAGGAATTCTGGAAAGTCATGCCAGAATTATGATGCCTTTCTTGTGGAGACTGGCTTTTCCCATTTTTGCAACTCTGTTTACACTGCAGCCCTCCAGATGTTGTTGGACTCCAACTCCCATCATTCCCAACCAGCATGGCCAATGGAAAGGGATGATGGGAGTTGTAGTCCAACAACATCTGGAGAGTTAAAGGCTGGCCACCCCTCTGATAAAGCACCTCATACTGTGATGGTGCTATAAGTCTGCAATCGTATCCACAGTTACCTGGGAACAAACCTCATTGAGCTGAGTGGAACTTAGTTCCAAGTCAACCTGCATAGGATTGGGCAGTTAAGGTGAAGACCTACGCACATTTACTTGGGAGTAAGGGCTTTTCTTTAAAGCACCTGGAAAGTGTGGATGAAAGGAAAATGTGGATAAGCGCCAAGTCTCACAGACCTGAGTGAAACTTCCTTCTATGTGAACATACATAGGATTGCACTGTGCATGAAATTGAACCGCAGTATCATGGGAAGAAATCAGCCATTGGCTTTGGCACCGGTGGCTATAAAATACCTAGTTATGTTCACTTAATATATTTCTTTGTGTCATGGGAAAGATTAATTCAGGAGCTGACAATGTATTTAGCACCAAGGGCCCATATTAGAAATATATCACGGACTGGATGGTGTCAGCTAATCTAAATCTTTGACTCAATACATTAGCAACCCAGTTTGCAAATTGAAGACCATGGTTGACAGGCAATGGACATATTTCTTCAGCGATAGCCTTTGTGCCAATTACACATTGCTGAACTAGCCAGAAGTTAACTGTCTTCAAAAGCCAGCATATTTTCCAGAACTCTGCTTTTCTGACTTTCAGAAACCATGTAGTACTGGCAACCTTTAGCCTTTGTGAGAACATTAATTGAGTCCATCTGTAGCTGAGGGGCAGCATGTTCAAGTAAGAAAGTGAAAAGATCAGTCACAACAGATACTTTTGGCTATATTTAAAGGTGAAGTAGCTTCATTCCAAACTTGAGTTCTAGGCCATTTTCCACTTGTGTCAAATAAACCTTTTGCATGATGCTTTCCAGCAAGCAATATGCTACACTGCAGCTGTGTGTAATGAAACCCCAGAGGACTTCATCCCAGTTGCTAAATGCCTTCAAGTTTGAAGGGGACAATTCACAACTGCAAAGTCCAGTGTTCCTCAAACTTGGGTCTCCAGCTGTTGTTAGACTACAGCTCCCATCAGCCCTAGCTAGCAAGACCAGTGGTCAGGGATGATGGGAGTTGTAGTCCAACAAGAACGGGAGACCCAAGTTTGAGGAACACTGGATCCCTTCCCACCATTTCCCCTCTAATACTATTCCTGCATGCACACTCATAACTGCATTTTAGCCTTGCTAGTATTGTAGCATTCCAGACTCATGCTTACCTGGCCAACTTGGGTCTGGTAAAATGCATGGAAAAAGAAGTAGGAGGGAAGAAGAGTTTATGGGGAAAGTGACTGGTGTTTAAACAAATGTTTGAGAGATGCACAAATTGCACGTTCCAGCTACATTCAAACCAGTGTATGATTAAATGGTGCCAGGAAAATGCTTAACAGTTTGAGAGAAAACGAAAAACACAGGTTTGCTCAAGATTCTTCTGAACACAGGCATTTATCCCGCTATGCATCTTCTAGACTTGATGTGCACATAAGCTTTTGAGATGTCTGCATTGCACATGAGCTGGGTGAAAGTGGAATGAAAATCAGCGCTCGCGTTATTGCAGCTAAATTAATCTTTGTCGTGCCAAGCAACCTGCTTCACCAGATGTTCCTGATGTTGGCTGAAAAGTGTGCTTGAAAGCGTTTTTCAGAAATTGGCAGGGTGGGATCCACGTGGCAGGCTGGTGCGCAGCACTCCAGTGCTTCTACTGAGAGCAACATGAAGGTTGATCTGCAGGTGCAACTAAGGAGAAAAAGTCCTTGGAAAATACCACAAGGTGTCAATTGACTGTAAAGAGCACAAAGATTTGAGTGACCTTAGAAGACAACAATTGTTGGCTTAAACAATGGCATTGCCTGTAATTAAAACTTATTTAGCATGGAAAGAAAATAGATAGGTGGTTTAATACTTGGCCTATCACGAAAGTTCTCTACCACCCCACTTTTAAATGTTGTTTGTTTGCCAACTTTGTATATGAAACGCACAAAGATGATAAACTGGTTGCCTTTGGCCCTACACTTGCAGATCAAACTATATAAATGTTTAAGCCAACTTATTTTACCACTGCCATTTGTTCATATGTCAATGGCCCTAATTATGCCAGTGGTATTAGGAGACCCCTGTGATTCATCACGGGTTACCCAATGAGAAGATCAATAGTAGCCGACATTATGGAGCTTTCCCGAGAATGCACAACCACAGGGGGTATATTGGTTGTGATCTAGATGCACTTTTGGATCACAAACCCAGTGGTGAAGCCTACCCTGAGCCTGATGTGTATGGAGTGTCCCCTTAGAATACTCCTCTGTCTTCAGTGTTCCTCTGCCACACAGAGGGGTGCTATGTCAGCTGCGCAGGAGTCCCTTGGTAGACAACCCTGTGTGCAGTGGGCTCCACGGAGTAGAATGGGTTGCTCAGTTTCAAGTGAGTTAGAGGGGGGCAGGACCCATGGGCGCCTTTTACAACCAATCCTTAGCTGCTGCTTCTTCGAGAACAGCATTATTTGGCTAAAACTGGAGGGAATCAGGGAGAGCATGGGTTGCGGGTGTCATTAAGGTAAGGTTACCAGATGTCCCCGTTTCCCAGGGACAGTCCCCAGATTTACAAATCAGTCCCCTGACAAAATCCATCTATTTAGTAGAAAGTAGAATAGTGTCCCCGGATTCATTGAAAAAAATCTGGTAACTTTACATTAAGGTCACCCCCACTCCTGTCATAATTTGAACATTAACGTCACAAAAAGTTGGGATGGGGGAATTAGCAGCCATTTTATGTTGCGTTATTGTATTACCATATTTACTCGAATCTAATGCTCATCTTTGTTGGCCAAAATACGTTGCAAAAATTAAGGCGCACATTAGATCCAATGGCACATTGACATTTGCCAGCAAATACTTTGTTTTGTTTCAAGGTTCTGAAAATTGAGGTGCGCATTATATCTGATGGTGCATTAGGCTCGAGTAAATGCGGTACTTTGAAAACTGGTCCTTGCTTTCCTCCCACTGTGCATGACGTGCTTCAGACGTGTGTTGCGCTGAATATTACACTAACTCTTTGGTGTGTTGCTTTTGTTTCTAGAAACCTCAGATTCCACAGGGATAAACCCTGAGAAGGAGAAATGTATTCTAAATGACAGGGGTAAATAATGCGTGTAAAGTATTGTTGGCTAAATCAATATTGGACAGTAAGGTTAACAAGGAAAATATATATAAATATATGTTGCAATTGAATTTCATGATACTAATTCTAAGTGTGTTTGCTCTGGGCATGTGCTTTGGCTTTAATAAATGAAAGATATACATGTATAATCAAGATTTTTTCCCCCAGTAGTAATTTCTGGGTTGTTCAAACTGATGATGATTATTGTTATTAATTAAATTTGCTTGCTGTCCTTTATCCGAAGATCACAGGGCAGTTCACAACATAAAAATACAAAATACATAAGACAAAATCAAAGAAAAACTCATAACCCCTTCCCATTTTATGTAATATAAAATCCAAAGTTTTCTAGGGATGTGTTTAGGAAACAATCTAGACACCACTGCAATTAATAGTTGTTGTTCAAGAGCTGGTTGACCCCATTTATCTCACTGGGGCATGCACAGGAAAACTGTGTCCCTGATCTCTAAAGTACTAACTACAGTGGGGCACAGCCTTTTACGTCACATTTGTGTTGGCATTTTTAAACATTTGCATAGGCTTCAGCAAGTTTCTACCTTTAAGTGGCGACTCTGTATTAATGTTAACCCACGCCCATGATTTTTCTTGGTACGGCTGCTGGGTTTGTTTTGTGGAGCTTCTGAGTTTGCAGATCTGTGCAGTGGAAATAATATTTAAGATGCCTGCTCCACTCAGCTGAGCTGTTCCACCCTCTTAATGCTCTTGCTCCCTCCCTTTGGCCCTCATTGTGCACATTTAAAGTCAGAAGGCAGGGCAGGACACCAGGCATGCAGTTGCAGTTAACGTTGCATCGTGGAAATACAGAGTGCAGTGATCACCTGCACACTCTTGGCTCTTCTGTTCTAAAACCTCCTTTTTTAAAAAGTAAAATTTTGGGTACAATCAGCGCTGCACCCATGGACCCTGCCTTGACCTCTACACATTCAGAGATGCTGTTTTCACAGAGCCTACATGTGCACACCCATATGTCTGAAGGCTCAGGTATGCATGACCCAGGACCCTGGGAAATGAAAGGTGCACGCACGTAGTTTCTGTGCAAAGGGTGCCTTTGAGCATGTGGAGGGCAACGCTGGGACTGCTCATTTGGACCCAAATAACATATATGGGGTTCTTAGGAAGAGAGAAGAAGCCCTTTTTGTTTTACTGCTAGAGCAGGCGTTTAACTGCCTTATAGTAGTTGCACACAAAACTCACATAGTTAAGGGTAGAAGGAAGGCTAAGGAGGGGAGAAGGGAGAAACAACTAAATACAGAAACACAGGATGGTAGAGTTGGAAGGGACCACAAGGATCATCAAGTCCATCCCCCTTCAATGCAGATATATTTTGCCCAATGTGGGGCTCGAACACATTACTCTGAGATTAAGCATCTCGTGCTCTACTGACTGAGTTATCCTCTGGTTGTCATAGAGAAGCCCTGTGGTATTTCTGTAGGAATCATTTGGTTGCTTGAATAATGTTTTAATTATTATATTCACATAAGTAGCTAATGACAAGCCTGATTTAATTTTAAAGGCTAGAAGATATTAAAATTTCTGGGTTATATCCACTGTTGCATGAGCAGGCAGAATTTCTCCTTCCTCTCCTCTCACTGCATCTCACCAGTTGTTCTCCAGAGGTTCCTCACAACCCTTCGGAGCACTTTTGGGATATGCACAGGAGAAGAGGAAGGGGAAATTCCAATTCTCAGGTGGAATTCTGCTCCATTTATACAAGGACACTATTAAATGCCACCCTAAAATTTCTTCTCTTGCCCTGCAAGTTTTTAATAAGGATTAATTTTTCTAAAAAGAAAAATAAGTGGGCTACAAGCAATAGAAGCCTTCACAATGGTAATAATAATTGTAATAAAAAATAATTGCTGCAGGAAATGGTGATTATATATTATAGTAGATGAAGCCCAAAGCAAACATAATTGTGCCAGTTACATTTGAATCACTGTAGTCACAGTAACAACAATGATAACTGATGAACCATTAATTTGAACACATAATTTTAATCCTCCTCTGTTGGTTTTTTATTCTCTAGGTCCTACATTCTTCCTTGCCTGCTTCAGCATCGCCGCAGGATTAGCCTTCTATATGTATTGCTGTAACTCAGGTAAAATACTCTTGGGGTTTTTTTCTTTCTGAGAGGAAAGGTTTAGTAGTTGTCTTGTTAGCCTGTTTATCTTGGCATAAAACATGTTTTGGAAGTGTTCTTGCATCAGGATCATGAAAGAACACACCAGAAAAGGCTGATGTGTGGGGCCCCAGCTATATAAATCATGGCTACACATTTTGGCAAGACTGACAAGTTCTTCATAAGCTGCCTGGAAGTCAGAAATATAAACTGGGTGAGGAACATATGACTCTTGTCATATGCCTTGACACTACATGTGTCATTCACTGCAGTCTCCAGTGTGGTGTCATGGGATCAGTTTCAGTTGATGTAGCCTGATGGTGTCTACAAGGTGCCTACAGCAACACAGCCAACAGATGACACTTACCCATCCTGGCTTGCTGAGGGGGTATGGCTGGGAGGGATCCAGGATATGGTCAACACATCTTTGTGGCCCTGGACATTTTGAAAGAGGTGACAATTTCTGAAAAAGCCCATCTAGGACTCACACAGGTTTGCCAGAACAAGTACCCCCACCCTTTGGGGGGCTGGGGAAGTGATCAAGAGGTTTGTGGCACAACTGCTGCAAGTATTCTGGAATGAAACCAATTATCTTGATCCACTCCAGTCTGGATTCAGATTTGGTTATGGGGACTGAATCGGCCTTGCTTTCCCTGATGACTGATCATTATTGAGAGAGAGGCCCTGTTCTTCTTATTTAATCTTTCACTGTACATACATACGTGCATGCATGCATGCATACATTTAGTGGATTTCCTTTTACCTGAATCTCAAGGTGATTTACAAACGTATTTAAAAGCTGATTTGCATTGGCTCTGATCCTAACTCTCAGATTATTTTCAGATAGTTACATTCAGTGATTGTCTTCCATGCCCCCAAAAGTTGTGCTGCTGTGCCATCTGGTCCCTAATGCTATGTAACACCTACATGAAAGCTATTTGGGGGAGGGTGTCACAGGTGATGACACTCAGCTCTACCCCTCTGTAACATCTGAATAAGTTGAGGCTGTGCAAGTCTTCGACCAGTGTCTGCAGTCAGTGAGGGAATGGATGAGAGTTAATAAACTGAAGCAGAAATGATGCTAAGTAGTGGTTCAACCAAGTGGACATACCCTAAGGATCACTACATTGGTGATCAGTGCTAGATAGAATTGAGCTCCTCTAGTAGCTGAGTAAGTTCTTTCATGCAAAAGCCCCGGTCCTGGTCCCCCCCCCCATTATTATTTTTCAGCAACCGAATCTTGGGAGGTGAGTGTGTGTGTTAGTTTTTGTCTATTGTTGGGTGGATGGGAGTCACAGAAACCCTTGTTGATCTACTTCAGATTACACAGAGATCAACCAGCAATTTCCAATCCATTTCTTTCTGCCTCTGCTCTACCGTGTGTGGCCTTGTATTCATCATCATCATCCTTTATTAGGCATAGCACACCACACACTAACAAACAAACATCATATACAGACTGTATAAAATACGGGCGTGTGGCCTTGTAAACAGAAGTGTTTCTTTTTTGTTTAACCCTGTGACCCACTTATTATTTTGACTTTTTTTTTTGCAGTGATTCCTTAATCCTATATTGCTAGTCTTGGGAAGCTTTCTGTATGAGTTTGGTAATATGGAAAATGAGGCAAGACCAGTGGGAAAGATATTCCATAGTACAAAATCATCAGGCTGATATAAAACATTTGGAAAACTTTTTATTATCCCTACAATTTGGTTGTCAAAGCTGCAGAGTTGATTTATAGCTAATTGTAGACTTCAGCAGAAGCAGTGATTTGAATGAATATTTTATTCATGACAAAAATAATCAGTCACTCAAAATTAGGTGAAGAGCTCTTCTTTTTACAAATCACAATTTCTTCTGTTACATAATTTGCAAGTCATAGAATAGAGCAATTCTCCTTGGCCAAAATTCCGGCAAGTTTTTTTTGTGTGTGTGTCAAATATCATTTGTGGAAACAGAACCCATTATGGCTGCAAATCTGACTCACTTCACCTTTTTTCTCATTTCCATCCCCTACCCGTGTTCATGTTTCATTCTAGATTCAAAAGTCCTAGGAGGAGCCAAGAAGATACTGGGGTTTTCTCCAATCATCATAGGAAGACACGTTAGGAATATTTGTATGTTGTACATGGAAGACGCACCAAGAAACAAATAAGCATAAACTGGCTCACCAGTCTAGCATGAAATTTTCCTGCCGGCGGAAGGGCTACATTGTCAAAAGACATGCTATTTTCTTATACCAAAGATATAACTAACCTGTGGCTTCAGCAGTGTATATTTGCTGCTTCCAAGGGCTTTCAAAGGGTCAGCTATATATGCCTTTTACTTGTGGGAGTGGATGTTTTTATTTTTGTACAAGCTTAAACTATTTATCACTTGAATTTAAAAAAATAATAATTTTTAATGCAAGCTTTTAAACATGTGCCCTAAGTCATTGCAAAGTCTTAAAAGTCCTCTCATGTTGTGTATTTGTATTCTGTTCTGGTCTAGAGGCCTACCAAAAAGTGATTCCCTCTCCAAGATGGACAGAGAGCTTTTGCTCAGTGTTTGAACCCTAATACCTGCTGGCGGGGGGCGGGCGGTCTTTATCCAGAGAGCTATGAAATCCACATAGAAGGCCTCTGCATTTCCCTATTTCACAGAGAACAAACAAGGATTCCACTGAATATCAGTGTAAACTTTCTGTTACTGCTGGTTAAAGTTTCCTCAGAAGACATCGTGCTTGGTGTATCAGTTAATCCATTAGCAATGGTGGGAGATCCTCTGTGCAAATAGTAAACTCAGGTGGCTTCAGACAAGGGAACTTTAAAAAAAAATGCAAACTTTAGAGCAACACTTGAAACAAATTAACCCCAAACCTTTTTAAGATATAGAGGTTGTCGTCTTCTTCTTCTTCTTCTTCTTCTTCTTCTTCTTCTTCTTCCTCCTCCTCCTCCTCCTCCTCCTCCTCCTCCTCCTCTTCCTCTTCCTCTTCCTCTTCCTCTTCTTCGTTTTAAATGGTAGACTGCATGTTCTTTCTGTACTTCGTATGCAAGAATTCAAAAAACAAACTCCTGTCTCTTTGTTTGCTAGTCCATCTGTGCAATATTTACTGCCTATCCTAGGCCAGATTCCAGGTGCCCTGTTTAAGGTAGGAGGGGAGGGGGAAGAAATTTAGCAGGGTCAAAAATCCTGACCTGCAAATGTTCAAGGTTAATTTGAGGAGGGTGGATTGCGCATTTTAAGAGCTTTTGTTTTTGTACCTCATGATACCTATAACAGTGTTACTAGTAAGACCAAAACAACATCAACAACCACCACAACCCTAAACCAAAGCCACCCCCCATGCTTTTTTGAAGCTGAGTGGGACCCAAATTAATTGGTGGCTCTGGAATGTGTACCTATGCTATAGCACCATTTCATTGTTTGTGAAAACTCATATAAAACCAGTGAGCTGGCCAGAAATAGAAAGATTATTAAAGCATAACTTGTGGTCTGAAACGTGTGTGTGTATACGTACATGCAAATATTCTCTCATCCTCCCTAAATGATTCCCTGCAAGGTTCCACCTTCTTTGTGTAGGTTTCTAAGGACTGTTTTCGTTCAACTTCCAGAAGGGTAGTTATGTTAGTCTGTTGAAACAAAAGCAGTAAGAGGTATTGTGGCACGTTAACAGGTTTATTTATGGCTTAAGCTTTTTTGGGACTAGAACCCACTTCATGATTGGATGAAATGGATTCTAGACTATGATACCTTGTGCCTTAATAAATTCATTTTTTTCTTTAATGTGCCACAATAATAGAATTGTAGACACCTCATTTTTTCCCCCTTTGCTAAGGGCCAGATTGTGACACAATGTGAACATGTTTAGGCATGTGGGTGCTTCCCCCCCCCCAACCCTTTTACTCTGACACAAACTGGCAAATCTTTACTATGGTTTAAGCATACAGTACAGCCTAATTTCATAAGCGACAGTTTGAAGTTTCCCTGTTTCAATAAACCATCGTTTTGAATGAAAGTGGAAGCTTCTGGTTTCCTCATGGGTGTGCAAGGGAAGCTGATGAGTCTGAGACTCATTAATGTAATTATTGAGGCCATAAAATGTGGGAAGTTGGAGAATGACCATAGGAAGCTCTGGGGCTGTGGGATTAGGCTTTTCATTCTGTTTGTATAAATTAAATCAGAACACCATTCATAGGTGCAAAAAAACTTTTTACTTACCAATTTTCACTATTGTTCGGCAGACCTTAAAGTTAAAATGACATCATCAAGGTTATGATGGATGGATGGGTTTGTTTGCTTTTTGAAATTTAGCCTCACTTGTGTTGTTTTATTTCATTTGAGATATCTGCACTGTTGTGTAACTTGAACAGGCACTTGACTTTATGGCTATAGCTGTAGCCTCTTTTCAGGGTTTGCCTTACAGATATATCAGATTTAAGGTGTCACCGCCACCTAAAGAGACTGGGCAAAAACAGCTGAGACCACACCCAGCAGCAGCAGCTTCATCTACAGGCATTTCCTAGAATCACCACGAGAGGGAGAAGGAGCACCACAACCTGTATGTGAATTACTTTGCAATAAACTACACACAGCTTTTTGCATACACAGCAAGAGAGGCCAGTATAGAAACGCTAGATTGTTAATTCAGTCTTGTTCTTAGCTTGGCTAAGAGAAGCACCGTTGTGTCTGTGCTGGGGAATTCTAGTTAGACATGTTCCTTTCATCAGATTTATGTTCTAGGAAAGGCATAGGTCAACTCGGCCCTCCAGATGTTTTGGGACAACAACTCCCATCATCCCTGACCACTGGTCCTGTTAGCTAGGAATGATGGGAGTTGTAGTCCCAAAACATCTGGAGGGCCGAGTTTGCCTATGCCTGTTCTAGGATTTCCTGTGTGGATTGAAAAGAACACAGAGATTTCAGATATGCAAACAGAGAGGCACTTGGATTTAATGTTAGCAAATATAATTTAAAATGAAACATCAGTTCAATTACTGCTTAGGATTTAGGCAATCTGTATGGAAGAGTTTTAAAAAATTATCTCCCTATACTCCCCATGTTGTAAAGTAAGAATTAGACTTGTCAACTGAGCTGTGTTTCTGATTGCTACCTGGATTTTCCAATTAAATAAATGAGTCTTAGTTACAAAATAATGTCTATTAAATCGAGGTGTCAGCCACTTATATTCTACACAGCAGTAGGAGTCAAGTGCTTAGCCGCTAGTCATTTTAAAGAGAATCGACAGTTTCGAGATAGGAGTATCTAATTCCTAGTGTGGAAAGGATATTTTCCACTTAACCTTTTGAAAATAAAGATTTTGACCATCTGGTAACTAAAGAGCTTCTTGCAGTCACGGGGAAACTGGGGTCTTGTGGAGGCTTCTGGGGCAGAATGGCATTTTTCACTTACTGTATTTTTCGCTCTACAAGACGCACCAGACCACAAGACGCACCTAGTTTTTGGAGGAGGAAAACAAGAAAAAAAAATATTCTGAATCTCAGAAGCCAGAACAGCAAGAGGGACTGCTGCGCAGTGAAAGCAGTAATCCCTCTTGCTGTTTTGGCTTCTGGGATAGCTGCGCAGCCTGCATTCGCTCCATAAGACGCACACACATTTCCCCTTACTTTTTAGGAGGGAAAAAGTGAGTCTTATAGAGCAAAAAATACGGTAACTTCCCTGTTCCATTTCTCATGTCGCTCCCAAGAGACCCAGAAGATTTGAGAGACAAAAGAGCTGCAGTTAAAAAGGAAGATCAGTGAAAACTACACCCCATTCAATTAATAGGATTATTCTGTAAGCAGACGGCTGCTTACAGGACTCATCCACCAGTGGAACCTTAGGAGTTAAGTCAGGGGATTTATTTAGAAAAAGGGTATTACTTATGTTTCAGAACATGCTGTAATGGAGGCTGCGACAGGGCAGTGTGTACCTCAGAATTTTTAGAAATCTCGAGCGGCTTCAAAGTTTACTTTTAGTATCAAAGTTAAAGACAAATAAATCAGGTTTGAAAGTTAAGCTATGGCTCCAGCGAGGATTGAAAGTAGTTTTAAAGTGTCACACTGGCTATGTGGCCAATATATCAACCGGCTCCAAAGTAAACAACTCACGCCATTATGCTGGAAGCATCTAGAAAGAGAAATTGCATTTTCTCTCTCTGAGCAATACCGAGAAGAGTTAAAGAGCAGGTAGAATTCTGGATTTCTCTCTCTCTTTCTCATTACTTGCAGGGACAGGGAATAAAGTATTTTGGTGTTGTATATGTACATAGAAATGCCTGGGTCTTTTATGCATTGTGACAGACAGAGGTTCACTTAACATGTTGTTTCTGTAGCCTACTTGCAAGTAAGATGCCAAAATGCATGGTTCAATCTTTAGGTGAAATGATACCTAGCAGAAAGGTCCATACTTTCTGGATTTCATTTCCTCAAGTCTTCCCCCCACCAGCCCCAATTATATATTCCTGTAACTCAGGATAACATTTGCATCTGATGCAGTGAACTGTGCTCCATAAAAGCTTGTTGTTGTTGGCATCTGTCTGTCTCGAGACAATGGAGTGTGCCTCTGTGCATGAAGTCAAACCACTGCAATTGCAGCTTAGAAGTGACATCTCCTGGGTGCAAGCCTGGGCAGGAGGTATGGAGCTCCTGGGTTGCCCAGACGACAAGATCGAGCCTCACTGATGTCAGTGACAACCTTAAAACGTACTGATTGTGTAGTTTTGTCATAACTACGGACTAATACTGATTTTGGTGAATGCTTTCTTAATTTATTCCATCCATTGCTAGGGAAGAAAAACCCAACCCTCTTCAGTTTTATGCAAATCTGCCTTGTTTTGGTGATGCTTTTTTTTTTTTACGTTGAGCAAGTGGCCACCCTAGGAGGGCTTTCTTGCCTATAGCATCAAGGTTTCTATTCTGCTCAGTTTGTAGTTTGTACTCCTGGAATATAGCTACCCTTTGCTTTCAAAGACAAAACTCCGTAGAATAGCTGCTCAGCAATGCTTGCCAGCTCTGTGTTCTTGGCACAATTTCCGTGTCTTGCATGTTGCTGCTGGAGGAGCACTGCCACTGACGTGTGTTTATGTGCATTCAAGCAGGATGAAGGCAAGGTCCAAACCAACTCATTTTGTTTATCGCATTGTCCCTGGTTAAATTTTAGATTACTGTCGTGATTTGACCGTGAGTGGTGCTCTGTTCAAAATGTTGTGTGTTATTATTAATGTAACAATCAAAGTGCCTCACAATGCTTTAGAGCTGGGCTATTGTTTTCCCGACTGACTTGCTTCCAAAGGAGAAGAACAACTTCTAACCAAAATCCTTTAGAGGACAGTAAAGAGCTTTAGAAGATGAATTCACACAACCAAATTGGTGTGTTAAGGTGGCGGGTTTCAAAAATCTAAGGAAGCTTCACACCATCCCTTCACCATGCAGTATTTATTTACCTGCTTATTTCTCCACTCATATTTGCCACATTGTTCTAAAGCTTCTCTTTAAGTGTATTGGAAGTGGGCGTGGAAAATGTCACTCAACTGAATGTTACTCATGTATACACTCTTCATTGTTGGCCTAAGGCGTTTTCAGACCAGCCCTGGCTGAACTTCCCCAAAGGGCTGTTACAACTCACATTCTCAGCACATATTGGTTGTATATGCTGACTTGGAGAAGCTCATATGAATAGATGGTTTGGCACGATGAACACGCAAAGGGAATAATGTTTAAATGGCAGGCCTGCAGTTGGATTTGCACCAATTCAGGTTGAATAAGGGCACTACGCTGATGTAAACATGTCTTTGCTATCAATAAATATGCTAGTGGTGAAGATAGCCATAACATAAAAACAGAATTCACAGCAAGTTCTCCAGTTGCTCTGCAAGGATGTCTTTGCAGCGAAATGATAGGTGTGCATGCCAGCAAATCAAATGCTGGCACAGCCTTTATATTCGATCCTCTTATTTTCTCCAACTAGGCTATTCACTTTTTATTTATTATTAAAGTACCATGTGAACCTTCTGGTACCTATTATTTGTTCATGTTTAATATAGGGATTGGGGAGTGTTCTTGGCAAAGGTGATCACGTATGATCTAGTTGAGATTCCTGCATTGCAGCGGGTTGGGCTAGATGACCTTCAGGATCCCTTTTAACACTAAAATTCTATTCTTGTGTGACATCACAGGCTCATCTGCTTGGAATTTGCAGAGCCTCTCCCCCATCCACCCCTGAGCTGGACCCTAAGGAGGACTGAGTATAAATTAAGTGAATGCAGTGATGTAGTTTTCAGGGACGCCTCACTGTTATGAGTATCTTCACTCTCAGATTCTGATTCTCTCAGGTATCTGCTGCAGCTCCTACAGTATTTGACTTGATTTGGGGCTCAGATTCCATTTCTTAAAATGAATCCCAGGGTTATGTCTATTTTTTAAAAAAACAAGAAACCTTAACAAGAAATAGCACTTATGCAGGTTTTTTGGTCTCTGTGTGCACAAATTTCAAAATAATAATAATAATAATCAAAGCATTTGACACTTTGGAATTTTTACTTATTTCTGATAATGACATTCTTAAGTGTATGGCCAGTATGAGCGAAAGAAAACAAAAACCAAGTTTGTGTAATGTGCACTATAAAATGCTTCTTTCTTTTTTAAAAAAAGCAATGTTGACTGAACATGGTTGTGTGGCTTTAAGAACATTTGTGTTAAAAGCAAAATAAAAATGTCTCAATTCAATCTTGAAAATAATCTCTCTTTGGAATCTGCTTTTTAGTATGTTGTATTTATTAGCATTGCTGGATAGCAGGGCTGACTACTTTATTTATGTATTTATTTAAAGTTTACTAGGGCTTGGGTTTGGGGAGTCGGGTTTAAGCTAGAGATCTGAAAGAATGGATGCAAGCCATAATTCTCCACTGTTGGAATGACAATAAAGCCTAGTCAGTTTGAAGGGAATAAAAGGGGGGGGGGACAGGCAAAGGTGGAGGTGGTTGAATTGTGGCAGGATAACAAACTCAGGGGTTGGAAGCACATATGTGCTGAATGGAAGAAGTGGAGGCGAGTAAGAGGCATTGGAGCAAGCATCAGAGGGGACTGAACACCCTCCCAACATTTCATTGAGAACAAGGATGGGTGAAGACCCAGTCATCTTAGGTAAACATCAGCCTTACAGATGGGTTCTTGCGTATTCTCCATGGTCTGTAATACCTTTAGGGAGTTTGGCGCTGTGTGTAAAACCACAGAGCCTAGGGCTTGCCGATCAGAAGTTCGGCGGTTCGAATCCCTGCAACGGGGTGAACTCCCTTTGCTCGGTCTCTGCTCCTGCCAACCTAGCAGTTTGAAAGCACGTCAAAGTGCAAGTAGATAAATAGGTACCGCTCCAGCGGGAAGGTAAACGGCGTTTCCGTGCACTGCTCTGGTTCGCCAGAAGCAGCTTAGTCATGCTGGCCACATGACCCGGAAGCTGTACGCTGGCTCCCTCCGCCAGTAAAGTGAGATGAGCACCTCAACCCCAGAGTCGTCTGCGACGGGACCTAATGATCAGGGTTCCTTTTACCTTTACCTTTTATGCCAGCTGAGGCTTCCTGTTTCTTTCAAGACAGGATCTCACCACATCTAGACTAAATTATTGCAAGGCATTTCCCTGTCTCTGAAGACTTGTTTTCAAAACTTCATTTCGCTCAGGACACAGTAGCAAAGCTGTTAAGTAGTACTGGCAACAGGGCTTGTATCTTGCCAGTACTTAAAAGAGCTTCGCTGACCTCCATTTTATGTGTCCAGGCACAATTCACTGTGGCGACTTTGACCAATGAAGCCCTAAATAGCTTGAGATTGGGGTATCTGTTCCCATTTGAACCTTCCTTACTATTAAAGCTCTCCACCCTTGAAGGGAGGTGGCTGGCAGTAAGGGACGGTGCCATTTCACTTGTGTTACCTTGTCTGTGGCATGCCACCCCTCATCCCACAAAAAAAATGCTCTCTTTGGTGGTGTTGAAATGCCAACTAAAAATGCCTATTTATGCGGGCTTTAAATGGGATATAAGAGTAATCTGATATTTTTATTTAGTGATTTAGCACAATTATATACCACTTGATTGTCAAAAAACCTCTAAGCAGTTTACAAGAATTGCTAAATTTGTTTTTTAAAAACATTTGAAAATAAATAAAATTAACAATAAAAAAGTTTGAAACAGGTCAACACCTCAGTTTTTGAATAATAATCATAATTATAATAATATTTTTTATTTATACCCCGCCCATCTGACTGGGTTTCCCCAGCCACTCTGGGCGGCTTACAGCACATAAAGATTGGAAAAAAATTAGACATTAAAAACTTCCCTGAACAGGGTTGCCTTCAGATGACTTTTAAAAGTCACAATAGTTGTTTGTTTCCTTGACATCTGATGGGAGGGCGTTCCACAGGGCAGGCGCCACTACTGAGAAGGCCTGCCTAAACAAAAAATGTTTATTGCATTTAACCAAAGTAATGTATGCTGCCTAATTGTGGTGAAACCCTAAGCGGTTTGCAAGAAGTATTACAATTATCGATAAAAAAGTTAAAACAATTTACAACATAAAAAAAGATGGGTAGATTTTGCTCCTAAATTGCAGTAGCACCCTCCTCCCTGTCGCCAATTTACAAATGTATGTTTCTGGGATTTGTGTGCAGAATTTAGGTGGCCAGTTTTAGCTTGGCACTAATAAGAAGAAAATGTATAGTGACTTTTGTGTACTTCATGTTGTCAAGAGATAGTGCTAAATGGTGTCTCCCATAACCAGGACATTGACCCCTGAGGCAGGAAGTGCTGACAAGAAAAATGTGCTTCCCTTTGGGTAATCATGTTTCTTCATATTCGGAATTTTGTTTTGTGAGGCTCAAACGACCACGCAAAGGAAATGGGAGGCGTTGAAGGGGATATTCTGAGGAGATATAAGGAAACGGAACATGAGAGATAGGCATAGTGAGCAGGAATGACGCAAATGTGGAAACAGCGATAATGTAGCGAGCAGATTAAACAAAAAAAAAGTTGTAATGGGAAGCAAAACAATACAACCCTTAAGTCACTTACTATGCAGATTCCTGTAAAATGAGAGGTTTCTTAGCAGTGTTAGCAGCAGCTGATTGCGGCTGCTTTAGTGCTCATTCGGGAAGTGGGGATTATGAAACAAATCCTATAATCTCGGTCACCTTCGCCATATGAAATCATAAGGGCTGGAGGGGCTTTGTCAGCTACCTAGCCCAGGGGTGGGGAATCTTTGGCCCTCCAGATGTTGCTGAATTATAACCCCATCAGCCCCAGCCAGCATGGCCAAGGGCCAGGGATGATGGCAGCTGTCAGCAACATCTGGAGGGACACAGGAGCCCCATACCTGATCTAGTCCGACGGCCAGCTTAGTAACGGAGATTTCCCAATTCTTGCTTCAGTGGTTCCAGGTGCATGCAGACACCTGTCTTTGTTCTTCTCCCAGGTGTGCATAGGAGGTAAGCACCACAGCATGTTAGGCAGCTGCTTTGTGCCCAGGGCCCAGTCCATTGCTGGCTTAAATAAAGGTAAGTTTGGGGATTGTACTGGGCCAGTGGTCTTTGTGTAGGAAACATTCACAACTGCATATTATGGCATCACTAAGAGGTGGGAGCTGGGAGCAGCCTGCGACAGACTGCAGCCCCCAGGTGATGAGGCTTTTCATAATAGTAAGATAAAAAAAAATAAAACCACAACCACAGAGCGACTTGCTAATGGCTGTATATAGGTATCAGCCTGCTCTCAAAGGCCCAGCCACAGGGCATGTTAAAAGGAAGGGCAGAAATTACATGGAGGCAAATCTCAAGCATTAGGTGATAGTTGGACTGTGGAACAGGCTGCCTTGGGAGGTGCTGGGATTTCTCTCACTGAAAGTATTTGGGTAGAGGCTGGATGGCCGCCTATCAGGGATGCTGTAGGTGCAGCCTTCATCAAGCAAGGGTAGCTTGGATGACATCAAGTCCCTTCCAACTCTGTGAACATGCGTAAAGTCAGCAAGGTCAGCTGAGAAGGGATTACAGAAAAGAACATGGGTATGCTTCAGTGGGCCATATTAGCACGGTTTCTGGCACTGGGGTGGGGGGAACAGAGAAGTTACAGGGTAAAGCCAAGAATTCCTTGAATGGGAAACAAATGAGAGCATTTTAAAGCTTTGTTCTCCTCACCAAATGTGTTTCTATGTCACCAGACCATACTTTGTGGAGAAAGTCGATCGGAAAGAGCCAGTTCCTTGAATACCTGATGAGGTTAATGTTGTTGTTTAGTTGTGTCCGACTTTTCGTGACCCCATGGACCAGAGCACGCCAGGCACTCCTGTCTTCCGCTGCCTCCCGCAGTTTGGTCAATCTCATGTTTGTAGCTTCGAGAACACTGTCCAACCATCTCGTCCTCTGCCGTCCCCTTCTCCTTGTGCCCTCAATCTTTCCCAACATCAGGGTCTTTTCCAGGGAGTCTTCTCTTCTCATGAAAAGATCTTCTTCATGAGAAGATGAGGTTAATAGGGAGGTTAATAAAACTGGACTCCAGGCAATATGAACCCTTCTCAAATCAAGGGCCACATTCTCTGGGGAGGGGGGACATGCTAGTGGTGGGCAGAAGAGCACATTCCATTTTATTTGTACCGTAGGCTAATTTCCACCCACTCAACCACCCCACACTCTTCATCCAAGCAAGCAAGAAGCATTGCCAGTGTTCAATGGCATGTTCTAGCCAGGCAAAAACACTTGAGGAGGGTGCACAGCAGGGTCAGTGAGGGTGTCTTGCCGGGGGAGAGTTTCAAGGGACAGAGAGATCCCTGGAGCACTCATCTGAGTTTCCGCCTGCACTCACGGGGGTCCTCATTCACACCAGATTCATGTTTTAAGTACTGCAAATGGATCAGAGGGTCAGTGCAGATGAAATGAAACAAATGATATACACAATGAACAAAAATGCTTTATTTATCAGAGAAAGAAAATTCATCTTCATCACTGGAAAACGTGTTTCAGCGGCAGTAAAAAAATAAGGATCCCAACCTGAGAAGAAGGATCGGAAGCACTGCAGTTCCTGCCTCCAGCAGTGGGCATTTACAAGCTTTGGGATGAGGCACTCAGGATAGAAAAATCTGGTCCTCTATGGCTTGGAAGTCATTAGCATTCTCCTTCCTCCCCTGCACACTTCTCCCATTTGAAAAATTGTATGTATATGTTTTATGCTGTACAGTGCTCTATATGTCTACTCAGAAGAAAGTCCCATTGAGTTTAAGAGTCCTTTCTTCCAGGTGAATGTGTACAGTACAGAACTTACAGCCTTAACACAATATTGAGTAAAAAAGCATGTTTAAGCTTACGGGAATAAATGCACTCCACTCCACATTAATTGCAAGCAACCAGGAGCAGGAAGACAAAGGCAAATCCTAAGCATATCTGCTTAAAAGTCTCTTCCAAGTAAGTATTCTTTAAGATTGCATCCTTAATGCCACAAAAGTTTAAGTAACTATATTTCTAAAGCTTTCTTTAAAAATCTGTAAAATCAGTGCTATACGTTCTGTTCTTGAAAAAGTTCACAAAAAACCTGCACTACCTCTATAGATCATAAAAAAGCATTGCACTTCTTCTATAAATGAGAAATCTTATTTTATTGCACCTTTCACTGCGCCCCAAGGGTTGAATATTGTGCTGCATTATTTAAGCAGCTGAAATAGATGAGAAAGCACAATACTTGTTAGCCAAACCACTCCTTAATTCTGCAGCCCTTTAAGTAACATTTATATTCTAACAAGAAGAAACTGTACATTGCATGTCTTACGACACATTCTTCTTCTCACTAACATACAGTTTTAGAAAAATCCAACCATTTTCACTGAAATAGAACCACCTCATCTCAAGAGACATCTGTGCTCTTATTCTCTATTTTCCTACTGGCAAAACAGAAAAATAATAATAATTCTTTTGTTGATAGCCAACTTCAGTCATCTTCAAAGTACACACAGTGAAATCGATAACCTTAAGTATACAAATTTCAGTGGGTCTACTCTGAGGATGCCTACCATTGAATATTGCTCCAAAAATTAGTCCCTAATAATCTGCTATTCTTACAATCAGTGGGGGAAAATAGCAACTGAAATGGTAAATGAAAATGCCACACTTTCTGACTAATTACCTTAAGTTCTATGTACATTTAAATATTTATACATATAATAAATGAAAACAATAATGGAATACAATAATTACATAGCCATATCTTAGGAGCAGGTTCTAACATACAGTACATTAAGAAAAATATTGAATATATTTTCTTATAGAAAATATGTGTGATGCATACAATTGCCAGCAACAGTATATATTCAAGAATAGTTTTGTTTCTTGTGTTCATGCAGAATTACCCAAAAAAGCACTGAAAATAAGAAATCACTTGGGGGGGGGATGGTGATAGTCCAGCAGAGAGTTAGAAGCCCTAAAGCCCATTTCGATGGGTAAGCATGCATAACTGTCTTTCCTACTGAAGATGACCTTTGCTTACAATTTGAGAGTTACCTTTGGAAGTCTGGAATAAATGCACCATGGCTTTTGTAGAGTGAACCTGAGAGTTAACAAGTAAAAGTAGATGTCTCAAGTACATCACTGCAGAATCAAAGAGGTCTGAACAGAGCCTCTTTAATACAGAGTCTGGGAATGAAAAGTCTGGCCTTTCCCCCCTGAAGTACTAAAAATAAGGAAAGCTTTCAGACTTTCCTCTAAGAAGTCCTCTGCGAAAATCGTTGTACAACAAGGATCATATGAGAAGTGCTATCAAAAGACAGAGGAACTTTCAGTGGAGAGTTAATGTTGACTAATGCTGCAATCCTAACTCCACTTACCTGGGAGTAAGCCCCATTGAATTCAATAAGCCTTCAATGAGTCGACATTGTTAGAATCACTGTCTGAATTAGAAACTTTTTGGTTATTGTAATAAAGAACTGAAAGGAAACCTCTCTGGGGTGCAAGTCTGAGCCGTTTGCATGGAGGGCCTGGGCTGCCCAGACAATAAGACCCCCCTCTTGGCCTTGCTGATGTGGTCCAAAGCAAAGCAATACATTTGGCACCAGCTTGGCTGCAGGAGTTGCCAGAAGGGGGCAGACAAGACACCATCCAACTGCCTTTGGGACCACTTTGGATTTACTCTTTAGCCTTTTCTCCTCCCCAATAAGGGTTATTTCACATATGATATTTATATATATTTAGAGAGGGTTTGGGAATATTGCCTCCTCCTTTTTAATTTTCTCTCCTTCTGGATCTCCTTATATCATTTGTTTTTATTGTCATTCTTTTACAGAACTGAAACTCGTGGCCACCTGAGCCCTCAAGTCTGATAAACTATAAATCCAAATAAATATCCCCCCACATTGCTGTAAAAAAACCACAAAGCCATGTCCATAGTGAGCACGAGTCTACAACCATGTGGCATCTTCACATCCAACAGAGCACTAGGGTACACATTTTCCCTCATACATGTCTTTATAAATGTGATGTGTGCAGTCCTTAGAGTAAATCTAGGGGGTGGCTGGGGATATCTCTTTAGAGTTGTGATCAGCTAAGTATGCTACTATTATCTATCAACACTGTTAAATGACTGATCATAAACTGGGATTGCACTGAGAAGTGTATTCTACGGGCTGTATTTTAAGATACTGCTCTCAAAGCAGTAGAGTTTACGCCAACACTTCTGCAAGGACTCAGAAAGAAGTACAGCAAATTATTTCTAAAAAGAACTAGGGGCTAAAGCCTTGTTTCTTGGAACAAATGAGTTCTGAAGGAGCATGAGGTATAATGGCCTTTGCAGAAGAGAAAAAGCTCCAAATACGAGACATTTTACGGCTAGAATTATGTAAAGAAAAAATTACAAAAATTAGTTCATTTGTGTTAAAGATTGGGATCAGAAAGTTGAGTTTTGCAAGATGAACTTGCCTTCCTTTAGTGCAGAATTTTCAGCTGTCTTTCTACTTCTGTGAAGCCCATACTTTCAAGTGTAGAAATCACCTCTTTCTCTGTTCAACATATAAGGCACAGAGAGCAAGGGATTCTGAGCTGCCATTGGAGGCATGGGATAACAGTTCCTGGAGAAACAGTTCAATTGAAAGAGAATAATGCTTTTTTGAATTGCTTCAGGTTCTTCATGTTTTCCATTTAAGAGATACTGGCTCAAGTTCGTAACATTTATCTCCCAACATTTAAGATCTTGGGTCTCTGTAAAAAGAAAAAGAAAAGAAAAAAGAAAGTAGTTAAAAGGATGCAAGCGGATGTCAAAGAGAACAACTACTACCAGACGTTTAGAAGACATCTGAAGGCAGCCTTGTTTAGGGAAGCTTTTAATGTCTGATGCATTACAGTATTTTAATATTTTGTTGGAAGCAGCCCAGAGTGGCTGGGGAAGCCCAGCCAGATGGGCGGGGTATAAATAATGAATTGTTGTTGTTGTTATTATTATTATTATTATTAGCAGAATGGTGACTATTTTGTAAAACAGACATTCCCTTTTGAAGTCACTTCACCATTTCACCCCAAAATTCCCATATGACCTTCCAGTCCTTTTTGATTCCTACTGTTCTATAGAGTATGCTAAATACGAGGATAAGTATATAAAACTATTGACCTTCAGTTGGTGAGTCATGACCCACAACTAGGTCACGCTGTGCCCCCCAATAGATTGCAGGAGCGACACCACCACTTTCCTTAAACTAGAAATGGGCATGCCATTTTACAAAGTATAAGAGAACAGGTCTCTACAGGAAGAGCTTCCAATCAGAATTGTTGGGCCTGGACCTGTCATTAGACAGAGTAAGCAAGCACCCCAGGCAACAGATGTTGGGGGGAATGGCAACAGCCTCCAGCTGTTCCTCCCCAGTCATTCATCTTTTTTGTCACCGGTGAAAATGATCAAGGGGATGGAACAACTCCCCTATGAAGAAAGCAGATAGAGAAAAGCTATTATCCGTCTCGTTACACTAGACCTCATGGACATCCAAATGCCACTGAATGTTTGACAATTCAAGATGGGATAAAATACATTACTTCTCTATGTAATGGGTAGTTAAACTACGGAACTACGGAAGCAGTGATGGCCACCAACCCAGATGGCTTTAAAAGGAGATTAGACAAATTTCCGGAGGATAAGGCTGTCAATGGCTACTGGCCGTGATGTTCCATCACTGTCAGAGGAAGTGTGAATACTGCAGGTGGACAGAGTGGTGTTGAGCTCAGGTCCTGCTTTCATGCTCCCACAAGCATCAGTTGGCCACAGGGAGGACAGGATGCTGAACTAGATGGGTCATTGGCCTGATCCAACAGGCTCTTCTTATGTTCTAATACTGGGCATGCAGGTGGCCTACCCATATAAATTAGTCTGCTGCCTCAGATGAGGATACTATCTCATGACCAGGCTTCTGTATCTAGTGTTTTTGCTTCAGGCAGTTACCAGGTTGGCTGGTGACTACATGCCTTTCTTCTTTCCTGCATGTAGACTTGCCACACCCTTTCTGGCACACCCCAGAATGCAGAGCTCTCCAGGTGGCCCAGTAGCTCCTTACAACTCATTTGCCTTAATATAAGCTAACGTCTCCCAGATAACATGCTACCTGAAATACGGTTTCTCCTCCTGTCACTTTGATAGATGGTGTCAGCAAATGTTGGTGCTAGTATTTTGACAAGGCAATGTGGCATTTGAGAGTACGTGTACTGTTAGAGGGCCTAGAAATTCCATCTTGCTCCAAAATAACCTGAACTTGTTAACGTTTGTGTCAACAAGGGTGAGGGGTGCGGAGACACCCTTCACAGTCCCTCAAGGGAGGAGCCCAGATTTTACCAGCTCCCTGTAAATGAGAAGATTGTGTAAGCAAGGAGCCACCCATTTCCACTGGTTGGTCTTTTCCACTCATGGCTGCTCTCTCTCTCTGAATGTCTGTCTGTCTGTCTACATCCCCGCCACCCCCTTGTCCCACTTCCTCCTTCACAGTGGTACAGTGCTGGGTTCTGCTTTTCTAACAATTTGCTGACTCCATTCCTTTAGCATTCTCATACTTGATCAGCTCACTGCCTGCTCTGCACTTCTGCCTTTCTGCTGCCTTTGGAAGGGCTAAATGTGGAGCGCTGGTAGTAAATGAGTATTTGTGGAAGGTGGGAATTTCCTTAATGATTTCTTATATTAATCAGGCACTGACTTTGACCCTTTACAAGCGAGGGGGGGGGGGGGGGGGGGTGCTTTGAGGCATCTTGGTTTTCTTAAAGTGATCTAGTGAGGAAAAATCCCAAACAGTTCTAAGTTTCCACAAATATGTGGTTCAAACTGTGGTTCAGAATTTCCTAGGCTGGGTTTCCTGTAGAGACGAGGTGAAGTGTATTATTGAGCAGGGGGAAACACTGCCCAGTCTAAAACTGCATATTTACGTTACGTCAGAATGAGTCTCCCATATATTTAATGCTTACAGATGTGGTTTAATGCAAATTTGTGACTGTATTGAAAGGTTATTTATTATAATATAATGACAGAGGACATTAATTTTACTTTGCTTTCACTCATGGGCAACAGTGAAGAAAAAACATTTCTGCTTCTGAGAGAATGTCATTTATGACAAGGGGAGGGGGAAAGAGGGGCTAAAAGACCACTAGTTATTCCTCCTTTTTGCACTCTAAATCTTTATCCACATCCTGATTCAGTGGCTGCATTCAAACACAATGCTAAATCATAGCTTAACATTACACAAACAAGCCTCAGACTTTATAACTTGCTGGGACTGTGAAGAGTTCAGAAGCTTTTGCTTCTATTTTCAACTAACTGCAGTTTGTTGTTATGGGTGAACCCAGAAACACTAGTCAAACTTAACTACGGTTTAGTGAAAGAAGCCATCCTCAAAGCACAATTTCCAAGCCTGTCTTGTTTCCCTAAACCACAGTTTGGATAGTCACAACTCTGTTGTTAGGGTTTTGCCCTAATAACAAACCAAGGGTAGCTGAAAATGGAAGGGAAAGTTTCTAGTCTCATTGTGGGAAAAGAAAGCCCAGAAGCCTCAGGTTTGTGCATGGGATGCTAAATTACATGCCTGCCACAACCGTGGCAGGAAAATCGTGAGGAAAATACAGATGAGGAGGAAATACGGGCTGCTCTATTCAAGGGAGGGGCTCCCTCAGTGCCTCAGATCTGGGGACTTTTCCATGTTCCTCAAACACAGAGACCCACATCACAGATGAAAAATAATCAGGAAACTATATTATGGGTAGGAACTCACCTTCTATGACCTATACTTTTGAGTCCATTGGCTTCTGAACTCCAAAGGCCGTAATGAAGATATTCACAACCACTATAATAAACACCAGTCCAGTTGTCAGATTATTGAGGAAATCCAGCTTGCCATGTTTTGCAGGATTATTAAGGTCATATTTGACTGCAAGGGGGGGAAATAACAAAAGAAATATTACCAATGAGAAACAAGCACAAATATGAGAACTATGTTGTTGTTATTATTGGAATTCTGCTGGGGGGCCGGGAGAGATATCAGCAAGGGAAGGTAACAAAATTTGTGTGCCAGTAGAACTCAAGAGAGATATGTGCGCCAACTATCCGAATAATAAAAAAGCAAAAAAACATTATTCTTGGATGCTTTTCAGTGGCTGTCTTGACAAAGAATTTGCAATCACAGGCCAATATGTGAAGTAGTAGGTGAAATGAAATGCTTTTTTTATTAAGGAAATGATTACTTTAATCATCCATACAAACTAGGCTTTATCAACTACAACAGCCAGGGAAACTTTTTCAGCCTGAGGGACATTATTTTTTAGTTGGCAATCTTCGGAGGCCACAAGCCAGAGGCAAACTGTGGGTGGAGCAACTGCTGGAGTGCTTTTCTTTGCATAAGTGGGCTACATTCCAGCCACAAAAGCCAGGTTTCTACACATACACACTCACACACATGCACCTGTCCCTGTTCTCCATCCAGGCAAGCATTGCCACAGTTCAAGGACACCTTCAAGTTCTTGAGGGTGGCTTGGAGCAGGCCTGGTGAGGAGGTGTGGCTTGATAGGACATGACCTGAAGAGAACACCAAATGTTTTACAATTTAAAATATTCATTTAAACAACCTTAAAATATCAGTGACTTCCCTTCTCTTTCCATGGTTCATTTTGCATATCATAAATCCCTGCAAATTTTACATAAACTAAACCACTCAGTATTCCATTATTACATCCCTCAAAACTTGTCTACACTGTTGAGTTTATCTTAATGCTGCCAACGATTTCAAGTGTACACAATTCCTCCCCATATATTCAATAAACATTTTCCAGTCTTCTTTAAATGTATGTTCTTCTTGTCCTCTCATTCTATATGTTAGGTCACCAAGCTGTGCATCTTTCATGAGTTGAAGTTGCCACTCTTCTTTAGTTGGGACCTCGCTCGTTTTCAGTTTGGGGGCTAACAAAACATGGGCCGCAGAAGTGGCATACATAAATGACCTTTTTTGACACCTGGGAATTTCCGTCTGAGTTATCCCCAACAAAATGGACTCTGGTTTTTTGGGGGAAAGTACTTTTAAATTTTCAATTCATTATGGATTATTTCCCAATACTCTTTTACCTTTTACAGGGCCACCACATTTGAAAGAATGTTCCCTCAACCTCACTGCACCAGGCCTGAGGTCTTCTATCCTAAGCTAGAATGTTTCTAGAGTTTCCCTAATTTTATGTGACATTTTGTCATTTGCTTTGCTTTATCCATTTCTTGCTACCTTGTTACCAGAGGCAGTGCTGCTTAAGATTATTTAAAAGCCTCTACCACAGGTTTCTTCCTGGTCTCTCCGACCTTTGAATTCTAAATGAGCTCACTGCTTACCTCCTACTGCTTTATTTTTTACTAAAGAAAACATTTATGCCTGCTCAACTAAATGACATGGACTTGCAAGCGATGGGCTTCAGTTGTGTGAATCACAATTACCTGCTGTTTTCTTGCATTTTTTCTTTGCCTGAGTGGCTGAGGTGGAAAGAGAGCAGGATGAAAAGAGAGATGGGATTTGCATCGTGTTATTTTTACTTTCAGGTTTTGAAAAATGTATAAATGGGCCGTATTAAATATGCATGCTCTTGTATGGAATTGCATGAAGTCTGAAGGAACTGCTCCACATTTGGAGAGAGTGAAGGCTCTCCTCAGATGACCTTCTATGAGCAGATTTTCCATAAGGCAGGAGAATACTAGGGCAACTTGAGCAGTGATGGTTTTGTCTTGTTTTTCCTACCACAGAAATTTGTGAGATGGAAACTATTGTGAGAATATGAATGGGAGAAATTGGCATTAGCAAAGACTTAGCACCAAAGTCTCCTCTTATTTTGAATTGTTTAAAGTGGCTTGTACAAAATAAGAAGCACAATAAAAATTCCAACTACACAGATTCTTCATGTTTTATAAATACTGCTTTTCAAAATGCTCTCACTTGTCTGGAAACAATGTAAAATTGCTTAATATTTAATTCATAGTTTTAAAAATAAAGTTTGCACAGACGTGAGGCAGAATCTAAAGAATCAGTGAACCATGACCCATGGGTGCTATATGATGTGAACCTCCCAGTCCTCCGAAATTAAACCCGGCCACATTTCTCCACAATCAAATTCCTAACCATGCAACAGACCAGACTCTCCTAATTGCCAGAACACTGCATTCTATGAGGAATTAGGAGTAATAAGGGAGAAACGAGGCTCAGTTATTTCAGTATTCAAATGTGATAAGCTGTTGATACAGCACAATCAATCTATTACAGAGCAGAGTACTATGAAAAAAAATAGTAACAAAGTTCAATCAACGAAGAGCAAGATACTTTTTTCAAAAGCATTAGGCAGGATGGGTAACATAGCCTCATATTGAGACAGATAAAAGCACCATGAAGTGACTGGAGAGGATCCAAAAATGCTTAATTTTAAATTCAGACTTTTCAAAATAAAGTTTGCAGCTGATATGATATGAACCATGATTCAAAGAAACTGTTGAGAAATGCCAGATTGAAGCATGTGCAGGTTCAACGAAATCTCTTTTTCTTTATTTGAACAGAAGACTTCCCATATTACATCACTATCAGCTTTGGAAACTCCCAAAAATTTCGAAAGCGATATCTTGTATGATGGGAAGAGCTGCTCTCTGTGGGAAATGCGTGCCCTAAAATTAACTTTGGTGTACAGACTCAATCATGTGGATGCTATCCTCTTTCTTCTAAAATCACAATGATTCCAAGAAATGCAAGCAGTCCAGAGTGACTGCTATTACACAACATGATTTTTAAGAGCTGACACAGCTGTTAGAAAAATAATAATACTGTAATGCTCTAATCAATGAGGTGGGCTGCTGGCAGGAAAGAAACCAGTGAGCTCAGGGTGTAACTCCCTGGTTTATGCATTCAGACATCACCCAGTTTCTGGTGATTCACCAGCACTGGAGATATAAAGTATGGGTTTGATTATTTCTTTTAAAATGCAACACTGTCTATTAACAAAGCCAGGCTCCGAGCTTTCAGAGGGAATTGCAGTAATCTTATTTCATTATTGTAGTACTACACAATAGAGCTAAACTTGAAACCATTCTTAAGTACAGGTATTGTTAAGCATTTTATTATAGTAATCCAATCCCACTGTCATTTCATGTAGCCTAATCTATTTCATCCCCCTGCCAATGAAAAAGGTCTTACAAAAGGGTTTTTGGTACTACAGAATCTATGGGACGAATGTCTGTATTTGGTTGCCTGATGAATAAATTTGAACTTCAGTGCCACCAAAAGGAGACATTCCACATTCAGAGCGTTTGCTCTCTCTTTCTTTTAAAGTGTGATCTGGGCAGGTAATCTTGGCATTTTAAAACAGGTTAATAGTTCGCTTTAGCTCAATTCCCAATTCAACTTGGATCAAGGAAAGCAAATCTATGCTCTCATTTGCAGCATGGCAATACAGGACACAGGGGTGAAGGATTTAAACTTCTCTGGCCCTCGCAATTTAAAAGACAGATACAGTGGTACCTCGGGTTACATACGCTTCAGGTTACATATGCTTCAGGTTACAGACTCCGCTAACCCAGAAATAGTACCTCAGGTTAAGAACTTTGCTTCAGGATGAGAACAGAAATCGCGCAGCGGCGGTGCGGGAGGCCCCATTAGCTAAAGTGGTGCTTCAGGTTAAGAACAGTTTCAGGTTAAGAATGGACCCCCAGAACAAATTAAGTTCTTAACCTGAGGTACCACTGTAAAGGGGGAGGGGAAGAGTCCTACTGCTAAAATATAGGCTTGGAATCTGGCAAGAGAAGCTGCCAGGCCACATTTGGAACAAAACATCTCTCTGGCTACGGATCTGACCACTTCCTTCCTTCACTTTCTGCCCTAAAATGAACAGGCCTGATAACAAGCAAAGTGAGCTGCTCCTCTAAACCTCTCAATATCACTGTGTGGATAGGGGGGAAAGTAGCCCAACATTTGGACTACGCAGTTCTACCCTGAATCAAGAAAAATGATTACTGAAGGCAAACTTTGAGGTGAAACTGAGGCTGCCAATAAACCAACGTTTTCAACCCTGCCTTTTGTACTGGATGGGTATGCAGGAATCTTTTTGCCCAATGTGGGGCTTGAACCCATGACGCCAGGATTAAGAATCTCATACTCTACCAACATTATTTGTTACGTATTTAAAATCTATTTTTTAAAAAGTGTAAAAGTGCTTTTTAAAGCCAAGCCCTCACAACGTGCTTTCATTTCATACAAACAAAATATAAAATCACAGCATTTGATGAAAACTTCCAGTTGGGTATTGTCAGGGAACTGACATCGGAACGGGAGGCGAAGGGGAGGCTCCTAGATGATGCTGGAGAAGGACCCAGCAGCAGGGGGAGAAGCAGCTCAGTGGAGGGGGAAGCATTTAAGCGCAACACCAGGAACAAAGGTGGGCAGATGGGGGATCGGAGAGAGGGCTCCCGGACTCTTCACTGGAACTCAGTGAGGAGGGGACAGGTCCTCCGCTACCTACGCCCTCCCTGCGCAGAAGGCTCCCGCGCAGTGAGAGGAGGAGGAGACTGGGTGTCAAACAACTCTTATGTTGGAAGAGATTCAAGAAACGCCCACTGACGGATTCTGCCAGTGACTGAGGCAGTCATGATTAGAAAGGGCTGTGCAGTCAGAAAGGTTTAACAAGGCAAATTAGCCTAGAGAGGCACCAGTTTACGCACGAGTAACTCATACTCATCACAGGTATAGACTCATTCTTCTGCGAAAAGTGGATTTTTGGAGGGGGGGGGTTAGGGAGGATAGGTGGCTGTATGGAGAAAGAGGAATTGCCCAAAACTGCCTTCTCTGCTTTTGCTCTTGGGAGCATTTAGTTCAGAGACGTCTGCTCTGAGCAAATTTGGATCTGACTCAATGTTCCACAAGGTGTCTGAGAAACATTATCCCCTTCCTGACCAGCTGACATGGAGGGGGACAGCATCTTAAGTTGCTTTTGTTCCTTATAAATTGACTTCATGTTTATACTTTCTAAACAGATGAACATTTGTTTCATTTCTGAATGAACCAAGCATAGTAGCACTAGTAATTTGGAACAATTTTCCTATTGCAATCAGACAAGCATCTACAATCCTGATAGTTTGTTGCCTGCTTAAAACATTTTCGTTTTCCTCATCAGAGAATGAATTTTATTCAGTGTTGGTCACCTGTTGTGCATTTTATGGTTTTATAATTATTTAATTATGATATTTTATGATATTTATTATGAGCTGGTGGTTTATAAATATTCTTTAAAAGTAAAAGCAAAATGTGGTCAGTGACTGATTATCTCCTGTTGCAGAAGCAGAAATGTCATTTAGCTACTTTCGTAAGTACCCTGGAACATTATGTAATAGAAAACTATTGTGACGTTGATAAGTTGCCCAAGGGAATCCTGTATAATAAACCCATTGTGGTGAAAGGCTATACAAGCTTTGGAGTTTTCCAGTCACAAGTCCTTGGCTTCCAAGCCATATTTACTACTTTCCTTTTCAAAACCTTGGAAGGCTTGCTTTTGAAGCAATTACTTTTATTTCCTAATGAGACTATAGTGTTGTAATGCTACAAGCCAAAGTAAAACTATTTATAGAGAAAATGACAGAGTAGTTAAAATACTGAGTATGACTTCCTTAGCATGGAAGAAGAGTATAGTTCAGATGGAAGAAAAGTATAGTTCAGGGTACATAAATTCAGGGTTTGGAAGGACAGTTCCTATATACTTCTTGAGCTAAAAATTACTCCTCAGAAACAAATGTTATAACTGTAGTCTTTTGATACTTCTTTTCCGCAACATGAATGGTAAAATTCAGGAAAGCTTTCAGAAAAGAATATATTTAGTATCTTATTTCAGTAAATATTTCATGTAAGTAATTCCATGGCAACCTTGCAAAATAACGCAACAAAAGTTACTGTAGCATTTGCTCATATATTTCCTAACCTGCACATGTTCGTGGTCTGATGGAAGCCTATTTTCTTCATGAATGGGAACCCTGATCACACAGGGCATACAGTCTGCTTTCCTTTGTTGATGTCCCTCACAAGTGTGGGGATACGACCTGTGAGGGACCTATGGATTAGGCTAGCAGTTGGCTCCACCTTCCCCATTGACACAACTGCAATAACATCAAGGGGACTACCTGAAAGGGGCTAATCAATAATATTCTTATTCAAAGAGAACTGGTCCTATATTGTATTTATTCATGTATTATATGTATTCATTTTGTCTCTCATGCAGTGCATAGAATCTGATAAGAACACGATGATGATGATGATGATGATGATAATAATAATAATAAATATAATAATATGCCCATCCACTTACATGGAACTATTTAAAGGAACTTTGTATAAGAGTAGGATATAGCTATTTTTTAAAGAAGTTTCTTTTTACATGCCCATTTTAAAATGGAAAAATGAACACCAAGATTGTAACAATTATTTTTGTAAAATATGAGCATGCCTCTTTTGAAACAGAGAAATGAATACTATAAATGGCACAAAATCAGAAGAAATTCATGTGACTATACATACCAAGGAATATTAGAAGCACGCCTACTATGATCTGAAGTGAGAGTGAGATGCCGATGAGGACAACAAGTGGAACGTAGGTTGAAAAGGTAGGTCCTTGGTCCACAACTGCTTTGAGCTGGGATGCATTCGCCATAAGCAAAGCAATGTCCAACATACTTTCTGCCGCACTCTTCTTATTGGCATAATGGTTGATGTTAATTTGTCTGTTTCTCTGCAGCCATTGTGTTCGAGGCTGAAAGGCACAACATTTCAAAGAGTCATGATTCAGGCAGCATTAGAAGCATGGTCAGAGTGTGATAATACCCTGTTTCCTATAAGCTACAGCTGTGTTTAAAAGTACATTATATGGGAAGCAGGTTGCACAGAACACATTTCAACTAAGCAAGTGAAGAGGGCCTGGCTTTGAGCAGTGCTGAGATGGGAAACCCCATATAAGCCCTTCTGTGTTCTCTGGCAGGACAGTGTGACATAAATACAGAACACCAACTGGTCATGGTTGTTTCATGGTTGAAAGCAGCTCTCCTTCACAGTTTGAAAAGTTATATTCTAGGAAAAAGTGAGTAAGATGGATATTCATGTAAAGTCCTGGTTAAACTGTAGGAAGTAAGAGCTTCAGAACTACTTGGAGAAAGTTGCACTGTTTGACAAAGATAAGTTTTATACTCTGCTGCCTGTAGCTATTTTTTAAATCACCAAACATGCCCCATCACAATAGCAGAATGAAGTTTATTACCACGATTTGGTTTACACTAACAAGTTTAGTTAGGATTGCCATATCCCAAACAGTGAAAATCTGGACAGAAAAGTTGTTGTGTTGTTTTTTTTGTTTGTTTGTTTTTTGCAAAGTTGTCAAGCTTTTCTGGAAAAATCACAAAAACTTGCCTTTTTTTGGCAATTTTAATGGGCTGCCATGTGGCCAGATTTTCCTGGACATTTTTGCTGGTTTCAGCCCAGACACTACAGTATTCCAAATAGGATGTATGGCAACCCTATTAGTGTTGAGATTTGTCCTTTCAAACATTTGATGAAATCTTCTGTAAGTTATACATTTCATCAGACCTTAGGTTTCTAAAGTGTCACACATTGCGCCACAGATGCCCTCAGCCTGCCAGCCAATCTGTGGTTAGCTCAACCACCCCCACATACATACGAAGTGGTTTCACTTTTGCCTTTGTCGGCTCGCCCCATCCCACCTGCCAAGACAGATGGCCCTTCCTTCTCTGTCTCCTCACTTTGCCTGTTCCAAAGGGAAGAGCGCCCCCTCCATGTCTGTGTCGGGCTGCAGCACCAGCCCTTCCCTCTGCCATGTGCTTCTGTGCCCCAGCATCTATGCCACCTTGCAGCTTCCTATAAATAGTCATGTCAGCATCCTTTCCCTATCCCAACGTCTTGACATTTGTTTGGAAGAAACTGTAGTTTGGGTCTGTTCTAATACTTATGGTAAATTAATTCCTGGCACAGGGTGGAATTAAAATCAGGTTGAATGAGAGACATCCTGTCAAATGACAATGGCTGATCAGAAGCTCCTGCTCACAAATCATTGCTCCTCTACCCCTGTTGAATATCTGAATATCAAAGGATATTGTGGGCCTCACCAACACATCAGCAACCTGCTTGAGGCAAATGCGGTTTCCCTCACTGTAGCATGGAAGGGGCTCATGGGAAATGGAACATTGACCTGTCCATCATGAGCCGGTAAATTTCAGTTTACCAAGCAAAAAGTTAACAAGGTGTGCAATTAAGCATCCAGTAAGCTTGTTAATTGTGTCACCACAGATCATGTATTTGCAGTAAAATGTAGTTGGAGATTTTTCCTAACAGCATAAATCAGTTTGATGGGGTTTTTTTCCTGCTGACTTCCAACATGCCCTTCTCCTTTCTTTCACTTTTATTTGAGCTCTAAATTGGGGGTAAGGAACTCTCCTTGAGAAGCGTGACACTTCAGTATTGCTGCAATGCAATGCAATGTGCAGTGAGGGGGGTTTTTGTGTGTGTGTTTTTGGAAATTTCCCAGTATGACTCATGCTTTTCAGTTTACAAGAACATACTTTCTGGGCAGAAAGAAATTATATGACTAGTTACAAAACATAAAAGAAGTCAGTGTTTCACACTAATGGAAAAAAAAGATAATTTAATAGGGTAAATTTGCCCTAATTTCAGAGTATCTTCCTATATACATAAAAACGTATGACTGTCATCACGCTAGCACTCTTGTGCACATGCGCAGCTGGCCAAAGCGGGAACAACTTTGGCATTTGTGTGTGAAAGGAGAGGGGACCATGGGAGCCAAGGTGTCCTGAGGGAAGCCTATCTGCTGCCAGTGGATCTTTTTGCCATTAAACAGGGTCAGTTCCACAGGGACCTCCATGAATGAGGACAGCAACATCCCACACATTCTTAAAGGCATGGACAGATAGCGCATCTTTCCCTGGGCAGGCAGAGGCTTCACCTGCTTCCTGTGCCCTACCCTAACCTATGGACCACATGCATTTAGTCTAAGGAAGAAGAACAGTGCTGCCAGGAAAACAGGAGTGGTATATATGGCAGGAGAAGGAGTACATATGTACCTCCCCTGACCCATGCGAGCCACTGGGTGGAAAAGAAGCAATAGCTCCCTGGTCATTACAGCTCTCTTTTTTGCATTTCTTCCTGCCCAACACACCTCCTGATGGGTGGAATGGAATAGGATGGGGTAAGACAGGGCTAGGAGAGGAGACAGGAAATGATTAGAAGCAGTTATAAGAGCAGGACGCAAAAGCTGCATTGGCTCTGCAGAAAGGAGGAATGGGAGAGCTTAAGGCCAAACAGAGCTGGGGTGGTGAACTTTGTGGGCGTCTCTGAAGCAGAGACTGCTGGGAACAGGATGCTGTGCCATGTGAACTTTTGGTCCTACTCCATCAAGGAAGCTCTGAGTTGTGGGGGAAGTAGAACTTCAATGTGCAATATTTTGGCAAGCATTTCCCAACATTTACTTAATAAACAGGTTTCTGACCTTCTTGCAGAATATACACACTTGGGCAGACCTTCCCTGCAATCAAAATATCTAAGGCTAAGAGGGGACCCCAATATCCGGACCCTGAAAACTTTCATCTATATTTCCAAGTTACACATATGTACAGCATGTACAGTACTTTTATCCTACTGTCATCTGGTAAACACTGGCCCTGGATCAACAAAATCTCATTAAACATTTCAAGCCTATGAAGAACTTGTGGAAAAAAAGAATATTGTTTTATGGTTGAGTCTTAGGAGCTGGACCAAGTCAGATGTTATCTTGTTTCATAGGAACAGGATGCAGAAATTCTCTTGTTCCATTATTGACTCTGGTGAAACAGATTTTGCAGAGTTTTGAGGCATTACAGAAACATTAAAATCTGTGAACAGAGACAGCAGTGGATGAGGGTGACACAAGACAGAAGACAACAAAGCTTCTATGACGCCATCTGGAAAATAAATATATTGTCTTTCCCCAGCCATTAGCATTCCACTTCATTTTTGCTTTCTTGCCTCACTAAAGAGGTACAAGTCTTCTTGTTATTATAAACCATGGGTAGGCAAACTAAGGCTTGGGGGCCGAATCCGGCCCAATCGCCTTCTAAATCCAGCCCGCAGACGGTCCGGGAATCAGTGTGTTTTTACATGAGTAGAATGTGCCCTTTTATTTAAAATGCATCTCTGGGTTATTTGTGGGGCCTGCCTGGTGTTTTTTTACATGAGTAGAATGTGTGCTTCTATTTAGAATGAATTTCTGGTTTATTTGTGGGGCATAGGAATTTGTTCTTACCCCGCCCCCCCCCAAATATAGTCCACCCCCCTAAGGTCTGAGGGAGTGGACCGGCCCCCTGCTGAAAAGGTTTGCTGACCCCTGATATAAACTAAATGCATGTGTTTCCCCACCTCCCTGCTACTGCCCCATCCTGCCCCCCGCCCCCCGTTATTAGAACTTTTTTTCAAGTTACATTGGTTTTTGTGCAAATACACCCACTTTTTTGAATATCATCTTTTTGCACATCTGTGCATGTGGGATGATGTAGGGTGGGGCATACTCCTTGTTAAAGTGAGGTCAGGGGTCTTGATTTGTTAGTATATTTATACATTGTCCAAGCAGCTCAAGACGGCATACACCATCCACTTTATCCTGATAACAGTCTGTGAGATGGCTTAGGCCAGCCGAGGTCACCCATTAAGCTACATGGCAAAGTAGGTCTCATTTGAATTTGGGTCTCCCTAGTCTAACTCTCTAACCACTGCACCACACTGACTCCCCCTCCCGCCCCCTCTGGGCCCATGAACACAATCTGCCCTGCATTTTTGAGAGATCTGTAAATGACCCTTCATAGTATTTATCCAGGTTTCTATCAGGAATATACATTTCTGATGTCTTTTTGGGATAAACAAGTGCATACATGAAGAAAACACACAAATATTAACTGTTGGACAAGAAGTGAAATAAAATCAAATGCTGCAAACAACAAAGTCCAGCACTGAGATACTTTTTTTTTTTAGGAAGTGAGGCAGAGCTGGGCATCTCCCTCCTGCCTAATTCCCGGAACAGGAAAATGTTTTCATTTCTGATTGCTTGCATCAAAACTGCTGAAACAGCAGGGTAGTGGGGGAAAGAACTGAGACTTATGTTTGAGGGAGATATTACAGGGAGGAGGGAGAGAACATGCCAGTCGGGCATTTCTCTCTGCCAGGGTCCTACTCAAGTGTAGGAAGAGGTGCCTCCCTGCAGCTCCAATGCAGCAGCCCATTTCAACCTGAAAGAAAATCATTTCCCACTCCTTATTTTGGGGCTGTATGTTGGTCTTCACAATTATAAGCCTATGATTAGCAAACATACATTTTAATACTAGCTGCTTTTCTGGTGGATTAGACTTCTTGTTTACTTATAATGTTTTTGGAACCATGAGATGTACAGAATTATTTTATTAGTTTTGAAACTGTGATCTGTGTTGTTTAGCTCTTCCTTGTTCTCTTTTTAACTAGCCTTTTCTTCTAGAAAAAGCTTTACATCTGTTAAGCACTTAAAAGTGGTGTTTTAATCTTGGCATGTGGGTGGGTATTGTTCTGGTTAGCATCTTGCGCTCTGTTCCCATCAAGCATATGTTTTCTTACTATCATGCTCATCTGCTTCTTATTCACTTTCCCAACTTTGAGCATTTAAGAGCTAAGGCAGGGCTATATTAATGGGATGTGACATGGCTCCTCAAGGTAGTATGGCTCTATGTATGCATTGTCATCTATAAGTTAAGCCCTGGCTTAAACAGAATCAAGACCTGAACTGCTTTTAAGATATCCAGTTAAACTCTAGCTATGTGTTTCTTTGCCTCTTCAGAAATCAGTGACTTTTTCCAAAAGCATGTCTGAAAAACATAGTACAGATCAACATAAAGAAACAATTCACTTGTAGCAAATGCAAATTTATTAGAATTAAATTGGAAATCTCAAACACTTAATTACCACAATAAACTGCTTCCCAGAATACATGTCTTTTAACATCCATATTCTATTTAGATCTTTTTTTTTTTTTTGGATTCTTAAGTAATGCTTAAGACTCTTGATCTGACCACCTCATCTGTCTCCTGAGAAATCTCTATGTGGGACAAGAAGCAACAGTTAGAACTGGATATGGAACAACTGACTGGTTCAAAATTGGGAATGGAGTACGACAACGCTGTATATTGTCTCCCTGCTTGTTTAACTTATATGCAGAATACATCATGCGAAAGGCTGGACTGGATGAATCCCAAGCCAGAATTAAAATCCGTATAGTTAAAGCTATGATTTTCCCAGTAGTGTTATATGGAAGTGAGAGCTGGACCATAAAAAAGGCTGGTGCTTTTGAATTGTGGTGCTGGAGACTATTGAGAGTCCCATGGACTGCAGAAAGATCAAACCGATCCATCCTGAAGGAAATCAACCCTGAGTGCTCACTGGAAGGACAGATCCTGAAGCTGAGGCTCCAATACTTTGGCCACCTCATGAGAAGACTCCCTGGAAAAGACCCTGATGCTGGGAAAGATTGAGGGCACAAGGAGAAGGGGACGGAAGAGGACAGTGTTCTTGAAGCTACTAACATGAGTTTGACCAAACTGCTGAAGGCAGTGGAAGACAGGAGTGCCTGGCGTGCTCTGGTCCATGGGGTCATGAAGAGTCAGACATGACTAAACAACAACAAGAAGAAGAAGACTCTTGATAGGAATTTGCACTAGGGAAGCTAGTAAGCCTGTGGTAAAGTCAGCGGCGTAGCATGGGTTGTCAGCACCCGGGGCAAGGCAAGTAATTTGCGCCCCCTAACCCGGGGCAAGGCAAGTAATTTGCGCCCCCTAACCCCTAACCTGCCGCCGCTGCCAGCTTCTTCTTGCTGCTGCCTGGGCTGGTCTGGTGTGATTCTCTCCCGCGCTCAGCGCTGCGCTGGGCGGCCGCTGCACTGTCCCTCCCCCAGATATAGTCCCTCGCTCTCTCTCCGCACCGCACGCCTGGCACCCACCCCCTCCACAGTGGGTGGCGACCCAGCGGCTCGGATCGGATTCGCACAGCCAGCACTGCAGTGAGTGAGCCAGGTAGGGGCAGAGAGCTGCGAGTGCGAGCGCGCCCCCCCCCCCGATGTTGCGCCCGGTGCGGCCGGCCCCCCCTGCACCCCCCACGCTACGCCACTGGGTAAAGTATGATTTAAATGCTATATTTTTCCATCTATAAGATGCCCCCATGTATAAGACGCCCCCTATTTTTGGGGATTCAGATTTAAGAAAATGTGAGGAGATGTATCCATGTATAAGACTCCCCCTCATTTTTGACATTATTTTTAAGGGGAAAAACCTAGTTTTATACACGGAAAAATACTACAATGAGAAGATTTTCCTTTATAAATAAAGCCTGTTAAAATATTTGACTACAATCTAGAAGAAATGTGGACCATAGCCCACTTCCCTGCTTCTCTACATAGTCCCCACGTGAACTGGAGACTTCCACGTTTAATGGTTGTAACAGTGATGATGTGCCAAACCATAGATTTACAGTAACAGATAGTTAGGCCGTTAAAACTGCGCAGAACCGCTCTAGAGAACTTGTCTACAAAATAGCTTCATCACAAAGAAGGTACATAGAAGCAGCCGTGACACAATGGACCATTCACACCAGTACCTAACTATCTTTTGATTCTTTCACATTACACAGAGAGTTTCTATGCCAGCAGCACATTATTATGGCTGGTGCTGAGACAGAAACTCACCACAGAATAATTATGCGATGGATGATTGCACACAGTACATGAAGACTCCCATCACATGGAGACCATTTCCAGCTTCTGTTTTATAAGGAAGGTAACATGTAGACAGTCTCACCCCCAAATCCTGCATGTGTGACCTCATGGGGGAAAGTATAAGCTGCAGGCTTGCTTATGCCGAGACTGCACCTGGCCTTCAAATGTGAAGCTCAGTGGTTTTAAATGAATAACCCCACCCTGTTATAACAAACATTTGATTCAACATAGCGAGGACTTGCGCCATTCCCTTAAAAGTACATATTTAAAAATCTCCTTTTTTGAAACAAATTTCAAGCAAACAAAACATTTTTTTTAAGTATTCAGAGATTTCGATCCTGATTATGCAAACTCCAGAAACAGTACTCCTGAAGCTCTTGTACTAATAGGGAAAGGTTTGCAGGGAAATTGCTGCATTTCACACTCACAGCAGTGCAGTTGTGTCCTTGCATTATAGTAGATCCACATGTGAAAACATTCCCATCTGTAGGTCAGACTTCCTGAGATGAATGGCAGTTTCTCAAAATATGGCCTTTACATTTTATATCCTGTCTATATGTCAAGGTCTTAATTTACTCAGGAATATTCTCTTGGAAGATGTTCCAAAAAATCATATCCAGCAGAATCTTGCTGTGGCTTGTGGGCATACTATTATGTTGCAGAAGCACTCATGCCTGCACATAGACCTACATTTGCATAAGATCAGAATATAAACAGGGATCTGAGTCATAGGATTAATGTTATGACACACAGGCATTTTCTAATGCCTTCACGCATGGAGTAATTAGCTGAAAGTCAAATTCTACCAGACTAGCAGTTCTGTGCTGCTAGCGATTGCTTTCATACAAATGAGAACCACTGAACTGTGTGCAGCTGCCTTATGAAAATGTATATATAATAAAAATGGTTAGCTAGTAAGCCTAATTGTTTAATTCTGCATGGTAAATTTGGTATGCAAGTATGCATTTCTGGCCCAACTAATATTACCACTGGCCTTCAGAACGGATTGAATTGGGCAGGGCGAGGGGGAGGGGGGAGGCTGGTGGAATGCAAAACTAAACCTTCCATAAATTATTGATTGATTGATTGATTGATTGTAATTGTTATATATTTAACTCACTCTGTCCATTCTTTACTTACACACCTGATCAGAAGTTACTCAAAACACTCATGTGGGGCAGGGGAAGAAAAATGAGCTTGGGGGTGTGAACAGGGTGCTTGGAGATATGTAGGCTACCACTTGCCAGTTAATTAGCAATTAACCCTTGCCTTTTAATTAGTTTGTTTATAAAAAAAAATACTTATATGCCAAATTTAATTTTAAAAAGCAGTTTTCAACTGTTATACAAACTGTTGTAAATAAAACCACATAATCCCCTCACAAATTAAAATCACAAATTACTAGCTAGCTATTCCAAAAAAATATCGTTCCTAATTGTCTGCATAAGCCTGGCAGCATAACAAAGTTTTCAGCAGACATTTAAAAGTTAATGCAGAAGGTGCCTGCCGAATATCTACTGGAAGAGTTTTCCACAGGACTGGGATGATAACACAAAGACTTGGTTTCATGTCGACATCAGATGAGCCTCCCCAACTCAGGACACAATCAACAGTGATCTTGGCGACAGAGCTGGGATATAAGGGTTCAGGTGATCCCTAAAGTACCATGGACCTCATAAATTGTTCAGGAATGCTGAACAGGTACTTCTCTATCCTAGGACAATATGATCTGCAGTATGACACTTGATTTGTACTTGATCACTACCAGGGCTACGACTCTAGTGATCACCAGTGGATCTCCACAGATTCTAGAATTCTCAAACCATCACTACTTCTAGTTCTTCTTTGCAATAATTCAGTGTCAGCTTATTTGTTTTCATTCAATTTTCCATGACCACCAAAACTCACTTTATGCTCTAAGACTGCTGTTCCTGGATGTGAAGAATATAGAGGTGAGTGTCAACAGAATGCTGCTAACATTGCACTCCAAAACTTCAGGGTCTCTCTACAAACGGTTTCATACAGATGTTAAAAATGGCTGGGATAAAACCATTTAAGTGCAGATAGTTGCAGAGAACTAAAAATAACAGTTGGCCGGTGGCTATTTCAGAAACTGTCCTGCCAGAGAGAAGAGGAACCACTTAAAAGCGGTCCCCTAACTCTTGGCAGGTCGATCAGGTACTCAAGTGGACTGCCATGGTCTTCTAGATCAAAAGCTGTTGACAGGTCCAGTAAAATCAAAAAGATTTTACAACTTCTCAGCCTCCAGGCACCACTCATTCACCATGGCAAATAAAGCAATCTCAGTCTGAGGACCAAACCAGAAACCAGACTAAAGCATATCAAAAAAATGTCTACCACCCAAAGTTGCTTAGAGTTGCAAAATAAACTACAAGTTCAATCATGTTTCCCCCAAAAAGGTGAACTAAGAAACCAATCAAAAATTTGAGGATTCGCCACCAGCCAATAATCCATTTTCAAGGCGGTTATGATGAGAACTCCCACTCTGATAGGCTTATGCTTAAATTTTCTTAGACAAAGAGGAGATTTCTTGAAACACCACGCTTATGAACTGAAAGCCCTTCTCTTGAATCTATGATGGGGGAGGGGGGATTCAGTAGTTGCTCAGTAGTAACTGAAATGCATTCTGTGACTTAGAGGCATTTTCAAGTGTCCACAAATCTACTCAACAAATCACCAGGGACAAATGCTTCTAATCTTCTGAGGAAGAGAACCCAGGAGCACATATCCCCTCCTTGGAGTATTCTTACCCTATTCTAACAACACAAGAAACATCTCCCCACCCCCAAATCTCTTCCAAACTCTAGGGCAAAAGCAGAAGACTTGGGAGACTAACAGGGGTTTATTTCTAAGGTTTGGACAAGAGAACATCTTGTTGATGTTCTCTAAAGTCCAATACAAATGAGAGAGATCCTCACCTCCCTCTCCCAAGTCTTCTGCACTTGCCAGTGGAACTGGGTGAGGGGAGGAAGTTGGTGGTGGGAGCAGGAGCTGACTAGGAAGCCAAAGCCTTGGCCTTTGAATCTATGGCTTTGAATCTGTTCCGCCTTTGTTGTGTGTTGCTTTGAGCTGTGGCACTTAAATGCCAGGGCTGAGCCCTGGTGCACCCTAGCACAAAGGACCTCCTGCCTTTTTCAGACAGGACAAACAGCTCCAATGAGCAAGTGGATACTAGCTCCCCATCCAGCAATATCTCACATCAGAGGGAAAGGGGAACTGAAATTGGATCTAAGGAAATTTGACAAGAGGAAGGGCAAGCTTTTGTATGAAAATCAAAACAAAATGAGCAGGGCAGGGCAAACAGTACCAATGTAATATAATAAATTTGTTGACAAGCTGGAATGCTTGCAGAGGAGGGCAACGAAGATGATCAAGGGTCTGGAAAGTAAGCCTTATGAGGAGTGCTTGAAGGCGCTGGGTATGTTTAGCCTGGGAAAGAGGAAACTGAGAGGAGATATGATGGCCATCTTCAAATATCTCAAGTGCTGTCACATGGAGGAGGGAGCATGCTTGTTTTCTCCTGCTCTGGAGGGTACTACTCAAACCAATAGCTTCAAATTGTAAGAAAGGAAATTCCAACTAAACATTTGGAAAAACTTTCTGACACTTAAGAGCTGTTCAGCAGTGGAACAGACTCCCACAAGACGTGGTGGACTCTCCTTCCTTGGATGTTTTTAAACAGAGGTTGGATGGCCACCTGTCATGGATGAATCAGTGTGTTTTTACAGGAGTAGAATGTGTCCTTTTATTTAAAATGCATCTCTGGGTTATTTGGGGGGCATAAGAATTCGTTCATTTTTAAAAAAAATCTAGTCTGGCCCCCTGCTGAAAAAGTTTGCTGACCCCTGATCTAGGAGGATGGACCAGTGCTTCAAAACAGACTTTCAGTGAAATCAGGTTCTGTTGCCACGGATACCGCTCCACACCTCTTTTCTCTCTAAGGTGGTAACTGGGTGGGTCATGGGGAAAACACAAGTAAACTCCAGTTGGCAAGCCCTCAGCTTAAGGACATGAATTCCTCCTGGGCCAGATGCACTTCCCTGCTCATTTTGAAGTCTACATGTCACCTGATCACTTGTTTACATTCTTTTGTAGATCAGTAGAAGAAAGCTATCCTCTGGCTCCTCGTCTTTCGGGCTATTTTCATTTCCAACACTCTTCACTGTGACAGTGATGGGCAATAATAATAATAATTTGTACCCCACCCGTCTGCCGGGGTTGCCCCAGCTACACTATGCAAAAGCAGCTGTGAGTGCAGCAGAACTAGGGAACACAAATCTCCTGCCAGCCTGGGCCCAGAGGCTCCTTTTCCTTCCTCCGTCGCCCAGAAGCCGCCCTCGCTGTTTACTCCCTGCCCTTCCCCGGAGGCCGAGATTTGCGGGAGGCTGGCTGAGATTTGCGGGAAATCCCTGCCAAGCAGCAGCCAGGCTGGCACTGACCTCGCCGCTTTCCTAATGTCTTTTCGGCCAGGCAAGACAGGTCTCCTCTACGTCCCCGTCCTCCCCCCAGCTGCCTCCCAGAGCGGACTTTTGCCCGTTTTGCCGCCCTGGAAACAAACAAGGCCCCTCAGGGCGCACGGCGTCTGAAACGCCAGCTCCCCGTCGCCTGCGGCTTCGCCTGCCTTCCTCTTCTCCCTCAGGCGGCGACGCCGGACTCGCGGAAAGCGCGCTCAATAGCCCGCGGCTGCTGCAAAGCCGTTCCGCGCGCGCGCACTCCCTCTCCCTTTCCCCCGGGGCGTTCCTTACTTGCTCGGGCGGCGTCGCGTCGCCGTTCTCCGCGGTCAGCCCATTCATCTCGTGGGTGTCCGTGGGGGAGCCCATGTCGCCGCTGCTGCTGCTGTGGGAGCTGCCTTCTCCTTCTTTCTTCCTGGCCAGCCGGGAATGGGAGCCTTGCTAGGCCCGGGAGCTCCGCTCGCGCTGTGGGCTACGAGCACTTTGGAGAGCGCGAGGAGGGAGGGAGCGAGAAAGCGGAGCGCCGGGTTTCCTTCCCGCCTCGCAGCCTTGCAGGGGGGGAAGCCCCGTCCCGCCTCCGAGGGCCGGGCGCTGCTACAGATGGGGAGCGGTCCGCGGTACTTCCCTTTCGCCTGCTGGGGCGGCGCCGACGGCGCGCTGCTCCTGTTTGCAAAGGGCAGTTTCTTCTTCTGCTGCTGCTGCTCCTGCTATTGGTGCAACCTGGGCCAGGCGCGTGTCGGGCTCTCCTTGCCAGAGAATGACTTCAGCCGGCGGCCCGGCGCGATACCTATTTTCCAGGAAAGCGGCCCGCCCTCCTCGCCAGAGGATGACGGCTCAGCCCTTCGACATCTAACAAAGACGGGAGACGATAGCTGGCTCCCTAATCATCCTAGTGGATTTTGCGCGCTCTTTGATAGTGCTGCAGTCCACATGGCGAGATGGAAGACACCCTGACAGTAGATCAAAGTACCGTATATTCTGTCCCAAAGTAGCCATTTACGTTTCACAATGCATTAAGGCAGCTTTAAGCTTACACAGGGCTCTTCTTCAAACTAGATCTTCAAGAAGAAATCCACACACACACCCTGACATGTTGCTTATTCTTGTCTGGATATTTCTTAGTAGTGCCTAGCTACACATTTACACACAGTTCCTCCCACCTTTTATTTTACTTGATAAGCAGCCTCAGATAATAATAATAATAATAATAATAATAATAATAATAATTTATTTATACCCCGCCCATCTGGCTGGGTTTCCCCAGCCACTCTGGGCGGCTTCCAACAAAACACTAAAATACAATAACCTATTAAACATTAAAAACTTCCCTAAACAGGGTTGCCTTCAGATGTCTTCTAAAACTCAGATATCTGTTTATTTCCTTGACATCTGATGGGAGGGCGTTCCACAGGGCGGGTGCCACTACTGAGAAGGCACTCTGCCTGGCTCCCTGTAACTTGGCTTCTAGTAGCGAGGGAACTGCCAGAAGGCCCTCAGCGCTGGACCTCAGTGTGCCGGTAGAACGATGGAGGTGGAGACGCTCCTTTAGGTATACTGGGCCGAGGCCGTTTAGGGCTTTAAAGGTCAGCACCGACACTTTGAATCAACCCTTGTCAGAGGTTGATAAGGGAGCAGATGAAATAGCAGTGGAATGATCTTCTTAGCTGAACGCCTTCTTGCCCTTTGTCCAGTCATAGAATCATAGAATCATAGAGTTGGAAGAGACCACAAGGGCCATCGAGTCCAACCCCCTGCCAAGCAGGAAACACCATCAGAGCACTCCTGACATATGGTTGTCAAGCCTCTGCTTAAAGACCTCCAAAGAAGGAGACTCCACCACACTCCTTGGCAGCAAATCCCACTGTCGAACAGCTCTTACTGTCAGGAAGTTCTTCCTAATGTTTAGGTGGAATCTTCTTTCTTGTAGTTTGGATCCATTGCTCCGTGTCCGCTTCTCTGGAGCCGCAGAAAACAACCTTTCTCCCTCCTCTATGTGACCTCCTTTTATATATTTGAACATGGCTATCATATCACCCCTTAACCTCCTCTTCTCCAGGCTAAACACGCCCAGCTCTCTTAGCCGTTCCTCATAAGGCATCGTTTCCAGGCCTTTGACCATTTTGGTTGCCCTCCTCTGGACACGTTCCAGTTTGTCAGTGTCCTTCTTGAACTGTGGTGCCCAGAACTGGACACAGTACTCCAGGTGAGGTCTGACCAGAGCAGAATACAGTGGCACTATTACTTCCCTTGATCTAGATGCTATACTCCTATTGATGCAGCCCAGAATTGCATTGGCTTTTTTAGCTGCCACGTCACACTGTTGGCTCATGTCAAGTTTGTGGTCAACCAAGACTCCTAGATCCTTTTCACATGTACTGCTCTCAAGCCAGGTGTCACCCATCTTGTATTTGTGCCTCTCATTTTTTCTGCCCAAGTGCAATACTTTACATTTCTCCCTATTAAAATTCATCTTGTTTGTTTTGGCCCAGTTCTCTAATCTGTCAAGGTCGTTTTGAAGTGTGATCCTGTCCTCTGGGGTGTTAGCCACCCCTCCCAGTTTGGTGTCATCTGCAAATTTGATCAGGATGCCCTTGAGTCCATCATCCAAGTCGTTGATAAAGATGTTGAATAAGACCGGGCCCAAGACAGAACCCTGTGGCACCCCACTAGTCACTCTTCTCCAGGATGAAGAGGAACCATTGATGAGCACCCTTTGGGTTCGGTCAGTCAGCCAGTTACAAATCTACTGAGTGGTAGCATAGTCAAGACCGCATTTTACCAGCTTCTTTACAAGAATATCATGGGGCACCTTGTCAAATGCCTTGCTGAAATCAAGGTAGGCTACATCCACTGCGTTCCCTTCATCTACCAGGCTTGTAATTCTGTCAAAAACGAGATCAGGTTAGTCTGACATGACTTATTTTTCAGAAATCCATGCTGACTATTGGTGATCACAGCATTCCTTTCTAGGTGCTCACAGACTGTTTGCTTAATGATCTGCTCCAGAATCTTCCCTGGTATTGATGTCAGACTGACTGGGCGGTAATTATTTGGGTCCTCTCTTTTCCCCTTTTTGAAAATAGGGACAACATTTGCGCTCCTCCAGTCTGCCGGGACTTCGCCTGTTCTCCAGGAATTCTCAAAGATGACTGCCAGTGGTTCTGAGATCACATCTGCCAGTTCTTTTAATACTCTTGGATGCAGTTCATCTGGCCCTGAAGACTTGAATACATCTAAACTAGCCAAGTATTCTTGTACTATCTCCTTAGTTATTCTGGGCTGTGTTTCCTTTGCTGAATCATTTGCTCCAAATTCTTCAGGTCGGGCATTGTTTTCTTTATCGGAGAAGACTGAGGCAAAGAAGGCATTGAGGAGTTCAGCCCTTTCTGTGTCCCCTGTTTGCATTTCACCATCTTCTCCTCTGAGTGACCCCACTGTTTCTTTGTTCTTCCTTTTGCTACGAACATACCCATAAAAGCCTTTTTGTTGCTTTTAACCTCTCTAGCAAGCCTGAGTTCATTCTGTGCTTTAGCTTTTCTGACTTTGTGTCTACACGTGCTGGCTATTTGTTTGAATTCCTCTTTGGTGGTTTCCCCCTTTTCCATTTTTGTACACATCCTTTTTTAATCTTAACTCAGTTAAAAGTTCTTTAGATAGCCACCCTGGCTTCTTTAGGCACCTTCCATGCTTCCGTCTCATTGGTATTGCCTGACGTTGTGCTTTTACTATCTCCCTCTTAACAAACTCCCAGCCATCATGAACTCCCTTTCCTTTTAGTATTACTGTCCATGGGGATCTCACCCAGCACTTCCCTAAGTTTTATGAAGTCAGCTTTCTTAAAGTCAAGAAATTGAGTCCTAGTATGCTTGGCTGCTCCTTTCCGCTGTATAGTAAACTTCAGAAGAGCATGATCACTCACGCCTAATGATCCTTCCACTTCTACCCCACTAACCAGGTCATCAACATTGGTTAGGACCAGATCTAAAATGGCTGTTCCTCTTGTTGCTTCTCCCACTTTCTGGACAATGAAGTTGTCTGCAAGGCCAGTGAGGAATCTATTTGACCTTATGCTCTTGGCTGAGTTTGACATCCAAAGTGCCTACAATTTGCCAATTTGCTTGCTTGGCATGGGGGGAAATGTATTTATTTATGTATTTTAATTGTTAGTTGAACTTTTATAATGACATTGTTAAAGAGAGAAAAACACTCCCAAGGTGGCGTACAATGAAAATGCAATGCAATTCCACAACAGCAGAAACACGAAAACCTAGTTAAAATAAACCATGAACATCCTGTACCCCAAAAGTTACCAAACTACTGTATGCAATAATGAAAGCCATCAGCAGAAGGCAGGGATCAGCAGGTCTTCTGGGCTTTCCTAAACACATGAAGTGATGGGAGTCTGTTGGATTACAGCTTGCTTAGCATATCAGAGATGTGAGGCAGCATCCCAGAAATATGGGATCTCAGTATCTGTCTTTGCAGGGAGAAAAGTAGCTTGGGCAAGGTGATTTTGAGTGGGCAAATGGCAGGAAGAGAAAGGCCTGCATTTAAAAGCCTGCTTGTGCACTCTTCTGGTAAGAAAGCCTCTTAGCCTAACACACCCACCCCTTCTGATCACCAGCAACAAAGTATGATTATCACGCTGGGAAGGAATAGCTTAAATAGGGTTCCCATATTTCCAAAGGCAAAAATCAGGACAAAAAAAGTTTCTTTGGGTATTTTTCCAAAGTTGTTGAGTTTTTTTGTGAAATCTCAAAAAACTATAATGAAGTTTTTGAGCTATTTTTAAGCAAATTCACAGAAAAAGTACGCTACAGACATGGCTTCCCATACATCCAAGTCCCCGTCATCGTCACTATCATCTCACAGCTGCCTCCAAGAGCAGACATTTCAGCTATTTCCATCCAGACACAGTTTACGATGGCCAAATGGTGACCCTAAACTTACATAATATTCAGGCCTCAGCTACCCACCTTCACTTCCCTGGTCTTTATTTCACACCTCCATCTTCAACAAACTGAAGGGTTTTTGTTTTTTTACCTCCATTTACTGTTCTTTCTTTCTGTATTGTTTTCATTTTCTAAAACAAAAAGCAATACATAATAACAACAATAAAGATCAAAGATCAAAGCAAGAAAGGAAGGGTGCGAGAAAGGAGGGAGTAGTGGTATTCCCAAAGCAGCATTATAGTTCAGAAAGTTTTCCTTCACAAATACAAATGTTTTCCCAAAGGAATCCATGACAATAGGGCAACTGCCAATCACGTTCCTTTACTTAAATGTATTTAATAAAGGGATGCTGAACTTTAGGGAACTCGTCCTTGATTTTAGGATGGTGTAGGGTTTGGGTAAATGGACCATATCTGGAGTAACCAATAGGCTTGCATGTGATCCGTAGCTGACTTCGGCTGAGTTTACTGTTCTTTGTTCACGTAGCAGAACCTCCAGCCAGCCAGAATCTGTTGTTTCCCAGACCAATAACAATGAGTGCACCTAAATCATAGGCCCCATCTATAAATACCAGTGCTGGATTTATGTATAAGCTAAACAAGCTATAGCTTAGGGCCCCACTCTCTTAGGGGGGGGGGGGAATTAAAGGGGGGAAAAAACCCTGGATGTACATTTCCAAAATATAAGATAAAAAACAAATAAAATAAAACCTACATATAGCAACAGTGTTTTGTGTTGTGTAGACTCCTAGTAATAGGCCCTGCCTGCTAGCCTGCTCCCTAAAATATCACTGCTTTGCTCATTTCTATATATATGGTGCCTACATTCTGCATGGACTAGTTGCAGGCAACTAGTTGCAGGCAACATGTTGCGTGTAGCTGCAGACTGCAGTGCAGCACATTTAAATGTAGGTCAAGCTGTTGTACCTGTTATCTAATATTAAAATACATATTTTGTTATGTGCAAATGGCTTAGATACCTATTAGGTCCATAAATTACCCT